TCTCGTGAGCTCACGCTGGAGGAGAACAGCTTCCACCATGTCAGTTTCTTTTCGATTCATCTGGTACTCAATGAGATACTAACGTGACGTTTCACCAGTAATCTTTCCGGATCTGAAATAAATATTGAGACTTTTTTGTTTGCTACAATTTGCGTCTATCGCTCACTTCTGCGTTCGAATTCAAATTTTTTCCCCGGTAGGCACTGCCGGCTACACCGCAAACGGTGCTTGAGTTTTGCATAAATCGTAAATCGTATGAGTGCTGACAAAATATTGTCACCCTGCCAACGCCGTGCGCCAGCTTGGAGGGACCCCATTAGTTGCGTGCCTGTAGTTCCCATGCTGTCCTGTTGGTTCTCGCTCTGCCATGCTGTGCTTGACTTGAATTCTCTGGAGGAATTTTCGGTTGCTAGGGTTTGGAAGTGCACTAGGTATACCTGATCGTTTGGTCCACATGCTGTAGGAGGCAGTACATACCGTGCACGGCAGGTCGTTCTTGCGACCCTGGGTTGGCATTACCGAAGCGGGGGATTATGCAGCGGACTTGCCACCCCGATTCGGAGACACATGATATACCAATATTAACTTGCCTCGAGTCGAATTCATTATGTATCTAAATATAAATAAAAATGTCGGCACGTTCGCCAGCAATTGCACAGCCCGTTGCTGTTTGTTTGACTGGCTCATTGCGATGTCTTCAGTGACAATTTATCCACCCCCGCATACGGTACGAACGTTCGCAGACCGAACGTTCCCGTCCAACCTAATCTTGGCGTATGATATTGGCAACCAACTCTTTGCAAGCGATGTTTCTCAGCGCGATCGAAAGATCCCTAGCTGTTGCGCAGAGCTTTTATCACGTCCTCTGGTCGGAATTACTGTACTGGCACGACCAACAACCGCATAGTTTTGGAGCGTGACAGAAATTTACGTCGGACATTCAACCGGAAAGCCCGAGTGATGCGTGACAGCCAACCGGTTAAGCCTGGAACAGCGTGACAAGAGCCGGAAATACCTGAGTGCCAACGGGTCTATAGTCTTATATCCGAGTAAATTTGAAAATAATAATTGAACTGAAAAAATCTCGTGTTTCAACTGCAAATTTATCCGTTTTTTTTTTGGGGGTAAACGCAGACTCAGTGCCAGTCGCTCACGTGAGTTTCGCCGAAGTATATCCGAATTTTTCGGCGCGGCGAAACTGCGTAAGCGACTGGCGCAATATGTTGTTATTGTTTGTTTAACTCGAGTTCTTTGGCCTCGATAATCACACTAATATTTATTATATTTTCCGTCAGATAATGGGTGACGAGTGCAGGGAAATTCGTTTATAATTAATTAAAGCCTATAAAATACAATATATCGAGCTAGCTAATGAGAGGATCATTCACGGTAGATGACGCAATGGCACTTGAGGTTGTAGCATTCTGCTTTGCGGGACAAAATTTATTGCGTTCTGTCAAGGATAGATTGGTGTTAGAATTGTCCAAGTGGGAGGAAAGCAACGTACGTGTATGACCTTCTACCTTGCACAGCTTGCATTTGTAAGGGGCCCGTTGAGGTGCAGCGACGGTAACATGTTGCACAGGGTTATTGGGCGGCAGCGACTCTGTCTTGAGTTTGGATGAAGGGATTTCGGGGGGGGGGAGCGATGGAGTGCACCAAGTTGAGGATTTTTTCGGCATGCTTCATTATGAATGGTCGTTGTGCACCCCGGATGTTATTCGAAATATCATCGACGGTGCACAGTGCATGAGCGTGGGAGAGATGACACAACAACTCGACTATTTCATCTGAGATCAGAGCAGCAGGGCCAAGGAAGTGGTCCCTTTTGCCACCCCAGAACTCAGCGTGGACTTGTTGCCTCCATCCAACAAGCCCTGCCTTGAGCCGCTTGTCAGTCTCGCCGCGGGTGTAATCGGTCACGACCTTCACTCGGTTTGGTCTCCTTGATCTCTTTGGTGGGGAGTCGAGCGCATTCATCCCTTCAGTTCGCTTGGGATCGCAGAGGTCACAACAGGAGAGGCAGGGAGGCGGAGTGCAATGTGGACAGCAAAAGGGTTCAGGCCCTGAAAGCCCCACGTGAGGAAGACTCGTGATGCAGTTCAATGTTGTCACTCACTGAGTCGTACGTTATCATAGACATGATCCAGGACTTTTCACCTGCACCCACGTTGAGGATGGCTCTCTGGGAGCATGTCAGCATACAGAAATTCTGCAACCGAGCTCTCGATATTCTCGTACTTCGAGTGGCGGCCGCTTTTGTGTGGTTTGGACAACTTTGTTTTGTCACCCCGAGGTATCTGTGCCCCTTCGGGATTGGTTGGGCCATCAAAAGGATAATCCATTAGGTTCTCCTCTTCGTTGCTCTCAGCGCCATCATCGTCATCGTCATCCTGAAATTCCTCATCTGTCCTCTGTGCGTTGACTGATCGGACTTGAGCACGCTCCAGTTCTGGGAGAGGAAGGTCTACAAGTGCGTCGGAAGGGGGGCCATGGGGCTGAGAGTAGGGGAAGTTTCCCTGATCTCCCAGTGCGGCGCGCTTCCGTGCAACACTACTCACCGGGCCATTTTTGCGTTTCAGATTGAGACGCAGTGAGGCTTCAAGATCGGCCTTTCTCTTATCAACTCTTGGCTTTGAGAAATAAGCCTTCTCTGCAATCAAGATGGCAATCGCTTGGATGGAGCCGTCATGACCTGCCCGACCGAAGCGCTGAACGAGTGTATTGGGGCTCTTGGGAACTCGCCACTGAACCACGACTTTCACTTGGCATAAGTCAAGACCCTAAGTAAGTGTCATTAGCATTCATTGGATGCATAGCAAGGGTTCGTCTCACCATACTGCAGGCATCTGTACAGCAAATCCCCCATATTTTTCCCAATTTATACTTCGCTTCAATGTCCACTTTGAACGTGTCTGACATTCCAGAATGATACCACACAACCCGATCTCGGTGACTCTGTGGCAAGCGAGATCGCAAGAATCTGGCGGTTCGTATTGTATCAACGCGAGAATTGCAGTATACCAAGAACGGTGAGATATTTGCATCTATCCATGCCTGATCATCTACCTTTGCATCCAGTGGAAGCAGGAAAGCCAGATCAAAACAGCTTTGGAGTGTAAACTTCATTGGGCAGACGGAAAGGTGAACATTCGGTCTATCATTCGATCTTCAGATGATTTCAGTGCCGCAGTGCAAACCGGAAATCTTCAGCATGTCTGTTAGAACATGCTGGCGGAGGGTGGCAGAGGTGAAGAAGAATGAGACGCTATCTCCGAGTATGGAGAATAGTCGTCCTATCTGTATGTAAGCAGATCTGAAGTCTCGGCCCCACTGACTGATACAATGTGCTTCGTCAAAGCAGATACGGTCAACCTTCTTCTGAAATTGGGGGTCAAGCCAAAGAGCCATGAAACGTGGATCCACTATCAGTTTGGGTGATATGACAACTGTATGGAACTTCCCCAGCTGAATATCCTAGGTGAACCCATATGAGCGCTGACTGAAAACCTTGGTTGATTGTCTTACTTTAACCAGTCCAGGCTTTTCACCAAGCAGTTCTGCAGTGATTGACACAGATGGAAACCCTTTCTTGATGGACTCATCGGACAGCTGGCTTCCAAGACTCTTTAGTGGAGTCACTATGAAAGTAATCCCCTTTTCACGCAACATAGGCAACCAAAAGGTCATTGTTTTTCCTGAACCTGTTGCCAAGATTGACACAACATTTCTCTTGGCTAGTAAGCTTAATGCTACCATACACTGCCAAATGCAAGCGCGAACATGGAACTGGGTTTCGCTTTCATCCTGGAGCCCCTTGATATCTGACCCTATGGAGGGAAGAGCGGTGGGTGTCATAAATGGATTGTGGCTTGGGATTATTGATTGTCCGGGGAATGCCGAGTCAATGGGTTCCCGCGCTTGTCACCTCCGCCCGCCCAATCCCATACCACTAGAGTTGTGAGTGTCTTTGAATGCTACAGGGCATCAAAGTCACTAATTGTTAACCCCATTCCTCTGGGCTCGTCATGTGCCGGATCCCTTTCGATGGGACTGTCCTCATCATGGTCATCATTATCCTCCCTGTGAGCTTCTTCTCCACCTACATATGATTGGGCCCCTTTGAGAAGAACGTTGAGAACTTCTATTTTAACCATAGTATGTGGTCCTCTTATTCGCTCTTGAAGCATTTGAAGCATGACTTCCATTTTTGCCGGGGCATGTTGTGTACCCCGGTGCTTGATATAGAAGTTCTGTTCTATATTGACATGTACCATTCAGTAGGTCTCTATCAGCGAAGACTGGTTGATAATGTGGGTAAGTGTCCTGTTCGAGCTTGAGCCACCAATGATGACCTGAGGTAAGTGAGTCACTGTCTGACTGAGAATATGCGGGTTCACCTGCCTTTGTATACAGATTGTTTCGCTCAACAAGCCAATCTACACCTCTAAATCCATCTGGTCGACCTGATGGATTGCATACCCAGTGGGATCGGATTACTTGGGCCAGGCGGGCAGGGTAGACTGAATGCAGATTGCGAAGAAATTTCGCGAGGTGCGCCGCATATTTATGCTTCCCACAGCCTGAGAACATCAGCACCCATAACCACAGAAGATCCTCCATCGTGCCTATCGCACCAGTGTTCATTGCATGTGCCAACATGCAGTACTGTTAGGTACGGGTCAGCAAACGGGGACGACTGGCGGGGACAAGGCTCTGGGGTTGGGCTTCAGCCTCAGCGACTCCAAGAGAGCGCTGTGCCCACCTACTGTCTCAGTGCCCACATTTCGAAGTGGCTTGGGCTGCCTTGTTAAGGGGGACAAACCATGTCGATATTCAGACTAAAGTTATAATAATGTTGTCAGGGCCCGGCCTCCGTCCGGGGGCGGCCCTACCTCAAAGCTGGACACTTGCGGTGTCCCAGGCAGCCAGGTGCCAGATCCTATCCCAAGCTCCTCAAACTCACTAAGCGGGGATTGAGTTGTCATGTATTATGGAAGGTAGCTACAACTTGCCTAAGCGGGGATTGAGTTGAGAAGAAGGGTAAGTTTCCCTATTCCCCGCTTGGCTGCTATAAAAGGAAATGTACTGTACAGTTCGTAGCGTGACTCTGGGTAGAAGCCGAGCATGTTCCCGCGATGCGGAAAAGGTGTCACATGGGTTAAGGCGAGTTGCTCGCCTTGACCCACGTGATTTTTCCCACGGGTTCGCATGCGGGCTGTAGTTGTGAAAGATGGGAGGATGAGGGAAGTGGGGGGAGGTTAGGGAAGGTGGTTCTGGGGTTGTATGGTCAGGTGTGGTTGCCCTGACATCACCCCCCCTCTATGCCGCTTCGCCTCGGAGCGGCTGGGTGTCTTGGCTGGCGGGTTCTATTGGATCTTTCTTGTCTCGGGGCATCGGGGTGGGATCGATGGAACTCTTCTATGAGCTCTTGAGAGTGCTCTAAGTTTTTGTGGGGGAGCCATTCATTTTCCGAGTTTGGCCAGCCCAAGAATTTAACAAAATACCAGAGTTTTCCATACCTGTACTTGGAGTTTAGGATCTTTTCTACTTCGTATTCTTCTTCTCCATCAATAACTTCTGGGCCGGGGTGGGGGTCTGCTGTGCGCTCGGCAATCTCATCTGGGAGGTAGGGGCGGATGTTGGTGACCGAGACTACAGGGTGGACGCCCTTCAGCTGGGTGGGGAGCTGCAGCTTCACGGCTGCTGGGGACACCACCTTGGTGATGCGGAAGGGGCCAATCCATTTGTGGTCCAGCTTCTTAGTTGGTCGGTCGGTTGTGTAGTTTCGGGAGCTGAGCCAGACCTTCTGCCCTTCTTTGTACTCTGGGGCAGCCTTCCGGTTCCTGTCATAGTACCGGGCCATCTCGTCTGCCGCGTGCTCTAGTGCTGCCTTTGCCTCTTCCTGCATTTTCATCATCCGGGAGGCAAAGGCATCTGCTGCTTCGACATCAGAGGAGCGGGTTGGCTCAGTCCCCATCCGGGGGTGTTGTCCTGAGTCAAGCTCAAATGGGGTCCGGCGGGTGGCTGAGTGGACCCGGTTGTTGTATGCAAACTCAGCTAGTGGGAGCCAGTCAGTCCAATCATCCTGCCGGTGGTTGACAAAGACGCGGAGGTAGGCTTCGATCTCTTGGTTCACGCGTTCTGTCTGCCCATCCGTCTGTGGGTGGTATGGGGTGGATGGGGTGAGCTTGATCCCTAGGAGTGCTGCCAGCTCGCTGGAGAATTTGGACACAAAGGCTGTGCCTCGGTCACTCAGGATCTCCTCCGGAAGGCCATGGTGCCGCCAGACATGTTCCAGGAACAGCCGGGCTATGCCTGCAGAGTCCACTGTGGTGACGGTAGGAACAGCATGGATCCTCTTGGAGAGGCGGTCTACTACCACCAGGATCGCATTGTAGCCCTTTGACTCTGGGAGCTCGCCTATGGTGTCCACCGAGATTATCTGCCATCGGTGGGAGGGCACTTTGTTTGGGATGAGCTTCCCGACCTTCCGGGAGGGGAAGGATTTTGCCCGTTGGCAGGTGTCGCAGCCTGAGACATAACTAGCTATGTATCGTGACAGTCCCGGCCACCAGTAGTTCCGGGAGATCAGTTCCAGAGTCTTCCATCTGCCTGGGTGTCCTGCTGGGACCGAGTCATGGTGCAACTTCACCAGGTCGTGGCGGAGCTGAGGGTCCCTGGGGACGTATACTCGCCCCCGGTAAAGGATCAAGTCCCCATCTCTATCCCATTCGTCCGGGCGCAGAGAACCTTTTCCTAGTTCTCTTAAGGCCTTCACCACTGCCTCATCATGTTCCTTCCCTTCTCGGATCCTCTTCAACATGTCCGTCTCCTCTCCTCCCATCGACACCCCCTCCGTCACCCGGACTTCAAACCACTCCGGGTGCAGTAGGGTTACACCTGTATTGTCCCCTTCTCCTCGGGGGTGGTCTGCTCTGCGCGACAGAGCGTCCGGCTTCCCCATGAGCTTCCCTGGGCGATGGGTTAGCACAAAGTCGAAGCGGGAGAGGTAGAGGGACCAGCGTGCTTGTCGCCGGTTCAACCTCTGGGCCGTTCGGAAGTATGAGAGGTTTTTGTGGTCCGTGAAGATGGCAAACTTCTCTGGGGCCCCTTCTAGGAAGTGGCGCCATTCCTCAAGTGCTCGTATTATGGCGAGCATCTCCTTGTCATAGATCTCGTAGTTCCTTTCTACCTCCGAGAAGCTCTTAGACATGAAGGCCACCGGGTGGTAGTCTCCATCCGACTGAAGCTGTGAGAGGACTGCCCCCGTCGCAAAGTTGGAGGCGTCACACTCTAGGCGGAATGGGGCAGTGTTGGAGGGGAAGGTGAGCACCGGGGCCGACGTGACTGCTCGCTTCAGGTCCTCAAAGGCAGTCTGTTCTACTAGGCCCCAGGCCCAGCGCTGGGTCTTCCGGGTGAGTCGGTGAAGGGGCTTTGCCTTTTCTGAGAAGTCCCGGATGAAGCGGCGGTAGAAGTTGACGAAGCCTAAGAAGGATTGAACCTCCTTGACCTTCGTGGGGACCGGCCAGTCAGTTACTCCCTTCACCTTCACTGGGTCCATCGCAACGTGACCTTCAGAGATGACAAGGCCCAGGTAGTCAATGGTGTTCTTCTCGAACCTGCACTTCTCAGGCTTGAGGAAGAGCTTCCGCCTCTTCAGGGTGGCCAGAACCTCTCGCACGGCCTTCCGGTGCTCTTCAAGAGTGGGGGAGAAGACTAGGATGTCATCCATGTAGCAGATGACATCCCCTCGGTCGATGAACTCCCGCAGGATGTCATTCATCATTGTCTGGAAGGTGGCAGGGGAGTTGCAGAGGCCGAAGAACATCACTGTAGGCTCAAACAGCCCTCGGTTGGTGGCAAAAGCCGCCTTCCACTCATCCCCCTCCTTGATCCGGACATTGTTAAACCCCCATCGTAGGTCTAGGGTTGAGAACCACTTAGCACCCCGGAGGCGGGTGAGGACGTCGGATATCAGGGGGAGTGGGTAGGAGTTTTTAACCGTGACCTCGTTCAGCTTGCGGTAGTCTTGGACTAACCTCAGGGACCCATCCTTTTTCTTCACAAAGAACACAGGGGCCCCTGTCGGGGACTTAGATGGTCTGATCCGCCCGTTTGCGAGGTTCTCCCTGAGGAAGGCATCCAGCTCTTTCTGCTCCGCTGGTGAGAGTGGGAACGTCCTCCCTCGGGGGAGCTTGGTGTCTGGGGCGAGGTCGATGGCATGGTCCCAAGGCTTCCGGGGGGGGAGTTCGTTGAAAGCTTCCTTGGAGAATACATCCTGGAAGTCTCGGTAGTGCTCTGGCACCAGTTCCTCGAAGGGGCGTTCTACCGGGGGGCCTTCCTGTGCATCCTGGGCCATTCGCTGAGAGGGGGTGGATGTGGCTCGGAGCTCATGGCCCCACTCTGGTGGGATCATGGCCGCATAGACTCCATCTCCGGGTTCGAGGGCGAAGTCGGGTTCCCCCTGGGTTCCCTGCTTCAGCACTGGGTCGCGGCCATAGCAGGCTGGTGGACACCGGGACAGGGTGACCCTCTGCTTGACCCAGTCTACTTCTGGGTTGTGGTGGAGGAGCCATGAATGGCCAATTATCACTGTCTGGCGGCCCAGGTTAGCAACTGCAAACCGGGCCCGCTCCGTGTGTCGGCCGAATCGGAGGAGCACTTCTACCTCCTCTGTGATGGATCCGTTCTCGTTCAGGGTTCCGTCCACGTTATGGACGGGGACCGGTTGCACTAGAGGCGAAGTCTCTAGGTTGTGCTTCTGGACGAAGTCGCGTCCGATAAACATTCCAGTGGCCCCTGAGTCCAGTAGAGCAGAGGTGGTGACTGAGCGGAGTGAAGTGGTGGACGTCAGTTCCACTGAGAGGTTGAGCGAGCGGGGGGAGTGCTTAGACAGGACGTAAATTGCAGGGGCTGGGACGGCAACCTTGCACGGGGGTTCACCCCCTTCTGGCTTTCTTGGTGTGGCTTTTCTCTTTTTTGCAATTACCCGGAGCAGCTTAGATTGCATGGCCCGTCTGGGGCGGCTGCGGTATTTACAGGTGGGTACATTGCTCTCATCACGCAACCGGGGCACACTCTTCACCGGTCGCCCTCTAGAAAATCCCCCGTTGGATCTTCTTCCGCTTCCTCTGGTTCTGGGGGAGGGGCCTCCACTGCATGATGGCCTCTCAGCGAGTCAATGATCGCTCGAAGGTCCTCTGGGGCCAGCCGGGGTGGGGTTCTGGGGCTTTCTTCTTGGAAGGCCCCACGGATCTGGCGAGGTCTCGGCCTTGGGCAGTCGCGGGCTATGTGCCCCGGTTGGTTACAGTTGAAACAGAGCCCACTGCGTCTCTGCTCAGTGCGGGGGGAGCGTGTGCGGTCCAGATCCATTGCCTGAGGGTCTGGCTTTGGGGTTGCAGCAGGAGCAGTGGTGGACGGTGCCAGGGGAGGGGTGGAGCGAGAGAGGAATGGGGAGGGTTTTGCTGCGATGGTGCGAGGTTGGGTGGCTTGGAAACGTCGCCACTGGTTGTCGAGGACGGAGGCCTCACGCTTCCATTCGGCCCAGGTTGCAGGCATCGGGCGGAGGCGGTAGATGCTCTCTCGGAGGCGTGGGTGGAGGGCCTGCTCAAAACGGTCCACAAGGGCAACATCTCCCATCCGTGACACAGGTCCGTGGAGTTCAAACTGCTGGATCAGTTTGTCCACCGACTCGCTGCCTTGCCGAAGTGAGGCCAGCTTCTGCCGAGCTGTGGCCTGGCGGTTGGGGTCAGCAAACATGGAGTCTAGTTCTTGGGCGAAGTCATCGAAAGCGATCCTTGGGGAACCGGGGGCAAGGAGGGAGTTGATGCGCTGGGTAGCCCATGGGCCAGCAGCACCTCCCTTCATGTACGACAGGACGAACAGAACTTGGCTGTGTTCATCTGGGAACTCGGCATGGCGCATGCTCATGTAGAGCCCGCATTCTGCCTTGAAGCGGTCCAGGTCATCTTGCGACCCGGAGAAGGGAGTGGGGGTAGCTACTTTGGGTGGCTTGCGAGTCGGAGCAGCAGCAGCAGCAGGGGGGGGGCAGGCTGCCTTTGGGTAGCCAGCTGGGTCTGGAGGTCTTGGAGCTGGCGGGTCAGCTCTAGTATCTGTTCTTCTAGCGACATCAGGGGGTGTGGAAGTAGGTTGAACCCTTCTTCTGCTGTCAGGGCCCGGCCTCCGTCCGGGGGCGGCCCTACCTCAAAGCTGGACACTTGCGGTGTCCCAGGCAGCCAGGTGCCAGATCCTATCCCAAGCTCCTCAAACTCACTAAGCGGGGATTGAGTTGTCATGTATTATGGAAGGTAGCTACAACTTGCCTAAGCGGGGATTGAGTTGAGAAGAAGGGTAAGTTTCCCTATTCCCCGCTTGGCTGCTATAAAAGGAAATGTACTGTACAGTTCGTAGCGTGACTCTGGGTAGAAGCCGAGCATGTTCCCGCGATGCGGAAAAGGTGTCACATGGGTTAAGGCGAGTTGCTCGCCTTGACCCACGTGATTTTTCCCACGGGTTCGCATGCGGGCTGTAGTTGTGAAAGATGGGAGGATGAGGGAAGTGGGGGGAGGTTAGGGAAGGTGGTTCTGGGGTTGTATGGTCAGGTGTGGTTGCCCTGACAAATGTAATATACATATATATATAGTAAGAAACTGAATGAGTCAGGTGACAAAATGAAACAAAAGGAAACAGAATAAGGGCCGGCATCTGGGTCAGAATGCATGGTCGTGACAAGTACCACAGGCCATCACGTCGAAATAGTAAGTTGCCTTCTTCCAAATAATCTCGTGGATCCTCACTCTGTCGTCGCACCTCGGATATCCATCCTGCAATCTTCTCCTGACAGATCTTCTTTGAAAGAGCAACAATTTCCGACCATGATGGATCACTATCGGCGAATTCCTTCAAGTCGGAGAAACCAGTAGCTTGTTCCCAACAAACCAGCAAGTGTGAACTTGTGAGGTGTAGGATTCCATCATTCAGCATGCGGTAAGTTGGGTTACTTGCAAGTTTCGATGAGTCTTTCGGCCGGAGGATCTTGAACTGATCAAAGATGCCACCCCTGACTTCACGTAGTGCCTTCGGCTGAATGTGAACTCGCCAGATGGCATCTACACAGGCCATACAAATATGGAAGCCACCAGGTATAGTCACAAGGAACTGGAGTCGTTCCTGTGGTGTGGATTCAATCGCACACGACTCTGTTGTCGCATCGTGCCTTTCTTGCGTACCCAGGTCACCATGACACAGCCGGACGAAGGAATGGTACCATTCTGGGCTTGTTCCAGCCTGCCGTTCAAGGCTCTTCACTATCGCAATATTATCGTCGTTCACTGATGCCTTCAGGTGCATTGCTCGAGCAGGGTACTGCACCGTCTTCTCTGGTACGTCCAATGTAAATGAGGATGGCATCTTTCCAAGCTCACCCTTGTATTGCCCAAGGTAGTTATCGACAATTATCTTCTGTGTAAACCATTCCATTCCTTGCAGCACACTGTCCTGCCGCTCTTGGATGTGCTCAAAGAGATATTGTCGGTCAGGTGTGGCAGGAGGTCTCGAGTCCTTGGGATTATCTGGATTCAGGGAGCTCTTCTCCCAAAGCTCCTTCGAGTATCGGAGGTCATCAAGCGTGGTACCATAGGTGAGTGGAATAAAGGTGGCTGTTGTTATACTTGAAAACGTCCCTTGGTTCTGATCACCGGGCTCTTTCATCTTAAAGTCAAAGTCCAGATTGTCATATGCCATCGCATACAACCCGGGGTCTGAGAGCTTCTTCAAGCTTGCTTTGAGGCTTTCGGTCACTGACTGAACCATATGGCAGATAGACTCCGCCAATACACTTGTCAGGGCACACCCGGACCCACCCGGCCACACCACACCCGCTCCCCGCTGTCCAACCCTCTCCCTCCTCCTTCCTCTGTCTCTCCTCCCCTTTTCCTTTTCTCTCTTTCTTCCCCTTTTCTTTATCTCATTCCTCTCATCTTCCTTTTCTTGTTTATTTCCTTCTATCTACACGGACCACCTTCCTTTGTATCAATGTACTATTGACCCGTCCGGCCCACACACCCCGGACGGCTCCCCGCTGTGCCCAACACGCGCGCATGCAGCGGACGCTCTCGGGATCCCCCACGGGGATACCCGGATGCCTGCGGCTGCCTCCGAGGGTGACGTGGCACTCGTCATGTGACTCAAGCCGCATGTACATAAATGTACCTGAAGTGGGAACCGAAGAAGTAACCTTCTTCTCACATTCTCCACTTCAGGTAAGTAGTATAGTTTTCCCTTTTAATAACAATAACACATTCTCCACTTCAGTCTAAGTGGCCAGGGACTGCTGTCCCTCCCCGGACCCACCAGCACGCGCGCCCGGTTTGCACCCCGTGAGGGCCCTTCTGCCGGGCGATACATCCGGACCCCCTCTACCCCGGACGCATCCCTGACAGCAGAAGAAGGTTTCAACCTCATCTCCCCCGCCTCCCCCATCTCCCCTGTCTCCCCAGCCATGGTGTCAGAAGAGCAGTATGAAGAACTGCTGGCTCGCTTCCAAGAGCTCCAGGCCATTGTGGAGAGCCAGGCCCGCAACCACCCCCCACCCGCACCTGCACCTACACCCGCCCCCGCGCCTGCCCCCACACCCGCACCTGCACCCAGACCCAAACCACCTAAGGTCACCCCCCCCACTCCCTTCTCAGGAGCTAGCGAGGACCTCGACCGTTTTAAGGCCGAGTGCGGGATTTATTTCCACGTTCGCGCGGCTGAGTTCCCCACCGCCCTCTCCCAGATCCTTTTCGTGTTGTCTTACATGAAAGGAGGACCCGCAGGGGCATGGGCCACGCAACGCACAATCACGCTGCTGATGGCCAGCTCCCCCCCCTCACCATGGACGAGTTCAACACAGAACTCGATGCCATGTTCCAGGACCCGAACCGGGAGGCCACAGCCAGACAGAAGCTGGCAGCCATCCGCCAGGGAAGCGACTCCGTGGACAAAGTGATCCAGGAGTTCGAGATATTGGGACCCGCCTCAAGGCTGGGTGACGTAGGACTAGTCGACCGCTTCGAGCAGGCGATTAACTCCCGCCTCCGGGAGAGCATATACCGGCTCCGCCCCATGCCCACTACCTGGGCCGAGTGGAAACGCGAAGCCACGCTCCTGGACAACCAGTGGCGACGGTTCCAGGCCACTCAATCGCGCGCGTTCCCACCCAAACCCACGCTCCCACCAACCCGGCCATCGTCGATCATGACCCCACCACAGGCACGACCCACGCCCGGGCCCCCACGACTTGCACCACTGCCTCCACCCTCCACCCCAGTAGCCCGCCCCACGACAGGGACAGGCCCCCAACCGATGGACCTCGACCGCTCGAGGACTGACCAAAGACGGTGCTACAACTGTAACACCCAAGGGCACATCCTACGAGACTGTCCGCACCCCAGAGTCCGCCGGGTGCAATGTCTCCACCCTGAGGATCTTCGGGCGCTGATGGAAGGGCTGAAGAGGCAGTTAACTGAAGAGCCAGAGACGGAAGGGACAGAGCCAGAGACGGAGGCTCAGGGGGATTTTCAGGAAGGCGGCCGGTGAGGGATGCGTCCCGGGCGCCTGTAGAAGATAGCTCATGTAAATACCGCAGCGCACGTGAGTCAACGCCAATGCCAAAGCTTCACCGAGTTATTGCCAAGAAGAGGAGAAAAAACGCATCCTCGACCCGTGAGAGTAAGAGAACCATAGAGACGGCACCCGAAGTGGCAGTATCCCCGCCAGCCATCTATGTCCTCTCCAAGCAATCCCCCAGATCCCTCAACCTTATGGTGAAACTAACCGCCCTGACCTCCCTCGCGTCAGTATCGGTATCAGCCCTCCTAGATTCAGGAGCCACTGGGAACTTCGTAAGCCCTGAGTTCGTCCGGAAGCACAAGCTCGAGACAACCCCTCTCCCGCAACCCATTCCCGTCCGTAACGTTGACGGAACCCCAAACGAGAATGGAGCCATAACCGAAGAGTTGGAAGCCCTCCTGACGTTTGGGCGACACACAGAGCGCGCCCGCTTTGCGGTTGCAAACCTGGGACGACAGTCCCTCATCATAGGGCACTCCTGGCTGCTACACCACAACCCAGAGGTAGACTGGGCTCGGCAGAAAGTCGTCATGTCCCGCTGTCTGTCCGCCTGTAGACAGCCGCGAGCACGAAACGACCAGGACCCTGTACTAGAGCCGGGGGATGGGATCTACGCTGCAATCATCCCCCCCGGCTGGGGACACGACCTAAGGGCCACCACAACCCCCTCTCAGCGGATGGCCCAGGAGGCCCGTGACCCGGACGCAGAGCCTGCATCGTTCAAGACGCTGGTCCCAGAGCACTACCAGGACTTCCGGGATGTGTTCTCAAAAGAGGCCTTCGACCAGTTGCCCCCCCGGAAGCCCTGGGACCACACTATAGACCTGGTACCAGACGCCAAACTGCCCAGAGGAAAGACCTTCCCCCTCTCGCGCCCGGAGCAGAAAGAACTGGACGAGTTCCTGCGCGAGAACCTGCAGAACGGGCGGATACGACCGTCTAAGTCTCCGATGGGTGCACCAGTCTTCTTTGTCAAGAAGAAGGACGGATCGCTGCGCCTGGTACAGGACTACCGGAAGCTGAACGAGATCACCATTGTAGGAGAAATAACGGCCACACTATGGAAACCCATTATGGAAATATGCCAGATAAATCACAAAAACCTCATACGACAAGTAGATATGAGAACATAGAAGGACCTGAATTTTAACGAATTTTACGAATTTTTACGAATTATTACGACTATACACGATAAATCGAAAGAAAGAAAAATAACAAAAATACTTCAAGCTTACCATCAACGAGACGGAATTCTCGGGGGAATTTATAGCAAATATTAAACCAAGAATTAGGACAATCGACCAAGATTTGACTATAAAGATAATCAGAGAACCTCCACGGAAACTACTTTCCCACGTCCGCACACGTAGCAAGGATGGAAGTACCACGGAACAAAGATTCCTCAGGAACTAATGCAAAAGTCAAAGTCGTGTTTATAATAGGAAATGTAGATGTCACCCAAACGGAACCAATGAGAGTAATTACAGGGGAAACTACCCATAAACGACGGAGATATGACTAAAACTCCTGCAAAACGAGGACAATGTCTAAAAAGCAAGCGCGAAGATTAAATAGTAACGACCGAGACAAGCTTGATAGCCCATTAGAAAGGAAAGGATCTACTCTTAATCCTCCCAAATTTCCATAATAAAAGGATCATGCATTAATGAGAAATCCAATAACGGGAATAGCGACATCAAAAGTCCGAGCTCAGGGACAAGACGATGATTGCGTAGGATCCATAATTAAAACATACAACGAAATTTACACGGAAATTATGAAAAATAGGAAACTATAGTTATGCAAATTCTCAGCCCAAACGGTCCAGCCGTTGTGAAGTTATACCCATGACGGGAATATAGGAATCCGCATCATGTGTAATGACACGTTCAGGTGGCGATGCGCAGGGAACCGGCCGTCGGAACCGAGATCCGCACTTCGGCAGATCGCGAAGACCAATTTCCGTCCAAATAAGGAAGAGCCCGGTCAAAACAAAGCACGAAAAGTGCAAAACAACCTTAGATCATGAGGGAAAAATCTGAAATAAATCACAGAAGCCCATATGAAAGAAATAAACACCCGCGCATATCATAAATCCCGAACAACTAAACGAAAACGGCTCCGGCATACGAACAACTATGGGAACGACGCACGTGATTACCGAATGTGCGCGCGAAACTTTGCTAACTCAACGAATACAGGGAAATAGGACACAACCTTAGTACCATTGGAAAGGTGGGAATAAATGAAAATTTATAATACCAAGAACGTGAGAAAACATCCAGAAATGAATGAGATACAAGGACATGAAGTTAGAAACCTGAAAACACGCGGGAAGGCAGCTTCAAGAGGTCTAGAGCCCTAAATAAAATACATAAAAATATGATATCTTCGAGGACGACCTACTATAACAACGAACAATACATATGGAGGATTAGGATGTGATAATACAAAGGGGAATCAGGGAATATGAATGAAATTCACAAAAACTACTAAACTACAACGGACCATGGCGGGAATTTTAGGGAACGATGTTCTAATGAAGTAGAGAGCTATAACACATTCGTTTGAGTAATTCTTGATTACTAGCAACTTTTTCTTTCAGTTTTAAACCTGAATAATTCACTCATTTATCATTTCAGTCTCATTTTAACTAAATGTCACTAAATAAAATTGGAATAAATCAGCTGAAGGTCTCAGCACAGTTGCACGCATAGTAATGCGAGGTTTGAATTCAGGATGACCGAGTCATAGCGAACTTAATGGGAAATATGGGGAATTTGAAATAGGGAACTGCGGCAAATGCGGTGCAGACAAATTCTAATTAACCATTAAAATAGCTTAGGCGAGGAAGGACAATAAGGATTCCAGGCGCAGTCTGACCGCAGTAGGGCCGCAGTTCAGCGCAGCAAAGCGCAGTGGAACTATAGCGTGAAAATTTCACTTTTTATTCAGTTTGAGAAAAATACACTGTAAATAAATCCTGTAAATAGAAGGTAGAGCGTGAAAAAGGAAGGCGACCCAAGGAGTATAAAAGGGAGACCCTTTCTGCGACTTTTCGCCCCCCTTAGAGAAGTAAGAAAATAGAGTATTATTTTTCTCAAGCATTTCTGGTTGTCACTCCAGTGCGAAAAAGTGATATACAGTTAAGATTGCCACTGTAGTAAAAGGCAGCAATTAAGGAGAGAAATATTAAGTAGATATTTCAACAGGAGAGCTGGTTAACACTCCAGATTTCAAAGTGTAAACACAAAACAGTTATTTTGCTACTGTTAAAACAAGCAATAAAATAAGACAAAAATAGAACAAACTCAAGGGACACTCCAGACACAATCCAAATTCATTAACTGAATAGAATCTTTGAAACTTCACCAAGTAGAAGATTAAATTCAAGTTTAAATCCAAATTAAACAACGCTACACAGAATTACACCTAGACAAATTAATAAATTTCAATAAAGAAACAGCTCCGCAGGGCTCGGTTTATCTGTAAGTCAATTCCCAGGAACTTTAAAACTAACCCATAAAAATAGAATTAGCCAAAACACTCGGATTGGTACTATATTTACAATAAACAACACTAGTACACTTCCCCATCCTAACTAAAGAACCAGGGAACAGCTTGGTGGTGGTCTCATTTGAACCTCCCAACTGACCTTCCTTCGTTCTCTCCTTCACCGTGAAGAACTCGTACCCACTCCCACTCATCTCGGACGTCCTCGCCCGCCTCCGGAATGCCAAATACTTCTCTGCCCTGGACTTATGCTGGGGGTTTAACAACGTCTGGATCAAAGATGGGGACGAGTGGAAGGCAGCATTTGCGACCAACCGAGGGCTGTTCGAGCCTATGGTAATGTTCTTCGGGCTGTGTAACTCCCCCGCGACTTTCCAAACTATGATGAATGACATCCTTAGGGATTTCATCGACCGGGAAGTCGTTATCTGCTACATGGACGACATTCTCATCTTCACGGCCACCCTGGAGGAGCACCGGAAGGTCGTCCGAGAAGTCTTGGAGACGCTGCGAAAAAGGAGGCTCTTCCTGAAACCAGAAAAATGCAAGTTTGAGCGGACCCGGATCGAGTACCTCGGCCTCGTCATCTCGGAGGGTAGCGTTGCCATGGACCCCGTAAAGGTCCGTGGAGTCCTTGACTGGCCAACCCCAACCAAAGTGAAGGAAGTGCAGTCCTTCCTGGGGTTTGTGAACTTCTATCGCCGGTTCATCAAAGACTTCTCTGAGAAGGCACGCCCGCTCCACAAGCTGACCCGAAAGGCCCAAACCTGGAACTGGGGCACGGACGAAGACGACGCCTTCCGTGCCCTCAAAGAAGCTGTCACCACTGCCCCAGTTCTCTCCTTCCCCTCCGACTCCAGCCGCTTCAAACTCGAATGCGACGCCTCCAACTTCGCAACCGGTGTGGTCCTCTCCCAACTCCAACCTGACGGGGAGTTCCACCCGGTGGCATTCATGTCCAAGAGCTTTACAGATGTGGAACGTAACTACGAAGTGTACGACAAAGAGATGCTCGCGATTGTCCGAGCCCTTGAGGAATGGCAACACTTCCTAGAGGGTGCTGAAGAGAAGGTCGAGGTCTACACCGATCACCGCAACCTGGGGTACTTCCGGATGGCCCAGAGGCTAAACCGCCGCCAGGCCCGATGGTCCCTATTCCTCTCCCGCTTCCACTTCACCCTCGTCCATCGCCCTGGGAAGCTCATGGGAAAACCGGACGCGCTTTCCCGCCGTGCTGACCACCCGAAAGGGAAAGACGACAACGAAGGGTTGACCCTCCTCCAACCAGCCTGGTTTGAAGCCCGTGCAACAGAGGGATTCTCGTTGGAAGGTGAGGAGGTAGGCATCTTAGACCAGATACGCAGGGCAAAAGACCATGATGAGAGGGTAGTAAAAGCCATGCGAGAACTGGGAGAGGGGACGCTAAGGTCGGATGAATGGGAAAGACAAGGCGAATTGGTCTTGTACCGGGGAAGGGTATATGTCCCAAAAGACCCCCAACTCCGCCACGACCTAGTGAGGCTACACCACGATGCGCGGGCGACAGGGCACCCGGGGCGGTGGAAAACCCTGGAACTTGTCTCCTGCGACTACTGGTGGCCCCGGATGGCGGAGTATGTCGGGCGGTATGTACGCGGGTGCGACACCTGCAACCGTGTCAAATCCTTCCCCTCACGAAAGGTTGGGAAGCTTACCCCGAACAAAGTCCCTACCCGTCGTTGGCAGGTAATTTCAGTGGATATGGTGGGAGAGCTCCCAGAGTCCAAGGGGTATAATGCCATCCTGGTGGTAGTGGACTGCCTGTCCAAACGTATCCACGCGGTCCCCACTGTGACGACTGTAGACTCGGAGGGCATCGCGCGACTCTTCCTAGAGCATGTCTGGAAGCATCACGGGCTCCCTGAGGAGATCCTCAGCGACAGAGGAAGCGCTTTCGTCTCCCGCTTCTCGAAAGAGCTTGCGGATCTCCTAGGCATAAAGTTAACCCCCTCGACGCCCTACCACCCCCAGACAGACGGACAGACCGAGCGGGTCAACCAAGAGATTGAAGCGTACCTCCGGGTGTTCGTCAACCATCGACAAGACGACTGGGCAGATTGGCTCCCGCTAGCGGAATTTTCCTACAACAACCGCATCCACTCATCCACCCACCGAACCCCTTTCGAACTCGACACCGGCCAGCACCCCAGAATGGGGACGGAACCCACACGTACGTCCGAAGTGGAAGCCGCTGACGCGTTTTCGTCAAGGATGATGAAAATGCAGGAGGAGGCGAAAGCCGCACTGGAACACGCAGTGGACGAGATGGCCCGTTACTACGACCGAGACCGTGAGGCAGCCCCAGAATATCGAGAAGGTGACCAAGTCTGGCTCAGCGCCCAGAACTACACGACCGACCGTTGAAAGAGGGCTAGCGGCTCTCTATGCCGACTAAGCTCGTGGGGCCAAACTCTCCAAAACCTCTACTTTCTCTCTTGACTTCGCTATGCTCGATCCTAAAACTCCGTGGTGGGTTCTCCGGGATTTCCGCAAGGTCCGGGCTCAGCGTCCACTACTCACTCGTTGTGAGCTAGACAGCTGCCCTTATTCCTACTGTTGGAATTCCACTCACTCACACCCTCTCTAGCGCGTCCTAGCACCTTAGAGAAAATGGGGGAGGGGAGAACTTCTATTCCAGAATCCGGTATGTACAGGATATAAGGAACAATTATTTTTAGAATAATTGATGAGAAATATTGGTACCATATGGCACCTGCATACCTTATTAGGCAAAAGTAATAAAAAAGGGTAACAGTAACAATAAAAGAATATCAATCAATATCTGAAATGATGGCAAAATATGAAAATAAGAGAAAATAAGCGATATCTCAATGGATTTACGGAATTAAGAGCCTAAATTGGAAATGTAGCCGGAGATAACTCTCACGCAGCCAATAAGCATTTTTACCAATTTATTAGACGCCGTGGGAACGAGTGAGGCTGGAATTCTGGGTTGCCGCTTGAGATTCCCACGCCCGCACATGCCCGTGACCTGCTGTGCCTAACTTCTCCAACACGGAACTCCATCAAATCTCCACCGATTGGGACGTTCTTGGTATCGTCAGAATCGTACGAATTAGGACTATTTTTGGATACCAAATTTGTACCGAGTCGTCGCGTGAATGAAAGTTGTTTTCTGATCGTGGAAGTGGGTATCCGAGCCGAGTCTGTGCGTGGGCGATTATCCCGCCTACACCGTCCAACCAAAAAGCTGGACCACAAATGGCTTGGCCCCTTTAAGATCGTCAAAGTCGTCTCCCCAGCCGCCGTCAAACTCCAACTCACCGCATGACAGAAGGGAGTTCACCCGGTCGTGTCCATAACCAACATCAGGCCACACCGCCCGGACGATATCGCAGAACGACCCACTGACCCCCGCCCAGGCCCAGAACTCGTAGATGGAGAAGAAGAGTACGAGGTCGAGAAGGTATTGAACTCCAAGTGGCTACGCCGGAAACTCTGGTATCTGGTAAAATTTGTTGGCTGGCCGAGCTCAGAGAACCAGTGGCTCCAGCGGGACCACTTAGCCCATGCCCCTGACCGGATCGAGGAATTCCACAGGACGCATCCCCTAGCCCCGGGGAGAGAGAGAGAGAACCACCTGACCGCTTCGAGGCGAAGCGGCTTAAGGAGGGGGTGATGTCAGGGCACACCCGCCTGACCCGGGTCCACCCGGACCCACCCGGCCACACCACACCCGCTCCCCACTGTCCAACCCTCTCCCTCCTCCTTCCTCTGTCTTTTCCTTTTCTCTCTTTCTTCCCCTTTTCTTTATCTCATTCCTCTCATCTTCCTTTTCTTGTTTATTTCCTTCTATCTACATGGACCACCTTCCCCCGCATCAATGTACTATTGACCCGTCCGGCCCACACACCCTGGACGGCTCCCCGCTGTGCCCAACATGCGCGCATGCAGCGGACACTCTTGGGATCCCCCACGGGGATACCCAGATGCCTGTGGCTGCCTCCGAGGGTGACGTGGCACTCGTCATGTGACTCAAGCCGCATGTACATAAATGTACCTGAAGTGGGAACCGAAGAAGTAACCTTCTTCTCACATTCTCCACTTCAGGTAAGTAGTATAGTTTTCCCTTTTAATAACAATAACACATTCTCCACTTCAGTCTAAGTGGCCAGGGACTGCTGTCCCTCCCCGGACCCGCCAGCACGTGCACCCGGTTTGCACCCCGTGAGGGCCCTTCTGCCGGGCGATACATCCGGACCCCCTCTACCCCGGACGCATCCCTGACAACACTCCACCCTCCACGTGAGAGTACTTCAATGACTCGCCTTGGTGTGTTTGTGGAGTCAAGGAAGAAGCCTTGAATGGCTTGGAATGCATTGCATCTTTGGCTTGAACTGTTTGCCAAGATCGAAAGGATTGCGACCCCTTTCTGTGTGCGCCGGTAAGTCATAAGTTTGATCCAGTATTGTTAACTCACTACTCTCAGAAGTGCCGCGTTACGTCTTTTTGCTCGAGTACGACCATTCCTCTTGCTCTCTTCCTCACTGCTACTCTCACTATCGCTGTTGCTTTCACCTTCCCCAATCACATCATCGCCATCTGCCAACTCGCCAAGATCTACATTCGGGTCATGTCTTGTCCGATAGTCAGCCACCTCTCTTGATGGCTTTGCACATCGTCGTGCTTCTCCGTTAGCATCAAGGAGCGACTGTACTAAGGCCCAAGTCTTCGGAGTCACACAACGGAATTTATCGATCATTTTCTCAAGGCTAAAGTTTGTTACATTGTCCGCCATTGCACTGTGGGCATTGAAGTGTAAGCCATGTATGCTCTGAATAACTGTCTTGATCTCATTAACATAGATCCTCTGAGACAGATCCAAAGCCCAATTCTCCACTGCGTTACCTGTCGCTTCAGTCCATAACCGGGGATCACGACTTTCTAGCAACGCGATGAGAAAATTCGGTATCGTTTGCAGTGATGAGCTTTCGATTAGATTGATGATCTCGAGGAGTGCTTGTGACATCCAAGGTCAAGAACTAGATACAAAGTGTAGGATTGTTTTATAGATGCAACCCATCAATCATCTCCATTATCTGACGGAAAATATAATAAATATTGGTGTGATTATCGAGGCCAAAGAACTCGAGTTAAACAAACAATAACAACATATTGCGCCAGTCGCTTACGCAGTTTCGCCGCGCCGAAAAATTCGGATATACTTCGGCGAAACTCACGTGAGCGACTGGCACTGAGTCTGGGGTAAACGAGTCGGGCGAAAAATCTAGAAAAAGAGATGGAAATGTATCACTTTTAGTTTTACATGTGACCAAATCCAATCGAAAAATCACACAGCCACTTGGAGCCACCAAACAGCGTGACACCGGACATTGCAACCGCAAAGCCAGCGTGACGCGTGACAAACTTTGTAAAAGCACCCAACCGGAAGGCCTGCGTGACGCGTGACCGGTTGTTGGTCGTGCCAGTACAGTAACTGCGTTATGAGAACTCCTAGGTCCTTCGGCCACACGGTCAATTAGAGCCGATTTTGGGCGCCTGTCAGCTTAGTCAACCCGAAGGCTGTGTTTGCCACGCCACAAAATCTGGAGCCCTAAATTGGAGAAGCTTGAAACGCGCGAATCTAATATTTAGCGCGCAAAAGGGAGACCCCAGATTTCACACTTGATCGGTTTTCCTCGCAGATTCTCTCTATCTTCCCCCGCTTGCTTGTCGCCGCTCTCTCCGCGTTTTTAATATTACACAATGGGAAAAGCGAACTGGACAACACTTCCGCTTGAGACACCGATGGCATCAGAAGCTGGAACATGCCTTTCCGTCGCGTGCCCCGACCCCCGTCCCGGTGGGTATCGGACTTATCCATTTTGGTCGCCTAGCCCTTTGTACAACAGCCCAGTGCTACCCCCTTAAATGTCAATCGCGATGGGCACCCTCAACAAACTTTTCAAGAACCATCTATGGGGGGGTTCAGCGGCTTTTCCGCGCCGCGTGTGGGCGTGCTTCTTCGCTTTTTACTGTCCTTGCTCCAACACTGGGAGCTTAAGTCCCGCTTCCAGCACCTCCAAAACACTGGTCGTTGATACGGTTATCATGGATCGTCTCTTTTACGCTGCACCCACTGCCCCGTCTTGTGATAATGTCACAGGCACTGAATGATGTTCTGGTCAACTCTAATTGGGGGATACGTCTTGTTTCTTACTTCTTTGAGATTTGAATGCCCAAATTTGAAATTCCGCCTCGCTACTGCGACTTCTCGCAAGGCGGTTCGCTATCGTTACAGAAGCCAGGGAACTGATGGTTCCGACTTCTTTTTAACCTGCTACTGCGACCCTTGCACGCTCACTTAGTGAGATTGTGCTGGAGGGCAGGTCAGTCCCTTCGATCAATTTGGTATTCTGGGTGATACCAACGTGTCCCTGGTACTCAAGGGTGGACATAAGAATAGAAAACGCGGTACTGGTAACCAAAGGCCGCCGCTTTGCCAGTTGCCCAGCAGCATTGTGTGGCTGAACCTGTATTAGTCGTGTTGTGGATGAATGAGCGTACACGATCACGTCGACGTTGAATCCCATAAAACTCCGCCATCACCTGGTGCTATCGTGCCTGGTGTCATCGAAATGGGGGATCATAAAAAAGCCCAACGGCTGCGCACTAATCGTAATACACCCTGTTTGGGGGGCAAGAATTGATTTGCATCCGGTGCAGACGCTGGTACAAGAACTTGTATCTCAGCGCGAGTCTCTTCTATCATGCCCTCAGGTCCTTAGGTCGAATTCCCTCATTAAATTCTCAGAACTCCTGGGCAACACGGATTACCGAATTAATGCAAGAATCTCGACATTTCATTTTGGTTCTGCTGCGCCTGGCACGCGTGAGCCTGCGGATTTGGAGTCCTGAATTGAAGGAGCCTAAAGCGTACAGGCTCACATTTTTGCATCAATGTATAAGAGGGAGGCCATGAGACCCTACGATTGATCGGTTTTCCCTTCAAGGTCTCCCCCCACCTCCTCTCCGTTGCCTGGCTTCGCGTTTTAGCATTAACAAGGATGTCAGAAAAGGTGAACTAGACAACTTTTCCAGATGTTTTGAATCAGAACCTGACAGCCGCCTTTTCCTTGCGGCGTTCGCTCCCCCCCCCCCCCCCCCCCTGACCGCAGCCTATTGATCAGCAGCCTGGCGCCACTCGCCAAATGTCATCAGGGGGCAATCGCAACGCCCTCAACAAACCTGTCGATCCTCAGGGTGAACGCGAGTGGTCCTACGGGATTTTCGACTGCTTCTCCGAGTGTGGAACGTTCTGCCTCAGCTGTTGGTGTCCTTGCTTCGAGTACGGGAAGCTCAAATCCCGTTTCAAGCACCTCCAAACCACTGGTAAACCTCATCCCCAAGGAGGTAAAATGCTTAACATGGATTGCCTCACTTATGATGCTCTCCACTGGGTCGGTAAGTGTTTCCGTGACTGCCTCCTGGCCATGTCACTGAACTTTGAGTCAACTCCTGATTGGGAACACGTCTCGTTCCCTACTATCCTGAGGATTATACGCTCATGATGAATTTGAAACTTCCTAGGTTGTTCTTGCTTTGTCACTAGGCCCACTCGCAGGGAGATTCGTAATCGTTACAACATCCAAGGCGCTAACGATTCCGACTTCCTTCTAATCTGTTGCTGCGATCCTTGCACACTCACCCAGGAATCTCGTGAGATTGCGCTGGAGGAGGATAGCTTGCGCCAGGTCAGTCCCTTCGACGAATCAGGCATTCTGGATGATAACGACGTGACCTTTTGTGTCAGAAATCTTCCGATGTCTGATATGAATATCGAACCTCTCTTTGTTTTCTTCTGATCTGTATCCCTCATCGTACTCTTCGAATCCAGTGTTTTTCCCCTCTTCGTGCTAGGCGTCAGACGCGGCGGGGACGACAAATGCAAAATTGATAAGAGTCCGCCGCTCAGCCTGTTGTCCTCGCTGATGGTATTGCATAAGGTCGAAAAAACTAAATAGTCACATGCTGAGCTAGACCTCGTTGACCGATGAGGAACTGAATGCCAACCAACCCCAAAATATGCAAAGTACAATCAAATGCCCACCCGTATGTTCTTTGGGCCATTCTCTGGTGTCTTTGGTGTGGAGTCCAGGTGAACTAATAGATGGAACCAGGACGGGGAATTGCAGAAATTGATCTGTCTATAGAGGCTGGTATCTGAGGCAGGACTCCAGCCTCTGGGACTTAGATGGTATCCTGCCTCGGAAATTGGTGTCACCTGCCCGTGTCATTTGCCGTAGCACAATTACGTAACTTCTGATGCTAAATTGGCCCCGGGAAAAAGACTCTGCTCTCAATTTCCCGACTCTCCTGCGTGATGGAGCAAGGTGAACAGAAGCATTGAGTCAGACAAAGGATATTGTATCGTGTGCGAACTTATCATTGTGTAACAGCCTGGGATAACTACGTAGGAGGTTGATTGGCTCGGGATCAACCATTGATACTTACAAAAATGCATGAACGCGTAGTACGTCAGGCTTTCCGCGTTGGGTACAGTCCCACCTTCAGAATGCGGTGTCCCCAGGTATTTCAAACGCGACATATTCTGGCCGTACGCAGAACAGGGGCAACAAACCGCGAAAAGACACGTTTGACAAGCGCCAAAGAAATCACATAATCCGAAGGACCAATCACGGTGACCTGTAGGTCCGTTCAAGGGTTTACTAAGGGCATTCTCAATTACCGTCGAGGCCTTCACCACCGGAAATGGCCATTTGGGGACCGGTGGAGGGTTGTTGGTCGTATTTGCGGGTCGTGCTCGAAAGGGTGTTTGAGTGGGATTCGGCCTGGTATGAACAGTTTGTGACGATAATGGTGCCGAACCGCCGGCACCACGCCCAGTCAAACGCTCCGGCAAATCAGATGGGTGGAACTGCGGCAGCGGTTATGAACCTTGAGATCTCCCTATAGGAGGGTACTGTGTACCCGCTGTCCGAGTCCCGAATTCATCAAAGGGTGGCGCCGGCATTCCTTTTTGATGTGCAGGAAATTGTGCAAGGGTGCGATGGTGGGTCGGAGAAGTAAACAGACCAGGTAACTGCATCGCTGGATTCTCCCCAGCCGATGTTACGGCGCCACCACTGCCAGCTCCCGAAGGTGGGTTGTAGCTACACGTCTTCCATCCGACGAATGACCAGATATGACTCACTTTCTCTGGTATTTCCTGTCAGTCAACGCAAAGGGGGGCGTTCCAAGGAGTCAGCGAGACCAGAATTTAGTCCATATATATCACGGTAGACGCAGCACCAGCACAGTCACTGGATCGAACAGTGTGGAGACAGTGGCATGGGGGCGCACATCAAAAGCTTCTGATACGCTGAGTTTCTGTCGAAGAGTGTGGGGCCATTCTAGCAGTCACGGCATCTCGTCTAAGCTAGGAAGCAATGGGCGGTCGCACCTCATCTCGCAGCAGAAGTTAAATGCTGTGCAGAGGGTATCCAGCCTTTCGAGCTTAGCTACTCGCCCCTTTTCTGACGGCGCAGCGAGAAGCTGCGATAACATTATAGGCCCAAAAGCGATTGTTATGGGACACCTTGAATTCCGCAAATTTGAAATTATGACGGATTCCGGATAACTCCGCTCAATTTCAAAACTTGCGAGGGTGGTCACCTGATCTGTCGGACATTCATGCCAAGCCAGTAGTTCAACAAGTCTGGGCTAGTCTTACCTCACACTCACCACGGGCCCAATCAATGCAGCGATGATGGAACACTCAGTTAGGCGCACGCTCAACTTGCTTAAGGCCATCGTCGTCGCAAAGAACCCTATCCATAAAGCCTGGTACCCTGCCTAGCAAAGAACTGACGCGTAGAGGTCTTATCTCTGATATTGCCTTTTCAGCCTTGCAATTTATCAACAAATTCCGGCACCTGACCACCAACAATCCCACGTTTTCCCCGCACAGCAACCACCTTGAATTATTGGCCCACGTGTTGGTGTGTTGATCGAACAACGTTGAGATCCCTGGTGCTCAGCGCGATGGTGTTCTTGCTACATATCACTCTGAGCCGGCTCAATACGGGTGGACCTGGGGGTACTTATGCTTGTTCAGACGAGCTCTTCACAACATGAGGTTAGATTGGGCTTTTCCTTCTCTGCAACTGCATACTGTCACCTGTGTCTGAGATCATATATACAACGGGCGAATCCAAGAGCCGAGACGTGAGAATGCCGCGATGCCGGCAGGGTGCTGAGCCATCGAGGCAACGAATCTTAAACGCAACCAAGAGGCATGGCGTCCTCGTATGGGTGGTGTTTGAAATGCCGGATAAGACAACGCGCGAGAACCGGATCGAGCTCAAGACTACCGCCGGCACGGCCATACAGAGCATTGCTTAGAAGCACTTCACCGATCCAACATTGTGGTCGATGTATTCAGGGTAGTACAAATCCGGGAGGCGATGTAAAACCTACCGACCCGAATACTCATGCCCCATGTCGGTAACGCAATGAACAAAGCATTGAACACATGAGTTCGATTTTCGCTGACGCGATGCGGAGCAAGGGGTCGGCACGGGAATATGAGATGAAGGATACAAGACACACGAGCGTGGAGTGCGGGCGACGATGAAAAGTAAACCCCAAACAAAGAGGACGATCCCAAAGGACAGATGAAAATGCGCTTCAGCCACGCTGTCCGCCGAGCTGGCTCTCTTCCTCAAGCCCAAGCTCGCGAGATTCTTGCGTCAATGAACACGATCTACAGAGAGTATGGCACATGCAATCCTCCCATTCGCCTCCTTGGATACTGTATCGTCGACGAATACTAGCCCTTCCATTCATACCGGCGAGGCAATCGAGATCTGAGAATAGTTAGACTGCAAGTACCGACTCGAGAAGAGAAAAGACATACGGGCATATCCAAGTAGCTCATATAGGAGGCAATCCTCGTTGAACATTTCGCCCCCAGCAGGGTGTGGTCTTCCGTGCGTCTGCATATGTTTCAGCCTAGACATATTCCGTCCGTACGAAAGACAAGGACAGAAATATGATAATACCCATGTTCCGCATACTTCGGTGCAATCACAGGGCCCAAACGACCACTTCCGCTGACCGGCCGCATCGAATGGCTTGTCCAACGCGTTGCGATTCCCACCTGCACCATAGACCATCTGAGGGGCAGCCCTAGGTTGTTGAGCGATATATTGCTGTTGTTGGGGCACACCCTGTCCCTGCGCAGGGTAACCCGCCTGCACGGGCTGCTGGGGAGGAAAGGCATGCGCATGCGGAGGAGATGTCTGATAACCGGGGGGAAGCTGACCGGGTTGATAGCTTTGTTGTGGTTGTGACCCTTGTTGCTGAGGGAATGCAGGGATCGGATTTTGAACTCCAGGTGAGGGCTGAGGTGTCGATTGGTTGAAAAACTGCTGTCCACCCTGAGTGGGGTGTTGTTGTGGAGGAAATGTAGCCTGACCGTAGCCGGGCGAGCCCCCGTACGGGGGTTGGACATAGCCAGGAGCACCTTGCTGATACTGCTCATAGGGATTGAACGTTTGCTGATAAACGGGAGACTAAAATTCTCAGTTCATTGTATTCCCAAAAAAGGCTCAGGACAGGAACTAGGGACTCTCACCTTGTCAGCCATGGCGGGAAAGTAGCGTGCGACGTCTTAGGCCGCAGGCTCTCCTGAGGGTCTGGACGAAAGGCTCTGACATCCCCAGTTCGAAGTAATATATTGGTCCGACACAAACCAATCAGCGATCACGATCCGTGGAGCGTATCCGCGCTCTTCATATAGTAGATATTGATCGGACACAATTGAAGCGGTCCAGTTCTGTCCAAGTGTGCTGATCGGATTAATTCAAGGATGCGACGGACACCAGAGCGCGCACTGTGCATGTGTCTGACCGCGGAGGTCGCTTAGGGGTCCTCACATGCAGTAAAGCTGAAGTAAACAATACTTTAGCACCAGCACCGAACGGTGCTTTTAGGCCATTCGGGTCGGTTGACCATAGAAAAGAGGGTTACATAACATTCAACCAAGCTAGGCAGGTGAAGTACCACCCTCTATTAGCGACCAGGCTGGGTCTACATCCGATTCCCATATTCTGCTTCCTGTGAACTGCTGGAGGTTTGCGTTATCTCCAGGGTGCCTGCACATCAATACCTTCCATCTTTAGCTAGGTCGCATGTACTTACACGCGGCCAAGTATCGGAATTCATTACTGCCAACAGCGCCTCATTTACGATGAAAGAGTGAGCGATACCGATTAGCAAACAAACCAAGAGGACAAGCAGTTGGAAGGACTCAACAAAGGAGAGTGGGAACAGAAAGTGGGTGATACGATGAGGCAGGACCAACGTGATCTTGTAATCAGAAGGGGGAAAATCACGTAAGAACGGCAAAGGTAATTCAGCGTCAGAAATTACGTAATTGTGCTACAGCAAAGCAGGTGATAAGGCAGGATACCGGTCTAAGTCATAGCTATAGAGGCTGGAGTCCTGCCTAAGATACCAGCCTCTGTAGATAGATCAATTTCCGCAATACCCCGTCTCGCTTCCACCCATTACATAAGTAGTTCACCTGGACTTCCCTTAGTGTGCGGGCATTTGATTGTACTTTGAATATGTTTTTGATTTGGCCTCCTTCTGATTACAAGATCACTCTGGTCCTGCGTCATCGTCCATCTTACTCTCCTTTGTCAAGTTCTTCCAACCGCTTGTCCTCTTGGTTTAATTGCTAATCGGTATCACTCTTGGCGTATTGTTGACTGTTCAAATTTTTTCGGCACAGGCTCATTTACAGGGGGGTTGACAACTCACATATCGACCTGATACTTCTAAACACGGGAAATGAAGGAGTCATCGGAGTTGATTTTGGCGCTCCCTCAGACACCGAAGAGGCATGTCGATAATTTATTGTACGCAATAACTGACTCTGAGTGCTCCAGCAGGTCGAGAATTTTTCACTTGCAGTTTGAAAAACTTGGACCATGCGGGCCGATAACGTCCATCAGCAGGCAGCGCACAAAGAACCAACTTGGCTTTGAGGGATGGCCAGTACCACCAAGGCTGGTCCCGTAGTGTTCGAGTTCTTGAGGGTAATGGACAGAGAGGAGAGGAGTGGCATGGGATCCATATGGCTCGCAAGTGAACAAAGCCGGCGTGCACGTCAGGCAAACCTTGCGACACTAGCGTCTCGCACTTCTAGAGATTGCGATGAATCTATTTTGTCGGTACTGACATTGTAAATGATCGACCCGTTTTCCATCTCATCTATGCTAGGCAAGAAAGTCTTATTTTATTAGTACAAGCCAACCTAGCAATGCTAGGATATCACACCTCCAGTGATGGGGATTCATCCCACTACTTCTTCCTTTGAAGGTGCCGATTCCAACCGTTGATCAATTAATTTGATGCACGCTTGTGATATTTTTTGGCCGTTTTCTAACAGAGCAGGACGCCAATCATGAATTGAAACTTGGAAGCCATGGGTGACTCACTGCACAGTCATGTGACCCCGGAAAGTTAAGAACCAGTTCCACCACGAGGATGCTGTTATGGTTAAGCCGTAACCCCCGACGGACTTAACGGAGGTTTCACATGTCCCGCATATCTTAGTTCCATTTCAACTCATGTAGCTTAAGACTTCCTGTATGTTTCTCTTGTCTCATATGTCTCACCTCGCATGTTTAGCACATCTTCATGTATATAAGGAGTTGACCAGTGAAGACGGACTCTTCAACTGGTCAACACAGGTCACTAGCCTCAATAGACACCTCGTGATCTTGTTTCTCGTGATCTCATGACTCTCGCTCCGTTCCCACGCTCGCTAGCGCCGAGAGGTTCGTGACAGATGCTTTGAATCAGGAGGCCAAGCGAATCGGTCGTCCACCATGAGAAAGATAAACCTAAATTGGGAAACATTGTTACTGACCCGCCACCATTTGCAAGCATTTGAAGCGATCGCACTTGCACCAGGGTTAAGTATTGCAGACAAACATGCGATTTGTCAAAGATCGAAGCATGGCATCTCCCGGCCTAGGTCGCACAGCCGGGTCCCAGACAATCGGTCGTCCATGAGCTTGCGTCGCACACAAACGTGTATCTCCCTATGTAAGTCACACAGCGGAAGAATTCATTGTCACGCGATGAACATTCCGACAATTTTGTTTATGTAAGCGCAACGATGGCCGACCTCAGTACATAAATAGAAAGTTTGACCCCTTCTGAAGCTCCGTACCCGCAGTGCCACATCACCATCTCAGCTGAGCACCCCCTTTTCATCATACCATGTTTAAGATCGACCAGCCCATTCTTGTCGACACCGAGGACCCAGAATATTACGCAGAGCTTCTCTCCAAGACTTACAGACCCCCAAATCGGTGGCTATCCAATAAAACACTTTGTTCACGCATCCCCGGCGTTCAGGGTGTCGACGACACCTCCCGGCGCATACGGGCACTTCTGGATGCAGTCGCCAATATCTCACTCTGCAAACAAGGAAATGCCTCCGCTACAATGGCCTGCGTAAAGGCCAATAAAGGCGCTCTAGAAACGCGAATATACATCGCTTTCAACAACGAAGATGACGGCGCGGCTAGAAATTGTCATGTTCACCTACAGTCCATCTTTGATAGGCTTTCCTGTATCCCCCATGTAGTAGACGGCTCCCCGAAGGACGTCTCGGCTGAGTTGGAGGGGATCATAACTGAAGTCTGCAGAACCATTCACAATTACTCATTCGACCTTTTTGCGTATCGCGTTAACAAGCACAAGAACGAGCTTTCCGACATTCGGAGGTACATTGAGCAGGATGACCATCAATTCAATTCCCGCCAGCGTTCTAAGTTGTTGGATTTCTTATCGCATGTGGAGTCCATTATCAAGGTTGTTGCCAACGCACAAACAACGAAGCAACTTTCTATCAGTTTTATGCTCAAGCTTTTAAAGATCTATTCGTACTGGAAAGCGAATCGCCTTCTCCCCAAAGAAGGGCATGCCGACAATGTGGGCACATTGCTTGACCTCGCGGATGCGTGGCTTGCTGACGGTATGTGATATGATGCCTAGATGGTTGCTCTCACCTGAATCTACATCTTTCTTAGCCCACAACATAGGTTTCCGGCTTCGGCGTTGGGCAACGAAGATCATGTCCTTTGTGGACTCGGTCAACAGGCTCCTTATCTTGACCCAGCCGCGCCGCCTCCGCGGATTTATAGACGGGACCTTCGCAATTACACCCCTCTCATGTCCCACCACGACTCCGTATCGTTGTGATCTTTCTTCAGAGAACATACGAGTGGCTCTGGATGCCGCGCTGAACCAAACCAAATACTCTACTGCGAAGTGGTTAGAGGAGCGCGAATCGTTCATTGTGTGGCTTCAGGATAAACTGAAAGATTCTGAGGCGTGCCACCGGAAACCCACGGTCCACGCCGAGCTAGTCATGATTACAGCAATGCTCAAGGGCGAACTCCAGGGAGTTTTCCCCCACATCGGGGTCTCTAAACCTTCCTGCGTTATGTGCATCCACTATATCCAGGCCCTTAAAGAGGTTACGGGGAAACGGATCGCTGTCAACGGTTCTCATGGGAAGGCGTACCCTGGGTGGTCATGGCCTAGTCTTCCTTCCCACGACAAAGAAGTTCGTAGAGCTTTTTTACAACTTAACAGACAACAGCTCTGGAGCGATTTCAACTTGCATGTAGAATCCCGTAGAGGTTCTAGCCTGGAATCTGCCGATCCGGGATTTGAATCAGTTGCAACAGAGGAGGAAATTAAAGAAATCTTCCGTCGTGAATTGTCAATGCCCCCTTCGTTAGTATGTGTAAAGTAGCCCTTGGGCTTGGCAAATGATTGTGTAGTTTCGATTGAAAGGGTCTCAAATCATAACAGCGACAGCCCCGACAACCGCCGAGACTTCAAATTTCGCGGTAATATACATAGGAGAAGGGGTGGAGCAACAACAAGCTTACGAGCGATGACCCATTTAAAATTTTTGATAAAATTGGTAAAGTAAGTACAAGCCAACAAAGCAGCAATGTTATGGGGAGAAGTCTGTCATGAAACGAGTGTGAGAGTAAGTGCGCTTTCCCCCCTTCCTTAGCTGAGGGGTGTTCCGACTTCCTTCTAATCTGTTGCTTGCGCACACTCACTCAGGACTCCCTGTGTCACTTGCCGTAGCACAATTACGTAATTTCTGACGTTGAATTACCTTTTCTGTTGTTACGTGATTTTCCGTCCTTCTGATGACAAGATCGCTTTGGTGCTGCGTCACCATCTTCTGTTCCCACTCTCCTTTGTCGAGTTCCTCCAATTGACCGCTTGTCCTAGTTTGTTTGCTGCTATGCAATGCTAATCGGTTATCGCTCCCTCTTTCACCGTGCGAACGGAAAATTTTTTTTTGGCGATATTCCTGTACTTCACAGTGCTATGCATGTAATGAATTCCGATACTTGGCCGGGTGTACGTACATGCGACCTAGCTAAAGATGGAAGCATGTTAGCACTGCACTTGCGAGGCGGTGCAGTCACAGGCAAAACTCTGCCTCTATAGTGCTGCCACCGAAATTGGCGGCCACGCTTGCAAACTTCGAACAGCTCATAGGAAGCAGGATATGGGAACAGGATGTAAATAGACCCAGCCTGGTCGAATGTTGACCTTCCTTTCTGTGGTCAACCGACCCGAAGGGCCTAAATATAAAAGCACCGAACGGTGCTGGGGCTAAAGTATTTATTTACCTCAGCCTTACTGCATGCATGTGAGGACCCCTATGTAAGTGACCCCCGCGGTCAGACACATGGCACTTGAGGTTCGTCGCGGGAAATGCACCTGCGCCACACTCGAGACATCCGCGATGTTCAGTCCCACGAGCATGTTCTGTCATCCCTTGTATGCCCGTTTACAACGATCATGAGAGTTTTTTGTAGCTATTTTGGTGTACAAACGCAGCAATCAAGCATGCCATGGGCCCTTGAAGCGTGTGAAAAAATTTACCTGAACATGAGGTTTCTCGATTCAATTAGCAAACTTTGGACGGAAATGGGACCGCTTCCGGATCAATATATATTATACACATAGAACCAGGGATGTGGGACGACTCCAGAGCCTTTCGTCCAAACACCCCATCAACCCCCTTTCAGGAGAGCCTGCGGCCTAAGACAGCGTCGCACGCTACTTTCCCGCCATGGCTGACAAGGTGAGAGTTCCTGTCCTAGTTCCCGTCCTGAGCCTCTCGAGCTTGGGGGGCTATTTTCGGGAAGCCAATGAGCCCGACAATTTTAATATTCGGTTTATCAGCAAACGTACAATCCCTATGAGCAGTATCAGCAAGGTGCTCCTGGCTATGTCCAACCCCCGTACGGGGGCTCTCCCGGCTACGGTCAGGCTACATTTCCTCCACAGCAACACTCCCCTCAGGGTGGACAGCAGTTTTTCAACCAATCGACCCCTCAGCCTTCACCCGGAGTTCAAAATCCGAACCCCGCATTCCCTCAGCAACAATGGTCACAACCACAACAAAGCTATCAACCCGGTCAGCATCCCCCCGGTTATCAGGCATCTCTTTCGCATACGCCTTCCTTTCCTCCCCAACAACCCGTGCAGGCGAGTTACCCTTCGCAGGGACAGGGTGTGCCCCAACAACAACAACAACAGCAATATATCGCTCAGCAACCTAGGGCTGCCCCTCAGATGGTCTATGGTGCAGGTGCAGGTGGGAACCGCAATACGTTGAACAAACCATTCAATGCGGCCGGTCAGAGGGAGTGGTCGTTTGGAACCTGTGATTGCTTCGACGCATGCGGAACATGTTTATTCGCATGTTGCTGTAGTTGTCTTTCGTATGGACAGAATATGTCTAGGCTAAAACATTTGGAGTCCCAGGGAAGACCACACCCTACTGGGGGCGACATGTGCAACGGGGATTGCTGCGTATATCTGCTACTTGCATATATCGGTATGTCTTCTTTTCTCCTCTTCTCGCTGGCTCTCGAGTCCAGTTCTAACTATTTCTCTCAGGTTGCGAATGCTTCGCCGGTATGAGTGGAAGGTCGAGTGTTCGTCGACGATACAATATCCAAGGAGGCGGATGCGGGGATTGCATGTGCCATACTTTCTGTATACCGTGTTCGTTGACACAAGAATCCCGCGAGCTTGGGCTTGAGGAAGGGAGCGAGCTCAGTGGAAAGCGTGGCTGAGCGCATTTCATCTGTCCTTTGAGATCGTCCCCTTTTTTTTTTTTTAGTGGTTTACTTTTGATCGTCGCCCGCACTCGATCCACGCCCGTGTTTCTTGTTTCCTTCATCTCGAGATGTGGTTGTTTCAATGCTCTCCGTACATCGGGAATGTTTACCGTTTAAGCCTTTGCCTGAGAGAATGGCATCTCATATTCCCGTGCGGACCCACTGCTCCGCATCGCGTCAGAGTCGATCATGGGTTCGAATGCCTCATTGGGCGCTTGTCCCAAGATGGATCATTGCGTTACCGACATGAGGCATAAGTATTCGGCTCGGTAGGTCTTACATCACCTCGACATGCTTCTAAGCAATCGCTCTGTATGGCGGTGCCGGCGGTTCGCGCGTTGTTATTTCAAACACCACCGGCCAATCTTCCACACAAGGACTCGAACATACGCCAAGCCTCTTGCTGCACCCCCTGCCAGCATTGGGTTGTTTGCGGCATTCTCGCGTCCTCGGCTCCTGGACTCGCTCGTTGTATAATCTCAGAGACAGTAATTGCAGAGGAGGTAAAGCCCATTACTTCAGGTCCACCCGTATCAATTGAGCCGGCTCAAGAGCGATATGCAGCGGGGACACCATCGCGCTGAGCACCAGGGAAATCTGAACGTTGTTCGATCAACATGGCACCAACACGTGGGCCAATATTCTCAGGCGCAATTAATGATAGTCAGGCGCGCTGCCATATATGTAAGTAAAAGATTTGAAAATCGGATTACCACCTTTCTACCAGAAACAGTAGTCAACAAGTCTGGTCTAGTCTTACCCTCCTCATGTTTCGGGCGCTCGCCACGGGCCCTATTAATGCAGCGATGGTGGGGCATTCAGTTAGGCGCATGCTCGATCAACTTGCTTAAGGCCATCGTCGTCGCAAAGAACTGACCTGGAGAGGGCTTATCTCTGGGTCCAGCACCTGACCACGGAAAATCCCACGTTTTCCCCGCACAGCAGTATCAAATCCGGACCCATCATACCATCAACAACCGTGGCGTTGGCGCTCGCTTGGCCCAACTCAAATATCAGGTGAACACACTCTCAAATTTTGAAATTGAGCGGAGTTATCCTGAATTAATTGTTATAATTTCAAATTTGCGGAATTCAAAGTGTCCCATGACAATCACTTTTAGGCCAATAATGTTATCGCAGCTCCTCGCTGCGCCATCAGCAAAGGGGGGAGGGGGACGAGTAGCTCAGCTTGAAAGGCTGGATATCCTCTGCGCAGCATTTGACTTCTGCTGCGAGATGAGGTGTGACCGCCCATTGCTTCCTAGCTTAGACGAGAGCTAGAATGGCCCCACACTCTTCTTGGCGCCCCCATGCTACTGTCTCCACACTGTTCGATCTAGTGACTGTGCTGGTGCTGCGTCTACCGTGATATATATGGACTATATTCTTGTCTCGCTGACCCTTGGAACGCCCCCCCCCCTTTTGCATTGACTGACAGGAAATGCCAGAGAAAGTGAGTCGTATTCCCCGGTCATTCGTCGAATGGAAGACGTGTGTAGCTGAGGCCGCACATCTCCAATGCTCCTCAGTTCACCTACAACCCACCTTCTTCGGGAGCTAACAGTGGTGCCGCCGTACCATCGGCAGGGGAGAATCCAGCGACGCAGTCGCCTGGTCGTTTTACTTCTCTGACGCACCATCGCACCCTTGCGCAATATCAAGAAGCAACGCCGTCGCCACCATACGATGAATTCGGAACTCAGACAGCGGATACACTGTACCCTCCTATAGGGAGATCTCAAGGTCCACAACCGCTGCCGCAGTCCCACCCGTCTGACTTGCCGGAGCATTTGACTGGGCGTGGTACTGGTGGTTTGGCGCCAATATCGTCACAAACTGCTCATACCAGGCTGAATCCTACTCGAACACCCTTTCAAGCACGACCCGTAAATACGACCTACATCTCCCAACAACCCTCCACCGCTCCCCAAATGGCCATTTCCGGTGGTGAAGGCCTCGGCGGTAATCGCAATGCCCTTGGTAAACCCTTGAACGGACCTGCAGGTCACCGTGATTGGTCCTTCGGATTATGCGATTTCTGTGGCGCTTGTCAAACGTGTCTTTTCGCGTTTTGTTGTCCCTGTTTTGCGTACGGCCAGAATATGTCACGTTTGAAATACCTCAAGAATCAGGGGACACCGCATCCTGAAGGTGGGACTGTACTCAACGCGGAAAGCGTCACGTACTACGCGTTCATGCATCTTTGTAAGTATCAAGGGTTGATCCCGAGCCAATTTTCGACCACCAACCTTCTACGTAGATATCCCAGGCTGTTACTCAATGATAGGACGAAGAGAGGTCCGCAAACGATACAATATCGAAGGGAACCTTTGCACGGATTGTCTGACTCAATGCTTCTGTTCACCTTGCTCCATCACGCAGGAGAGTCGGGAAATTGAGCTTGAAGAGCAGACTCTTTTCCCACGGGTCACGGGTGCACGCGCAAACCAAGCGTACAGCTTGAATTAGTTACGGGACCCATACCGTCAATTTTCTTGCTCGACGGTATTTTTCGTTTGCTCCCTTTTTCATCGCCATACATTCTATCGCCTAAAGATGCGTTCGTGTTCTGAAGGATCCAGTAATCTTTTCACTCCAATTCAATTTGATGAATTGAGACTCTTTTTACAATGACTTTCTCGCTTTAATGTTCACTGGTATACAACGGCAGCAGTCTTACTGATGCACTGTGAGTCTACCTCCATGGTCCACCCTAAGCAGGTTACCAGCCTCTATGGTCCACTTGCTAGTGTGGTGCTCTCAGCCTTCCCATACTTTTCGACAGCATGCCTTGCGTGGCACACGTGCCAAAGGACTCATCAATTGCTCCATGCAATCGACCGGCTGGGACTCGTAAGACTTCCCGAGTTCAAGTCTAGAATATGTATATCTGTCTCACTGCTTGTGCTGGAGAGCGATGCGCCCAATTCTACACATGGAGAGGCCGCCTAGATCCGCCGCCCAGAGTACGCGGCGTACTCTGAACAGTTTGACATGGAGTGGATTTAAATAGTGAAAATACAACACCACAACTTCGCGTTGCAGAATAGCGGCTGGTGACTTGTCCGGTGTCCCAGTCATGCACGAATGTACCGGCAGATCACCCACTTGCCGCCTGTGCCAGCGGGCTCCGACTGGATTGGCTTGTTTGCTGTTCCCAGAAACCGCCATCATTGCTGATCGTTACTGTGTGCTTGCCGCGTGCCATACGCTTCCAGGGAAACATATTTCTTCTGTGCTTAGCAGGTGCACAAAGGCACTGCTGTGCAGGTAACATCAACATCAAACAACCGCATGCAAGAGCAGGAGACTCATGCCCAACAGTTTCTCGACTAGATTCTAATAGTAGCCCTTCAACTAGTAACGCATTCACCGGTGAATTTGTGAGGCACAATACACTCTATGCGCTAAGGACAATCCTAGACCGCCACCTCTTCAGCCTTACGTACGTTCTTGGCATACAGCTGGGCTCGTGCTTACTGAAAATCTTGTCACCACGGACGGGAGTCCACACCACATTAGGGAGAGGACCAACCCCATGATAACTCAGACACGCGAGTTTTCGCGACCTCAAAATAATCCTTATACCCTCAACTGCTCGTATGGCCTTGAGTATTTGTGCCTAAATACTTCAAACCGTTTAGTCGTGCCACATGTGGTGGTGCAGATGGCTCACAAAGTCGGCGGGGTCCTCTGCACGGTATTCGGACAAACAGATACTCAGGTTGTGTTCAGGAAAGGAATTCGCACAGTTTTTTCAGCCACCGTTTGATGTCGTAGGATACTTGGCATTCGCCAGCCTCCAAGATGCAGTAACGGGGGCACAGCGGGCGCAACATAAAATTGCCGCGTAATTGTGGGGTTGGAGCTGAGCATCTGATTCTGAACTCAGTTATGGGTGCGGATTGGGGCCTGAAAAAATTGGGACTCAGGCGAGAGCCCTAGAGGACAGATTTACACTTTATATTATATTTACTAACTTACTATAGTGAACGCAATGAGCCTCGGCATGGGAAGGAAAGTCGTGATTTGTTTGATTACCATTCTCGCAGTGTGTCTCGCACATCTTGTTTGTTAAACTAGAAAGGAGAGTGTCCGGATCAATGTACCAGCGCATCGTTATGCTCCATGGGTCACTGATTACAGTGACTTTCGCTACCGTATAGATCAGCGCCAGCGTTACCCATGGTATTGGAATTGGTATAAGATGGGATGAATGGCTCGGCCACCGTTGATTGATGATACAATTTGAGTCATGACTGATATCCAGAAGTCGAGAAGGATGATGTATGTACAGTCTCGTGAATGGTGAAAGGAAGGATTGAAATCTGCCCCAGGAAGGGTGGCTAGGTGGCGATGGTCCCACTGATGGGTCTGTGACAACAATCACCCGTTGACGAATATATACCTCCGGAACGAAATGGCCCGAGAAGCAACGATCCATCGGGGGGCGTCGGGGGCAGGTTGTACATATGTAAACCAGAATATAATCGGAAGGATCTCATACTCTCTTGCAACGACCACGAGCAACGCCTCACCGTTGGTGCGAGTCTTCAACACACAGATGACAGGCAAACGAGAATGGTATTGGTAAGTTTTTTGGGTGCATACAAGCATGAAAACACATGTTACAATGACGAGAACGTCCCAAATAGGTGTGCGCAAGCGATGCATCCTCATAGAATACCAGTTGCTGAAGGGGGAAGCGGTATATGCTGGAGAATGTAACGGCAGCATGGGTGTGATAGCTGGCATAAGCGTATCATCGGCCAGGAAAGAAAGCGCTCCCTGCTCAATGGCTGATGGCCTAGCCTTAACGTGCCGGCACTTACCCTGTTGGGGAATGTGTGCCTGTGGCACCATCGAAGTTGGGCCGCCGACCACTGATGGTCGGAGCTAGCTCGATAACCTAACCGATGCAATGGCTCATTAGTTTAATCGAAACCGTACACAAACAAAGAGTTCCCCCACAGAGTTTCAAGCCGAGGTTTCGGTAGGAGTATGTGACCATTCACCATCCTGAGTTGTGGGAACCGATGGCTCCGGCTGAGCATGAGGGAAGATGGCAGCGGAGGTTGAATGGGGTTCGGAGGCAAGTCCCACAGAAAACTGAGGGTAAGATGGTGCAGGATCTCCAGAAATGGGCATGGCAGCTGGGTACCCAATATTGTGCGCTAGGGGGTGAGGTGCCGAGGATCCCACTGGTACGATTCCAAGATACTGAAGTCGGCCATATGGTTCATGTTGGCCAACTGGCTGAGGATGGATCGGATGATTCCCCGGTCCTGAAGTCTTTGCCGGTGGTATGACACAACAAATGCAGGATCAGCCTCTTGTGGCTGAGAGCCTGAAGGAGAGGGAGTCTGGAGCCAATATACGTCACCTGTGTTGGGGGTTGATTGCATCCCTCGCTCGAGTTCACCCACCTCATTTTGAAATGAGCAAACAGCACCTCTACAAATCTTACAGCGATTCTTCGGCATGCCTTTCCTCTCAGGGATTATATGAGAGTGGTGATGTCGTTAGGCTCTGGCGTAATGAGCGGCAGCTGTGTGATCTCAGGGAGTTCTTGTTGGAGGAACCGTGTGCTATGGGAGGCCGGACGAGTTTTCGTACAGCCACATTCCCACACCCGAGTGAGGAACTTGCCCGGACAGCCACATTCCCACGGTAGCGTGACTACTTGGTCACAACACCTTTTCTTCTTACTTATTTTGGTCACTTCGGACTTATCCGCAAAGTCCACAAACTATATTCAATCTTTTGAATTAGTTTCCCTTTTCCTCAGTTCTCGCACATATAGTGGGGGTCGGCAAATGAAGGGAGAGGTCCGAGAAATTAAAAGTAGCACGTGATTTAAAAATATGGCCATTGCGCCCACCCGAAAGCCACTCCATTTAACCACACAACTTCTACTAAGTGTTATATAATTATTGCCCGATAATAATATTAAAATGCATATGTGGTATGGGAACTTACTTTGAGGCGGGTTTGTACATAACTACAGTATGTTGGAAATTCACAACCTTTTCTCACGCATCAGTGGGATTTTTGAAAATCTGACTGACCAAAACCTGCATTCACCCCCATAGAGCAATTAGGCCAAGTTTGAAGCAAATTGAAGTAGTGGAAAGGTACATTCCACTGCTCTGAAGCTGAGATGGATATGAGCCCTAACTCTGTGCAATGTATGTTTATACTCATGTAAAGACTGCACGTAAAAATATCCAAATGTGGCTATGATACTCCCCGGAAGTTTGGGGCTGTCACATGCAGTAATCACAGAGCTATGGGGATATGCAACAAAATACATGCTCATGCACAGGGAATATCTTTTGAACTAAGCCGAATTTTAAAAATCTGAGTGACCAAATGTTAGGCACATAACACATCTACCAGCATGCCAAAATTCGAGCAGAATGGAGGGGGTTGAAGGTACATTTGGGACTCACCTTTCCCAAAATGCACGATAGGTGCAAATAGGGATCACGTGTCAGGGTTTCACCGACCCCGCACTTAACTTGACTTTGACATCTAGTTCTCTTATTAGAATATCAACATTATTTACATCAAGGAATTGGTGGGTGTCGTGTGGCGAACGCTTTGGGGCGTTATGAGGCACTTTGGCACTTTTGTCCAACTCAAAACTCCGTTGTGCGATGATGTTGCCACACAGTGATGTCGCATATATAAGGGAGCAATTTTTTTTGGGACTTTCTCCCTCAGATCTCTAGTCAGAGTCTGAGGTGAGAACAATACCTTTTATTTTATATGTTATACAGTGCCCCAAAAAACCGTTGCAATGTTTTGCACTTTTGACTTCAAGAGCTTATTAAACAATGGGAAAGGGTTCTAAAATTTCAAATAAATATGTTAAACATGTGTTAGTATCCTGTTCATAACTCCACCAATTACGTAAGCAATATGTTTATTTTTGGTCAAGTTATCCAATTCACAAGGGACCCATGTCATTGCAACAGTTTTTTGGTGTGCTGCCAGAATGGACTAAAACTGGAAATATCATGTGATAGGTCATGTGATATTGTTTACTATACACACTAGTAAACAAATAAACATTGCTGGAGCATAAATACACATGGATTTCAAGCTGTAATCCCCAATCCTAACATGCATCAATTGGCTGCTTTGAAAATTGAACAAGTGCTTTTTCTCATTGATTCTGGTCACATTGCTTATCAATTACTGCTGTACACCATTCCACTGTTACCCATATTTGGTCTAAATATTGTCCTGCCACTCCTAAGCCCAGTGGTGGTTGCCCATCTAAGCTCTCAGACACCAATATCTGTCATGCAATGCATCTTATCAACTCTGGTAAAGCCAACAATGCTGCACAAGTGACCTGAATTCTTCGAAAAGTCACCAGCACCAGCCTCTCAACTGAGGCTGTGTGTCTGTGACTAAAGGAGGCTGGTTGGAAAGCAGCGGTGAAGAAGAAGCAGCCCATGCTCCTCAGCAGATGTCATAAGGAGAGAATGGACTTCACAATCAGCCACAAAGAGTGGACTCTGGAGGATTGGAAGAGAGTGGTGTGGTCTGATGAGACTAAAGTGAATTGCCTGGGCTCAGATGGGTGGAAATGGGTGTGGAAATGGGTGGATGAACCTCTTACAGACAGGCTGGTGCAAGGAACAGGAAAGTTTTGTGGTGGTTTTGTCATGGTTTGGGGATGTATTACATTGGATGGAGTTGGAATGGCATGCAATATTGATGGGAAGATGGATGCCAAGCTCTACTTCCAAATCCTGGAAGAGAACTTCCAGAAAACCCTCTCATATTATGACAAAAACCCAGCCCACATCCTTTCCGAACAGGACAACAACCCAAAACACACCAGCAAAAGGGCCCAGAACTGGTTCAATAACCATGGTATCAGGGTCATGTAGTGGCCCTCCCAGCCCCCAGACCTTAATCCAATCAAACATTTATGGAACCATGTAAAGAGGTAGCTTGGGGAGTATGAAGAACCTCCAAGTAGTGTTCATGAGCTGTGGGATCGGTTTCAGGAGGAGTGGGAGAGGATAGAACCAAGTGTCTGCTAGAATTTAATCGAGAGTATGCTTAGGAGGATTGAGGCAGTACTTAGGGAAAAAGGTGGCTATACTAAATACTAGTTAATGTGATTTTCCTTTCTCCAAAATGCACACCAAAAAACCGTTGCAATGACATGGGTCCTTTGTAAAGTAAATAACTTTACCAAAAATGGACATATTTATTAGAGAATTGGTGGAATTATTAATAAGCTACTAGCGCATTATTTTCATATTTTTATGCAATTTTAGGATCCCTTCCCAGGGTGCAATAAGCTCATAAAGTGAAAAGTGCAAAACATTGCAACGGTTTTTTGGGGCACTGTAACTCATGTATTACTCACGTCACAGACTTGCACGACTTAGGTACATATAATACATAGATCTCTAGTCAGAGTCTGAGATTATGCGACTTAGTCTTATCATTTCTAATATCTTTTGCTGCTTTGGGTAGGCTTACATCGGGCTATCCAAGAAAGCAGCCAAACAGCAACTTGACACTCATCGGTACCTTCATCCTGATGATTAGGAAATACCGAAGGCTGGCATCTTTATATTGAAGGTCAGAAGAAAGTGCTTACACGAATAGCCAGCAAGTACTCAGCTCCAGCAACTGCTGGATGGAGATCGAGAGTGATCGTGCTTGATTACACACGGCTCAAAGACCCATTTATGCAGTCATTTTTGCATGTAGATAACCGACAATCAATATTTTGTTCTTGTTCCCCGAGTTTTAACATAGTTTGCAACCTAAAGATGAGGTCTTGGGAGAGGGAGGACAGCGCGGCCACGATCGAGCCAAGTTTCGCTTATGTAAGTGTCACAAGGTTACAACCTTGTTGCCGACCCCCACATATAGTGAGACTGAGGTTAGTTATCCTTCTTTCTTTCTTATATCTTATAACTCATTGTATATTACCTTATAGCTTTACTACTAGGTAATATAACAGTTCTCGCGCATATAGTGAGACTGAGCTTTACTACTAGAGCAAGCGGTTATTCCGTTAGTTCTCGTTCTCGACGATCGAGAAGAGTGGTGCAACCCCAACACAGGGAACGGTTGAACTGTGTTTGTTGAACAAACAACGCGTCGGCACATTCCTTGCCGTGATCCAGCTTCTTCAAAGCCACAGCCAGGACTCCAGCCTCTATGACTTCGTAATATTAGATCCGAGGACTTAGCTTATACGACATGTCACTAGCTTTGTTGGACAATATCCTCCTCTCGTCCTATGGCAAGCATAAGACTGCTACCAGCCGCCACACGATCCAAAGCCTCACTTTCATTGATTCGAGCATGGTACAACATCTACGGAAGGCCATGCAAGGATCGTTTTGCCAATGCAATGTTACTGCCCGCTAATGCGCGATGACGCAAGGAAGTGAGCTTGGAAGAGCGACGTTTTCCTCCATTCAGGACAACTCATTCGTTATGTATAATATCCTAGCAGCAATGGAACGATGCGATTGCCAGGAGGGTACCATCAACCAGCGGAGAAGGGAAGAAAAAAAAACCGGGGACCAAGAAAGCGCTGATACAAGCTCCTACGCAGCAATATGAGAAACGTCCCTATCCCAAGCCCTGTGCTTCGCCACCTCTTTCAAGAAAGCGTCCACAAATTCACCCACAACCACCTCCGTCACATGTTCGCTCAAAACCACGCCATGTACAACACTGACTTCCTCCCCTTTAACTTCCCGGGTCAACTCTCCAGGAAGAACGACATTTTCCAGCCAATCGACTGCAATCCCCACAACACCAATAGGCTTCTGATGCGCATACGCTTCACGAGCTGCATAGATCAGTCGGCCAGATTTCGCGAGCGCTTGAGCATATTCGGGAGTAGATCCGCTTGCGAAGAACACTGCGTCCCAATGTGTGGAGCGAGAAGTTTCGAAGCTGGATTGAGCATGGAAATCGATCTTCGTGATTTCAGTTGAGCCGATCGCCGCTTCACTCTTCACTAGTCCCACACGGGGTCCAACGATGACGGGAACGGAACCGATGGCTAGGATTTCCGCCTGAAGCCTAATCACAACAGCAGGTGAGAAGCCATCGAGGACATAAATTCCAATCTTGCGACCCGAGGCGGAGAAAGTGTTGCGCGGTGAGAGCAATGAGAGGTAATCGGAACGGTGCCCATGATTCGTTTTGACCGGATCGGGAGGGGGAATGGAAATTTGCACAGCGACTTTACGAGCGAGGTCATTGTCAATCTACGAAGGGTCATGTTTAAGGGGGACTCAATCTTCAATGTTTAGGGAAACTTACGTTGTTCAAGTAGGCAATGACGTTCTTATGAACACGGATATCCTCCACCTTTCCAAGCTCAAATCCGATCGTAGCAACAAGGTGTTGCTTTTCAACAGTAGAGAGCGAATTATAGAAAAGTGTAGCTATTTGTGGTCGGGATGAGCAAACTCCGCAATTTTTCACCGCAACGAATTTCGACAAACCTTGGTCCCAATGCTCCGCGAATTTCGGACCTCTCGCGCGAGTTTTGTGCGCATGAGGCTCGATAGGTTGTCCTGACACAAGGTAACCTCCTTCATCTGGCGGAACAGGATGTGCCCCATTGTTCGCATCGCGATTAGGATAATAATTGATGTGACCTATATAAACCAAGAATTTTGCAAGTGCCAGATGAACTAAACCCCTTGACACATACCTGTCGTGATGATCCTGCGATGCTGCCCACCCCTCTGGAAGTTAAACACAGGACAAATAGGACGGTTGATAGGGATATCGCCAAAGTTGGGACCACCGAGTCGGGAGAGTTGGGTGTCAAAGTAAGAGAAAGCACGCCCTTGAAGGAGTGGGTCATTGGAGTGCTCGACACCAGGAATCATATGTTGAGTGCACTGGAAGGAGAACAGGTCAAACCAAGGCGTTGTACAATTGCTGAAAAAAAACTTACGAAAGCAACTTGCTCGACCTCAGGGAAGAACTCTTCCGGCTTCTTATTGAGCGTCAGCGTCCCGATATATTTCACCGGCAAAATATCCTCCGGAATGAACTTGGTCGCATCCAACAAATCAAATTCAAACTTATCGGCATCGTTTTCCGGAACGACTTGAATTCCAAATTCCCATTGAGGATAAGCACCGGCATCGATAGAGTCATATAGATCCCGACGATGGAAATCTGGATCTTGGCCTGCCAGTTTAAGGGCCTCATCCCAAACAAGGGAGTGCGTGCCCAGTTTGGGTTTCCAGTGGAATTTGACAAAGTGACGTTCCCCTTTGGCGTTCACAAATACAAATGTGTGGACACCGAAACCTGGCACGAGTGATAAGTAAAAAGCTTTCTCACACACTAAAACGCAGGTGGACTAACCCGGCATATGACGGAAGGATCGGGGAATCGAACGATCGGAGAATGTCCACATGACCATATGCGCCGTTTCTGGGGCAAGGGAAAAGAAATCCCACGCGTTGTCATGAGCCGTTGCTCCCTGAGGGATTTCATTATGTGGCTCCGGTTTGACTGCGTGAATGACGTCGGGCTATTGTATAGTAGTCATAAGTTTGGTTGTTCAATGAACAATTCGACCCAAAGTTAGATCGACACTCCCTCCCCTCGCGGAGCATCCCCGCGCGGAGGCTGCTCCACGCTGCCCACGCCACCGTCCAGCGCCACACCGAGAACAGGTGGGGGGTGGGGCTACTGATACGCCGATCTCAAGACCGTGCGCCTTCGTAATGGACCGACAGATAGTAAATACTCACAAACTTGATTGCATCTTGAATGAAGAACACGGGGATGTTATTCCCAACAATATCATAATTTCCCTCTGGAGTGTAGAATCTTGTTGCGAATCCACGAACATCACGTACAGTGTCCGCCGATCCGCGCGCTCCTTGAACGGTGGAGAATCGAACAAAGGTAGATGTAGTACGCGTAGTATCGTTGAAGAGCGAGGCGTAGGTGTATTCCGGAATGGCAGTATGAAGGGTAAAGTAGCCATGAGCACCTGTACCACGCGCGTGTACCACACGTTCGGGAATGCGCTCGTGATCGAAGTGGGAAACCTAGAGCAGAGTAAAAGGAGATGAGAAATAAGTGGTTAGTGTATTCAAGCAGGTGCGTGCCTTCTCGCGGAAGTGGATATCTTCGAGGAGGGTAGGGCCGCGAGCGCCTGCTTTGAGAGAGTCATCGGTGTTGGCTTGAGATACGCCAAAGTAGGACTTGAGTGGGGTGTCCTTGTGGCCATCTTGCGTGTCATCCTGGAGTTGCTTGACTTTGTCGTCACCACCAGTCAGACTGGCAGCGACTGTCATATTACGATGGAGCGAGATTACACAGACGCAACGCGAGACGAAATTGGGGACTTACGTGACTTTGCAGCGTGAAGGAGTGATGCCATAGATGAGAGAAGTTGTTGGGGTTGGGGGTGTAAGAAAGAAAGAGGGCGATCAGCTCCCGGTCTATATAATGGCGGAGAGCGTCTACTTCATGATGACGCTTGTTAGGTGGTGTCAACGTAAACAGCTTAGTCATTCGGGGGTCAGCTGAAGAGTCATCTTAGGGTGCACACGGCACATGCCACGCGGCTGGGTGGCTTGGAAGTTTACCCGCACCAGTGCAGTCTCACACTAACGGAGGTGAGGTAGCGTACGAATTGACCGTTTCAAGGCCGAGTACGGAATCTCCGCTGGAGGAGGATATCCAACCCCTTGTTGGTAGCAGGATTCATTTAGACAGAAACGTAAGTTTGACCCCAATGCACAAACGGACAAGGGAGTCACTTTTTTAGGCAATCTTTGATTTGCACTGACATCCTGCCCGTGACCAGACTCGTACCCAGTCGGAGGAGCTCCGTGGACGCGCAAAATAATAGCTTTTTTACGCAATGTAAATAAACGTTCTCACACTGGTACGACTGCTTCCGATGCTAGTCACGTTCTGTACTCAATAGAAAAGATCACATGGTACGGAGTTAAACAAATATCCGATCACCTACTCCGAAACTTAGCCCGCGACACTTCGCTCCTCCGACTGGGGCAAAATGTAGGTGGCGATGCATCGGAAATACCCGACTCTCACGCTAAGCCTGAATGAGTTGTACATAGAGGTTGCGCAATGTAATTGTTAGTGTTGACACATGCGGTCATTATACCCAACCCAACCCATAGAGACTTGGGAGCACCTTGAGGGTTGTGAAATCGACAATCCGGGCATGTGCGGAAATTAACTCTTCATATAATACTTCTGTAGCAATTTGCAGTTGGTGCTTTGTAGTGAAGCGGTACAAGCGTGAGCTGGGGCTATGCAGCCTTTTTGGCTGCGGGTGTTCGATTCCCACTCAGTAAACCTTTTTTTATGGTCTCAGGAATAATTGTAACAACTTCCCATTTACACTAAGGAGTAAAGAAGGAAAAAAAAAAGGTTTACTGAGTGGGAATCGAACACCCGCAGCCAAAAAGGCTGCATAGCCCCAGCTCACGCTTGTACCGCTTCACTACAAAGCACCAACTGCAAATTGCTACAGAAGTATTATATGAAGAGTTAATTTCCGCACATGCCCGGGTTGTCGATTTCACAACCCTCAAGGTGCTCCCAAGTCTCTATGGGTTGGGTTGGGTATAATGACCGCATGTGTCAACACTAACAATTACATTGCGCAACCTCTATGTACAACTCATTCAGGCTTAGCGTGAGAGTCGGGTATTTCCGATGCATCGCCACCTACATTTTGCCCCAGTCGGAGGAGCGAAGTGTCGCGGGCTAAGTTTCGGAGTAGGTGATCGGATATTTGTTTAACTCCGTACCATGTGATCTTTTCTATTGAGTACAGAACGTGACTAGCATCGGAAGCAGTCGTACCAGTGTGAGAACGTTTATTTACATTGCGTAAAAAAGCTATTATTTTGCGCGTCCACGGAGCTCCTCCGACTGGGTACGAGTCTGGCCCGTGACTCAATCCCAGGAGCTTGCCGAGGTAAACACGTGTGCAACAGCCCCTCTTCCCCATCCCCCAAGTTCATCGACTGAGGGACCCAGCGAGAAGTTTTAAAACAGATCGGCGCGTCGATCGGTCTCGACATCCACCTTATTTATAATTTGGGATCGTCGCCGTAGCCGACATCGGTTCGTTCTCGCTGGATCATGTCCCTCGTGTTCGAACATTTGAGAGCATTGTTACATGCCCCTGCGGATTCTGTCTTCAGATGTGTTCCCTTACAAATTACCAGACATCAGTCGAAAGTCCAATCTTAAACCAAAAGTCCAGTTTCCCTTTTCAAAAGCACGATGTGTCGGATCCAACATACGAGTTGTCGCCAGGTCTTGATTCACCCACATGTGGACGGTCTCTGATCTACAACCAACATTGATTTTTTTCACGTCTCAATAGATCACCCCCAATGGATGTCCAAGGAAACAAGGAAAGAACAAGTAGCCTTTACGGTGCCAGTCGAAATATCTGGCCACCAGGCGCACAAGTCTCGACGCCCCGATCGTTGTTTACATAAAGTGAGGGCCAGATTGGCCCTCTGTCGTGGCTTAGAGACTGGTGTGCTTGATATCCGTTAGAGTACATTCGGGACCAGCCCAGGCCCTCTTAACATCTTCCCTTCCGTTCCCTGAAGAGTGCTATTGCAAAGTACTAAGATCATGACCGACCGATCCTCTTGCACGTTCCTTTGGAACACCCCAAAAGCACATGTTGAGATTAGCGTCGATGAGTTTCCATGCATTTGGTACTTCCCCCAACTGGTTTGGACCACGTGGAACTTGTTCCCGTAAACTCGACTTGGATGCAATTAATGGTGTTCAACGGCGTTTCGATTTTTTTTTTCGATTCGAAAGAGGTCGAGGTCGACAGAAATCCTTGTATAACATATAAAACTCGCATTGGCGTTCCTAATGATATCCCGGCTGTCGCTTTAAGCAACCTAACTGTTATGCACTTAGGGCCGTGTGGTTGAGGGGATCGAGCCTTGTAAGTCGCCTGGAGCTCTACACTGATTGATATAGTACTAGTACGAAGTCATAGCGCTACTGTGGAAACGAGCACCGTCAGGAGTGGCAGTAATAACAGTTGGCGGCTATGACTGATGTTGGTGCTCGTTTCCCATTTGTCGCCACAACCATTCATCTCTCTTTCGGATGCGTGTGCAGAGTTGAGTGAAATTTGGGTCGATAGAGCAACATCGGTTCACTAGTGTCGAAATGTTCTATCCATATCACCTAGTTCACTCGAGGGAAGCCGTATCTAGTGCAATCATTTAATTTGCTAGCTAAGCAGTTCCGTATTATCCCATGTGCTTCTGCTGTTGTACAATATTTTTGCTCCATTGGAACATGTATAAATCCTGGCCGCATGCATCGATCGATATGATGGGGTGGTGGTTGTAGTTCTCGGCCGCCACCATGCGGTGGCATGAGAATGCTGCAACGGTGCGGCGATCCCTATTAATGTAGTCTACAATGAGTTTACAAATACCGGAGAAGGAAAAGGGCTGGTGGCCGATGCCAGGTTTAAACAAAGTCTTCGATCTGGTTGGTAATATATTAATGTCGAGGATATGTGTCATGCGTATAAATAAAGAAATAAAAAGATAGAACGTCAGGACGGGCCGTCAGTAATATAATCTCTCAGTGAGACTTCAACAGTGCACGTCAATAGTGCGCGACCCTTCTCGATGATGCGTCAAATCGCTCCGACAAGATTATCAGCATGTGGTGCAATATGCCATGAAATAATGAGTTGTCGCAGCTACCGATGCATGCATAGCCAATTAATGTTTGAGTGGGAAAAAAAAAAGAAAGCATGAACAGTACTTGCGAACAATACATAAGTTTTTGCAATCGCTGCACGGGGGTTTTGGGCCCAGTGTCCATTCTTTTTCAAAGTGCCATTCGGGTCATATGTAGGAGGGTAGGGATGGCGAGACAGATGGACCTAGCGCCGCGCCTAGGATTTAGAGCACCTTTGGGGGCCTATATTTAGCGTATATTTGCATGTATTTGTGTCGACATTCTCATCTTCTGTCCCTCTGCTCAAGTACTTGTCCCTCGTCATGATTCCCATTCTTAGTCGGTGTGGGAATGCGTTAGAGTGGGACAGCTTCGTTGGTAGAGCATGATCCTTTCACTTCGGGGGCTCCTTTGGTTCAGAGGCTCGATCAGCATAGCATCTCCTGTTGCAGGATCCCAGTCTCTACTAAAATAGATTGCCGTTGACAGTTCTGCGTTTCTAATCTCCCTGTGTATGGTTATCTGAACATCATTAAGTAAAGCGAGTGCTAGGTGCGGGTGCGCCAAGACTGAGCTAAGCACAAGCGATTGTGAGCTGGTCACTCCGATATATGTTTAGTCTTACTAGTACGGAAAAAAGTGGGATAATGGTGATTGGAACGTCCAGCTTGACTTAGATGTCCCAAACCCTTCACATCCCAGTCAGATCCACCATGGGCCGTGTTTACTTACCACCGATCGACGGTGGTCTTGTTCATTGCCGGTTCGTAAGCTGTGGACCCCATTCGACAACCGGGTTTCGATTTCGTCAAATTGCTGGCAGTCGATGGGCAAATGCTTCACGGTCGGTTCAGAACTTATACTCCATCCCATTTCTGGTTACTAAATCAATGACGCTGGTCGCCCGTTTGCGTGAACGAGCTATGGCAAGACAGCATTCTCTTCTAGCTTTCTTATTCCCGAAACCCGCGATGCGCACAGCCTAATACAATGATTACCGTAATGCGCGCGCGCCTCTTGGCCTTCAGCCGCCGCCCGGCTTACTCTTTACGGATTAGAAGCACAGCCTTGACGAGCCTTGATAAGCCATAGGGCGAAGGGAGGCCCACATACCCATGTGACTTGGGCTCTCCCAGCTTAGCGTGTCGAACACCTCTGTGGTATGTACTAGAAGAGTTCCCTGTGCCATCCATCATCGAGTTGACGATAACGTCCCGTCACGGTGACTGGATGATTGGATTTTATTGACATAGGATGACTACATCTCAAGAGTTTTCCGAAAAAGCGCTCAAGCAGGTCATTTGCCGTAGCTCGGTCTCTTTGGATGGAGCGTTTTACTGACCTTATTCCAGCTCCGCTTTTGGGAATCAAAAGCCACCTCAAATTTCGTCCGGGTCTCCCGCAGGGGTCCCATCTCCGACGTATGGAATATCAATATCTCCCTGTCATTGCGTCCTCCCAGGTCCAGTGCGCCCCCGTTATGGTGAATTGACTCTTCAGCCACCCCGGTCCTTCTCACTGATTCCGCTATTTTTGTGTCTTCGTGCTGATCCGAACATCTCACCTGCGCCAGGAGTGATGTTCGTGCAGCTGCAGAAAGAAGGCTCATCGAAACCTTCCGTAAGGACGCGACCGATTCGGAGGCACTACCCGATTATGAAGATCAAGAGGAGTCTCAGATAACAAAGCTACGGCTGCAATCTGACTCATGTATTGACGCAACTGTGCTCGTTACCGGATTTTCCTACGAGCGGGTGTTTATTCATTGTTCTTCCATATCTGGATCCACCGCGCTTTGCATCGTGAGTTATCCAGAGTCGCTCTGTTGCGGCACTGCACCCTGACAAATCCATTCCCCCCTTTACTAGCCTCGCCGCCTGGGATCTCGATTGAGGATCCTCTTATCGAGCAAGATGGGCGATGTGCATGTTTATCTTCCCAAAGACTTCCGAGGTAGACTCATTTGTTGCATGAGAGACGATATTGACCATAGGCGTTGCATGTCTTCCGGTATTTTGCGCACGCTGAACACCTACCAGGCTACCCGTGAGGGAGTGACTCGAAGCTTTTTAGGGGGATGCCAGAAAGTGGGAGAAGGGGATGAACTGGATGCTTGGGCGGTCAATGGAAAGGTATACGTCCAGTATTACGACGAAGAACACGGGTCCCAATCTTCCCCCTTTGGGAATGCCAGCAATGGCCATGGGGTGCAAAGGACAGGGATCGTCGGCCTTCCGGAAAGTGTTGATGATAAACAGCCGCAGACTTCTATTAAGCCGTCCAGGCAACTACCGCCTATCCCCGGCGTTACATTCCACTCGGACCACCCAACTCCACTCAATCATACCCGAATTTTAGTAGACTCATCAGCAGCTAGAGAGTCGGAGACAGTTGTTCTGAATGCGCCTCCAGATACTGCTCTTTCCACTGCACATCAGCTGCACGCAATGGTTTCTGGTATACGCGAAAAGATCTATCGCGGTATTCCCGTTACTATCCTCCCAGGAGGGCTTGAGACACTTTGTGCTCTGTCAATAGCCAACCTTAACAACGTGGAGCAACAATCCTCCACGATAGCTTCCATGACCACAATCTCCTCAACTATACTCCGGTTTCATGAAGACATTCAACCACATCTAGACGGAATCAATGCTTTGACGGAGTCATCACACTCACACTCACACTCACACTCAAGTGTTGATTGGGCCGGTCCATCACTGTCGTCCTCGCAATCCTCGCAAAAAATTTGGAGTCCTGCCTAGCAAAAATAATACCGGCTCACCATATGTTCGATTGTCTTGCCGCTTGACGCCCTACACCGCTCGTTAATTGCCTCCGTGTTTCGTGCATATTCTTTACATGTTCCTTTAATATTTCTCTTGCGGTACGTATGTTTACTACAAGTACAAGGCTAGAGAGCCTTCGGGTATGTTCTCTGTCTTGATACCATCTCTCCCCTGCATGCTAAATCTTCTGGGGCATTGCACCCTCGAGTGTTGTCAACTCGCTAATTGTTAGTTGCCCGTGATTTTTTTGAGTCCCTTTCTGTATTGGCATGGTGGCATTTCTGGATGTGTGCGCGAGATTGGACTATGTGGGTCTCAACAGTGGTCTGTGATTGGCTTCGTAGGAACCTGATCTTAGGGGTGTTCATCGAGTGGAGTCTTCGCGGTCTCACTGGCTTCCCAAACTCTTTTTCTGTTTCATGTTATGGATCAAACAGTGTAGAGACGAATTCAAATGAAGATTCAAATTTCGAGCGCGTTCTCATTTTGCTTACATAACCAGGAGACATGCATTGTAATTGGGGTTTGCAGTAGCGCATGCCCGAGTAAGATAGAAATCAGTGAGCAGCGAAGTCAGTTCACCATGTGAAGTAGATCGTTTAGTATTTCAGGTCGGTGTTTAAACAACGTACGTCAAGAGGTCAAAGTCTAAGATTAGAGTGATTCTTGGTTGTTGTGTACATAAATGCCGCCTGAGTGAGGCGAGTGGGGCATGATTGACGACAGAAAGATTTCAGCAAGGCATTCCAGAGAACCAATCTTCGACACCAGGCACAGTCTCCGTGAATGAAGAGCTAATGAAAGGGTATTAAGTAACAGGCTGATGGAGTCTGACATCATAGTTGACATTATTGCAAGTTCAACGATCCATCCATCCATCCGACAGGAACTTGAAGAGGGAGGAAATGGAATGGAATAGCTGGTCGAGAGACTCCTCCCTTTCTCCCGGCAATATTGCAAGTCCGCACCACAGCATATAGTTGGAACAACGGACTTAATTCTTATACGACTCTTTGTCGATTAGATCCCTTGCAGACTATATACTAGCTATCTACATGGGTTACAATCTTCAAAACATGAAAACTCAAGCTGGCTTCGCCAATCTCTGGTACTTTTCTAACATATGTTCGCAGCGCACCATAGTTGGTCATCCCACTCACACTGCGGGACTTCCTGATCATACGGGTTATCGCACGGCGAGGGACTACGACGGGAACTAGTCTTGAAACATGATCCGACTCCGATATTCGGACTTGTCCACGTATTGAATCCGGTGATAACTGTAACCTGAACGCCACAAAGTTCGGCGGTGATCGATCCTGGCGCATATTCAATGCCCTGACCGGAGTGGTGCAAGGCCACTGCGTTATCGCAAGTGTCTATTGAGCAAAGAATGGTTAAGCATGAGCATGAGCAAATTTCACCGCCAGGTTTCGGCTACCATCGTTCGAAGGGACCATGACGTCGTAATTGACATTTTGGTCGGGTTCTTCACCGTAACAATGGAGCTTGCCAAGGTGGAAATCAGCTGCGACGATGGGAAACAGAACGATTAGGGCAAAGAGACTATAAAATCGCATTATGGCGTCTAGAAATTGCTACCACTAGCCAGTAGTGTATATGACATGAGCAACTATATCCATAATAACCAGCGTTGATCAACAAGTACTAACCTCAATCTCGAGCGCAAGTGGCAAGTGGTGAGGAGTAGAGGAGGGCACAACATCGGACATTATATATGAGGTTCCAGTATCCAACCCATTTTGGAAAAATAATTCTCCTCACAAAATCAATCACAGATGCAATCGTCGCGCTGCTTCATCTGGATATCTTCTTGGAAATCCGTCGCCTACTGCCAAACCGCACGCCAGGGAATACAAACTCATTGTAACCGCGCAGTGGTGTAAGTGGCCAGAGTAATGGGATATCAGACAAAGAAATCAGATGCGAACAAGCGCTCATGTGGACGTAGTTGCGTAGCGCAACAGTTGCACCACATAGACAGAGGGTATCATATCAATAGCTGATCTGAGCATGATATGCGTAACCGGCACATCGTTGTGGCTTGTTCGTCCAACACCAGTACTTAGTCTCATAAGCCTTACAGACAGCGCCCAACGAGGTTTGAGCTGCAGTTGGCACAGCCACTACAGATTTAGAGGATGCGGGCCTCGCAGATATGCCGGCAAGAAATTGGGTTCAGGGATTCGAAGAGCAAGGTTGAATGTCAGTTTTATTGTGAGCGCGGATTTCGAAGATGGGAGAAGCTTTTGATAAATCATGACGCATGGTGGTGCGTCGTGAAGAACGTTGCAGCCTACGGAAAGTGTTCCTAGGAGTGCAGTGACGCCTTGTTATGTAAATAAAGCATGAGTTCGTGGCTGGTCCACTCTCCGCGTGTGCAAGTAGCAATCTCTCGAGCGTCGGGCCGCTAGTGATTGGAGGAACCGAATTATGAGCAAGGGCCCACCGGACCGTTCGCAGCTAAGAATACCAGAGGGCACCTTCCAGAAGGGGCGGCAAAGTGCTCGAACAAGTGGTGGATGTCGATCAAGTCTAGACCTTGTTTCAACAACAACACTGCCACCGTGGCAAGTGAAACCACATGAGATCTGTCATTTGCCTGCGATGCGTGAGGGAGGGCCTCCAGTCGAAGTCGACCATTTTTCTCTCCCCGTTAAATTTTCTCCTCACGCGTGCACCGAGCAAACTGATGTGCTAAACTTCCGACCGGATATCCAATCCTCACTCAGATGGGTATCCGTCGTCGAAGCGCCCGCTCGATTCCCCATTCAGTACGTGAGTGCCCACTCAAGCTCAAGTCCACCTTATTGCATGCATCAAGCATTTGACATCATTTTCTTACAGTTCACCCCAGCGATTCTCGAGATTCTACTTCATCCTGAACGCAACACCTCGCTTATTCTACGAACTGAGGTGCTCTCCGATGGGAAACCCCTCAGCGCTCCCAAAATTTTATCCTCCATCAGTGAAATGAAGGTCGTTCGCAACATGGTGAGACGGCTGATTCCACGAATGCCTCAGAGAGATCGAGGTGTCGATCAGGATTGCACGTTCCTCGTGGCTGATGTTCACAGTATGGAGCATGAAGATGGAGCAGAGGACGTGTCTCTAGTCATTCTGAGCCCCAGGATCGAGATCGATCCCGAAGACGGGAAGGAAATCAGGCTCCCGTGGTATCATCCACCTGTGCGACACCTTGCTTTTCGCTATACCACCAACGACAGCGGAGAGGCTTCGCTGAGGATTGAGATAATTCCTTTCGATTCAGCTGCGGGGACCTCAATAGGCTTGACTGATAATGGAGGCGTGGACACAACTTCACGTCTATATCGGACATGCGTTAGTCTTCTTGAGACTATATTCAAGTACGGTAGAGGCAAAATGACAGGATATAAGAAACGTGTTATTCATGATGTGCGCACTTCGCCCTTCATTCGTTGCACAAGATTGATCGAGTTTTTTAAGACTCTCGTTCCACGAGAAGAATATCAAGATCTGTATCTGATTATGCGAGAAAAGTTTAAAAGCATTGCTGATACTTGGCATGAGGCTACCGACGCCTCTAAGCACGTCTTTGAGGTGCGATTCTCTCCCTTCTGTTCTTGTTTGCATGTCCGAGCTATTCCTTCTGTCACTCAAGGATATATCCATAGCGACATTTTTAATGCTGCTATGGAAGTACACCTACCCAGCCTCCCCATATACCAGTTCGACTTCATCCAACCCGCACGAGCCATGGTATTCGTGGGGAAGACCACCGGAAGGGTTTCTTGACTTGGGGTTAGCGACGATCGCTGTGGATTATGACGGACCCTCATTTATTTCACAGGTGTGGCAACGGCCTCCTAGTTCATATCCTCATCGAATGTGGATATGCAGGTCTAGGGGTGGACCTGCGGGCGCGTAAATCATGGCCTCACTACCCATCTACGACACGCGATCGCCTATTCGTCCATGCTTTTAATCCCACCATCTCTTGTCTCCGCGTTCCCATCCCTCCCGCTTCCACAGACAACCATCACAATAAAGACGACGATACCGATGGTCCTGACACCATTGAGCGAGACATGTTTCCTAAGACGAAATCGGGAAAGGGGAGATTCATTATTGGGAATCACGCGGATGAGTTGCAACCATGGGTTCCTTTACTTGCTGCCTTGACAAGCGCGGAGTATTTGAGTATCCCGTGTTGTACCTGGGAATTTGACAAGAGGTTTCAACTGAAGAAAAGGCATGGTGGTGGGACGAAAGGCCAGAAGACGGAAGCTAATGACGAACGGGACGGCGCAGATCCAGATGCTGTTAATGAAGGTGCGGATAGTTCTTCAGCAGTCCGACCACCGGAGGAGGTGGAGTTGGAGAGGAAACTGAGGTTTGATGAAAAGGATGGGAAGATGAGCTTGTATGCTTGTGAGTGTCTCCCATATATTCTGCTGGGTGCCAGAGATAAGCCGATTGGTGATCATGGTTACTGCAGCGTATGTGTTGTGGCTGGCCACGTTGTCGGAAGAGTGTGGGTTCGTCATTGAAACTGAGGCATTACGGATACCCAGTACGAAGAATAGGGCTATCATAGGTAACATTATTTTTCTTCTCAATGAAGGTCCATCCGATTCCATCGCAATCTTGTAGGGCGTAAGCAGAAAGCAAACGCCGACGTCGGTGCCATCAAGGCGAGTATAAAGGCCAGAGTGGAGTACATTCGGGCAAGAGGCCTTTTCAAAATAAGAAAGCCTGAAGGGGATGCAGGACTTGAGGTAAGTTTACCAACGAGCTACATTTTCGTTAGACAGGGACAGGCTAAGCGATGGGTTGTAGATAGAGGACAGAAATTCGGGACAACCAAAGTATGTATCTGTCATCTACTTAGATTCATGCAACCACCGAGGATCCCTCCAGAAAGAGTCCCGATCGTTTGCATAGCCTCAAGTATGGCGAGCTGAATACCGACGCCCCCACAATAGGCGAGTTTCGACCTGGCGATCTAGCTTGGGGCCCCGTCCAAAGTGTCGCCCCTAGACTTGGATGCGGACCACGTCTGCCGATTAGTACCAAGACCTCTAAGCCTGTACGGGCGTCGAGGTTGAGTACGAGCCATTCTGTCGCTGATTAACGAAGCACCCCTTCAAATGCTGATATGAGACTTATCATGCGCTCGGCCGTTTTGGTCTGACAGTTCGTTTGCAGACGCCAAGCCGGAGGAGGACCTGGCTTTTTACGATCTGACTTCGATCATTGCATCCCACGCTCCGGCCTCTCGCGTCCCAATTATATGCTGATGGGGCTAAATGAAGCAAGATTACTTTATATGGAAACGTCCCGTGGGGCCGCTGAATCAGCTAACCCCACAAATTTAATATTAACGGAACCTGACCCAGTGACCTGAATTATCGGCATGTATAAAAGGCTGCTTGCTCTGATATCGTAAACTCCTAACCCCTCTTTCTCACTTTTGAGTTGGTTGACTGGTTGAGTTTAGGCCATTTAGGTTGTATAGAAGCAAGGACTAAGATCGAAATCCTCCGTAGCTTGCACTTCCGTGGTGGAAGATTACTTAAATCCGGGAGCTCCTTCATCAGCACCTCACTAAACGACCGACAATCCCCGCAAGCCGATCATCAATCGTCATGGCTGAAGTCGAGACTCAGGCTGCTCAGACCGTTGAGATTCATGATTGCATGGTTTGCGCGGCGCATTTGCAGGAAGTTGTAAGTCTTATCGTGATCCCCCCGAGTGCGTCGTGGGAGTTAACGTGTCCTGCCGATCGGGGTTTCTTTCTTCGTGCTTGTAGTGTGCGGACTGCGATTATGATGGGCGGGAGGATAACGATGCCTTCTTTGGGGTACGTGAAACTCAATTCATGCCGATCAATGTTATCGCGATCTTAAGCGCTCGTGTTCGTCCGCCGTTCTAACAATGGCACTTATATCATCACTCGAATTCGGTTCTTCTTGCCAACGCCTGGCTGTCTCTAGCTGGATACGATAGATCGGGATCCTTTGAACATCCCTAACGCCTCAACTAATAAAGAAGGTAAGCCTCAGCAATGACTCACCATTTCTACTTTTGATGCGACGTTTCTCTTGTCATAGGGGTCTATCAGTACGTCACGTCTAATGCGGCCACAGTTTAATAGAGAACTGACACAGTCACATTGGTCTGTAACTGTCTGTTTGCGGGACTCGCAGATGTAAGAAGCATTCTAACCCAAGTAAGTGATTCGTTGGTACCTTCCATTTTGGCAACTGACCACACTCGATATCATCCGCGCCCAATCGTCTCGGTTCGCACTGCCAGAGTGTCCTCAATGTTTCGGGTTCGTCCCTCCCCGTTTTCACCCCACCGGTGTCCTTATCTAACCGGATGTTTCTTCCCAGATGGAAGAAGCAAATCCAGAAACTTCAAAAGGAAGCCAAGAAGGCGGGAAAGAAGAATCAGGGCTCGGCTTCCAACTTCTACTGAGCCTGCGAGTCTTGGGAGGTGATTTGGCTAGCCTGAGACATGGACGCTGTCTCCGCGCATGAATACACCCTCGGAGCTGTGGCCACAACTCGCAGATGAGCGTGGCGCAAGCCTATCTCCAATTTCTTATGTAACATCATATACAATGTGTACCTTTCCTTTAGCAACATCTCATGCTAGATGATTTTGCAACATGGCGGCTACAGTACGTGAAATAGTCGAGTCCTGTTCGGGGTTGCGTGGTTTTTGCGATATGCCGTGGCCGAAAGTAGGTCAAGTCTGGCGATAGGCAACGTGAGGCTCAAGCCAGGTCACAACCTAAATCGCCACGGGAGATAACTAAGTTTGTTATGACCCTCAAATCGCCCTTACGCCGACCCGAAAAGCGCGATTTCTGAGTTGCTGCAGGGCACCAGTTATCAGAAATGGTAGGACAGGGAGTGCGATGCTGCTTCGTATGCGGAGGCTCGTCCGGGGCATGCTTCATTTCCTGCTTCAGTTGCTACCCCAAATGACGTTTTTGAGACTAAGGTGGACAACCCACAGGCTAGGCAGGATCCCCCACAGGCTCGATTTCACTAGAAGACACGGCTGGATAACCATAATCCCTCCTGCTAGCTTCGAACGTAATTTGAGGATGGCCGATGACTGCATGCCGAGCACCCATTGACGAGTCGACATGTGCCACTGAGGAAGTTAAGGGTTCGATCTCAATAGTTCGGAAGATCTTTTGGAGCTGGACTATGAACAGCGGGTTTCTACAGGTTCCTCTTCAGATGCAGGAGACATCCAGGACACCGTCAGCTGGGGTTTTTCTATGGGACTTCGTGAAGCGTGAAGCCGCCCGTGGAAAGGTAACTGGGAACACGCTATCTCCAATTACACATCATACCGATCAGAGCTTAGAGGAACCTTCCTTTAGGGTTTGGCAGACGCTATGCAATGGAAGACGTCCATTGTCAACGCTTCGGCGGCTAAGTGGCGGGCAAGGGGTTGCACTAGAGGAATCGCACGCACCCTTGGCAGCTCCTCCTAGTTTGTACTTTAGGACTCATATGATGCGAAAATTGATGATTTCGCACATAGTATCGCTTGCGAGTAATGGGAAGAACTAAGAGTCTTCCCAGTAAAGGCATTATGTACCTAGGATAAAAACAGGAGTAGGTAACAAGCATTTACGTTTGGTCGTGACAGATCAATCGATGGACTAGAAATTTGCTTGATGTTCGAGGCATCCACCGTTGTCTGTATTCCCTCTAAACCCCGCCATGTCACAGACGGGTGAAGGACCTTTGGGGCATGCATAGTCGAAGGGAGCTCATGCAAAAACATTTCTCCCACATGCATCTATGTGGTTATCTTTAACCGAGGGACATTCAGATATTGTCGGATTGGGAGGCTAGCTTATGTATTGAGCCGTCTTACTAATAGCATGGGAGCTTGCGCTAGCGGGAAACCACTGGCACTAGCAGTAGTTGTGACTCGCGGGTTCTCATTATCCGAGAGCCCAGGCACAACGCGCTCGTGCCTAAAGGGTCAATGAAAGGCTGTGACTTATGTAATGGATTCCCAGGAAGGCATTCATATGGAAACTCCTGAATAAATTAGGAATCCGAGGCGTGGGTGAGGTATCGGTTTCGTCGGGATCCCCAGGGAACCCCACCACTGGTTGTCCAACGAGCTCGCGCGGCTACGACTAGAGAAGGCTGGGTCCTGCTTAGATTTACACTAGTATTGTGCATTGCCAGCTATTGTCTTACGTCACAACTCCCAAGGAACGAGACTTTGCATTGTCAAGGCAACCACTCTCGTCCTCGACAGAGTCAACGCAGTGCACGGACGATCACTTCTCCTCATCCGTCAGAAACCTCTGTATGCCTATGATGTGATTGAACTTACTGACAGGTTCCAGGTCCCCTTCCATTATCGGGAGGTGGTTAAGCGCTACCTTTCGAGACAGATTCCACTCGTTTGTCACAACGCGCTATGGTTATGCTGAAGCAGGCGCACACACCAGAGGGGGACTGTGATGAATAACAGAATTTTCATCAAGTTGTAATTTGATTTTCTTGCTGAGAGCCTAATGTCCTTAACACAACAGCAATCACCTTGACATGAAGCCAGAGTCTGTGTGATCCGAGGAAGCGCAAGCGTTGAAAGTATATTGATTTTCTTTTATACACATGCGACAGGGTCACATCCCACGCTCGAACAACCTCCAAGTCGATTATGGAAAGTATCTTTTCTTATGGTCGCGAGGCACAACGGCATCGCACACTCTATGGAAATGCACATAGATACAAATATTTCCCGTTCGGTGTCCCCCTTGGGCCCGGTTGTCACCCTCTGTCACTGAGTTATTAGGAATTTCAATATGTATCCTTCTTTGCTCTTTCGCGTTCACAAGCTCACTTTCGTTTCTCGTTCCCCTTCCCCTCCTTCCGTCTCTTCAACTCTCCGCTGGACCTCGACAGACGGGAAGAAAGCAAAGATCGGAATACCTCAGGGTCTCGCTTTCTGTCATCGCATTCAACCTTTCCCTTCCCTTCGTATCTTGAACCCAGGATTCTCTGCTTTGATAGCTCACTCGTTCTTTTGCTTGATCGAATATCTGGCTTTGCACACACTCTTTACTCAACTAAGTCTTGGCTTCGCGCTCTCTTTGCTCAACTAAGGGTCTTCACCGTGTGGGCTCTCTACATCGCAGCCCAGTTGAAAGCAACAATTGCCAACGTGGATATTGTGCTTAGATACAATCTTGACGCGTGGGCGTGCTTTCTCTCCAACGATTCGTAATCCCTTGAGGGAGCGAGATGCGCAAGGTCATAGGGTTGCTTAGAGCGCCACATGCAGGTGTCTCCAATGCTCACCTTGCGGCTAAGCGCGGTCGAGTGGGGCGCAGGACAGGGAATCCGTCCAACAGAGGTGTGGGCAACGTTCATGGTGGTCAGACAAGTTCCTTGCTTCTCCAACCTCCTTCATCTTCCTCCCCATCTTCGTCTCCCTCCTCATCTGCGCCCCCCTCTTCATCTGCGCCCCCTTCTTCCTCATCTTCACCTCCTTCGTCTCCCAGCTCAACGCCTTCGCCTACTACGCTTCCGCCTACTTCGCTAGAGGGTCACGGCCATGATAAAAGCACTTCAAGCACCCAAGCAACGGTTATTCTAGATCCTTCAACCCCGGCCCCAACCCCCACTCCTCTTCCTTCGCCCTCCCCTTCATCTGCCAAAGAAGGGGGAAATCCCCTTAAAGGAGGAAACAAAACCGTCGTGACCACTGACCCCTCCCTCACTTCCACGTCTCCTACGTCTTCATCCCCGACTTTAGATCTCTCAAGCCCCAACCAGACACCGGGTCATGGTAAAGGTCCATCAGATAAAGTCCCTGGTAATTTCAATTCCTCTCCAACACCTTCTCCGACACCTTCTCCGACCCCTCCTCCGACCTCTTCTCCAGCCTCTTCTCCAACCTCTTCTCCGCCTTCCAAAGGCAAAGGGAAGCTAGCTGGCGACATTGGAAAAGTTGTCCAAGATTCAACTAGTGACTTCATTTCCACTCCTTCATCCCAGGTTCTGTCAGACGCCACTTCGACATCAGACAAAAACCCAGGCCATTCAAAGGCCAGTCCAGATCCTTCTCCAACCTCTTCTCCAGCTTCCAAGGGCAAGGGAAAGCTCGACAACAACGTAGGGACTTCGCTTGTCGGGGATTTAACCAATACTCCCATCCCCACTTCTTTCGCCCCTCCCTCCGACTCATCTGAAGCCCCGTCGAAAACAAAAGATAAAGGAGGTCATGGGACTGGTCCTCTGGATACAACCTCTGTCAATCTAGATCTCTCTTCAACCTCTTCTCCGCCTTCCAAGGGCAAGGGAAAGCTAGGAAAAGTTGTGGATGATTCAACCAGTGCTCCCACTCCTATTCTAACGTCTTTCACGCCTCCCCCCGCCTCATCTGATCCTCCGTCGGAAACGACAACTGATGGAAAAGGCCATGGGAAGGGTAAAGTCCTTGATAATCTTGGTTCTTCTTCGACCGCTTCTCTACCTTCCAAAGGCAAAGGAAAGCTAGGAACAGTAGTCGGTAATCTGAGTAGCGACCCTGTTTCCACTCCCTCTGCCTCACCTCAAGATCCGTCAACAACAAAGACTGATAAAGGAAAAGGCCACGGGAAAGTCCTCGACAACCTCGGTCTTTCTTCAATCCCTTCTCTGCCTTCCAAAGGCCAAGGAAAGCAGGGACACACCGCAACGAGTGATCTTATTCCCACTCCCTCTGTCCCACCTGAGGTCCCGTCAAGCACAGAAACCGATAAAGGAAAAGGCCATGGGAAGGGTAAGGTCGTCGACAGCGTCGATTCTTCTTCAACGCTCTCTCTACCTTCCAAAGGCAAGGGAAACCTAGGAAAACTCCTCGATAATCTCACTAGTATTCTCATGCCCACTCCATCGACTGACGCCCCGTTGGAAACGAAGACCGATAACGGGAAAGGTCATGGGAAGGATAAGGTGCTCGACAGTCTTGGCCCTTCTCCGACCCCACCTTTCAAGGGCAAGGGGAAAGTCGACGATAATTTAACTAGTGCTCTCGTTTCCCTTCCCTCCGTATCGACTGACGTCCCGTTGGCAACAAAGACCGATAACGGAAAAGGTCATGGGAAGGATAAGGTGCTTGACAGTCTTGGCCCTTCTCCGACCCCACCTTTCAAGGGCAAGGGGAAAGTCGACGATAATTTAACTAGTGCTCTCGTTTCCCTTCCCTCCGTATCGACTGACGTCCCGTTACCAACAAAGACCGATAACGGGAAAGGCCATGGAAAGGATAAGGTGCTCGACAGTCCTGGCCCTTCTCCGACTCTACCTTCCAAGGGCAAGGGGAAAGTCGACGATAATTTATCTAGTGCTCTCATTCCTACACCCTCCGCATCGACTGACGCCCCGCTGGAAACACAAACCGATAACAGGAAAGGCCATGGGAAGGATAAGGTGCTCGATAGTCTTAACCCTTCTCCAACTCCGCCGCCTTTCAAGGGCAAGGGGAAAGTCGACGGTAATTTAACTAGTGCTCCTATTCCCACCCCCTTGGTATCATCGGAGGCCCCGTCAGAAACAAAAACAAAAACGGATGAAGGACAAGGTCATGGAAAGGGAGTTGTAACCAAAGTCGTTGATGACACAGGCAAAACGATTAAGTCGGTCGTGAGTGATAAGGTCGGAGGTGGGACCGATAGTGGTTTGCATGGATCCGCTACTGCTACTTCGAACAGCCCCGCTTTGACGCCTCCTGTTCCTCAACCCACTAGTGCTCTTGGAGGTCGGTATTTACATTTCCTTGATGCTATCCCATTTTTCTTTTCTGACTCGAAAACTTTTCATCTGTCTTTTTATGGGACGTTTTCTCTTTCGTTTGCGATTCCATATTTTTCATCGTGAATTTTTTTTTTCGTGTGCTACCAGGATCTACTTCAAGGAGATCTAAACATAGGCCGCCTCCTTCACCTCAAACGTCAAACCCTAGTGATGGTGACACCTCCAAGTGGGGTGGAGGCAGTACCTCAAATGGTGATGACCATCATCATGGAGGCAGCAGTACCACCAACGGCCTTGAAGGATCGTCCATTAGTGGTTCTACTCCGAATCATACTCCCCATCTTGCCCGTCCCTCGCCTCCAGATACTACCACTTGGGATGTGAAACCTCATCCTGCCACTACAACATCCGCCTCCAGAGGTAGAGAGACCCCCAGTTCTTCGACTCCTACGACCACCATGTCTATCTCCTCGGGAGTATCCTACACGGTTTCTGACGGGATCACAGTCCCTCTTTCGATCGTAACAGTAACGAGCGATGGATCTGTAATTACAGTTCCTACCGCACTTTCGGAATCGATCTCGTGGATCGTTTCTACCTCCGGCACGAAGGTCCTCACGATTCCCACCATGCTCCCTGGAAATCCGTCGTCTGTCAGTGTGATACCTCAATTGGGCAGGCAAACGGATACCACGTCGTATACCGGAAGTATGTACTATTCCACTGATAGTACAGGCGGGATTTGGGGACCTTTCCCTACAGATGGGGGTGGTACCACAGGTCCGGGCCGAGGAGGTACGGGCAGCATGTCAACGTCGAAGAGGGGGCTTAATCCTGCCATTTGGTCTGTCATTGCTATTGCGCTGGTTTTCCTTTTGACATTCCTTGGGTTGGTTCTGAGGAGGAAAATGTATGCCAGACAGCGTCAGGCCAGGATTCGAGAGTGGAGTGCTGCTTCTGGGTGGACGGAGGGTGTTGAGAGGGGGATTGAAGGTGGCCCGCAGGTTTATGCCGCGGGTGCGGTGGTGGGAGGGAAAAAGAGGAGCAGAGGTATTGAGGGTGGAAGACATCTAAGCCAGGATAGTTTCTCGACGCCCGAACAGAGTGTCATCCGAGGAGTTTGGGCAAGAGACTCTATACAGAGTTTGGCTCCACCTCCGTCTGTTCGTCTGTCCGACCCCCCTTTGTCAAAGATCAGTTCCTCTATCTTGAGCCGGGCCTCGTTTGACGCCGCTGGGCTTGGCATGAGCGCTGGTGAGAGGAGGGCGTCTCAACTTGAACAGCGACGAGAGCAGTTATCGACAGTAGAAGGCGCGAGATCTGGTTCACCCGAGATGATCCAGATTCCACCTCCTGCTTCTAGTTCGTTGACTCCTGGGAGGTGTCGTACTGCTGATTTGACGCTCTCTCCTACTTCGCTGTTCCCCGCTACTGGGGGGCTTCTTCATGGAGACCCTTTCGCTGACCGTCCACACGATAGACGCAGCGATGATGGGAGCACCGTTTCCCCTATGTCGTTTGAATTTGGGGATTTGACGGCGTTTCCCACCCCCCTGGTTCTGCTACCCTTGGAATGACGCCTAGAAGCCAAGGTGGTGAGAGACCGTCATATTGTTGTTCTCAGGGTTCATCAGAATTGGGATCTGATGGATTGGCACCCATCCCTCGAACCCATGAAGGTGTATCGGTTCACGAGGATCCATTCGCTGATTATCCCAATGTAATGCCTTCGCCTATACCTTCTTCAGCTGAACGATCCATGTTTGGAAACGGTGTCATGGCTAACCATTCTTCCACTTCCCTGCCGACCAGTGTTCACCGAGCTATTATTGGACCTGGGATGTCGAGTTCGAGAAACAGCCCTTCCAATGCACAAGTTGTACGCCCCTGGAGCCCCACAGCTCCAGAGGAGATAGCTGTAAGTTGTGGTGAAAGTGTACGTGTTATCAGTTGCCATTCGACCCTCGGGCGTGCAAGTCCATTTGGTCAGGACACCGGCGGAGGGTGGGCCTTTGTGAAGAAGACGGAACCTGAAACCGGGTTAGTCAGGAGAGGGTTTGTCCCTGTGAATTGTTTGATGGATGGACCCAGTCCCGGAAGCACCGCTGGGTCTTGTGGTCATTCTGTAGTCTCCGGAGGTGGAAGTGCTTATGCGGACGCGGACGTGCTGCCAGGCACAGCGTGAGTATATTCTAGTCCTGAATGGGAGATTACTGACACGCTCCCTTTACAGGCTGTGACCTCCTCCTCTCCTCCAAGTCGCGCATCAGAAATATGCCATACTTTCTAACGTTATCTCGCTGCCAGCTGACATCCACTCGTTTTTCGAAACTTGGTGGTGGGGGCGCCATTTGTCCTTTTGTTATAGAACGCACCCGTTCTCGCCTTTACCTTCCATCATCGCAGTGGCATTCGATCGTGTATCTATTTTATCAGTCTGTTTTCCCCAAGGCTTTGATTCCTTTATTTATTATCGCCTCACCTTGACAGTTGCTTTCTTTGTCCATTGAATGGATTCAGTTGCGGCCGCCACAGCTTTCTCGTTCGTGAGTGTCCGCACGCACACCCTCTCTTATTTGCCGGTTCTTGTGTGGGTTTTGTTATACTCCAAGCGACCCTGTCAGCTCAAGCCTGACTGAACTTATTCTTCACGCTCCACCATAATCTCAACCTTACTCTTACAACGTCTTATTCTTTACTCCGGAATTTGGAAAGAAAAGGTTTTTTGCTTAGAATTTTACTCAAAACACCTCCGACCGACGACGATCCTTTCAACATGACGCTCGTTTATAAACTCTCGCATGCTCTCAACAAAATTGATTGTATTCCCTCGATCATAGATTTGATTGACTTGAGTTCTGGACATCACAAGTGGCAATACCAGTCTACAGAGGTCAATGAAAGGCACGATACTAATGTAGCTGCCTCGTTGGGTTCGGAGACAATCCAAGTGCCAAAAGAAAAACAAAGATGAAAATCAACTGGACAAATGAAAGCCTTTCCACCCACAATAATATCCGCGACAGGAGCCATGCCAATGTTTGGAATACCCAAAGTGTCGTATAAAGTAAGGGAAGAGACGCGAATAATGCAAATATCGGGGAACGATGCGACCCAAGGTGCAGTTGAGCGGTCCTTGCGAAGAGTCTGAATGACTGTTGAACCCTCCAAACCAATAGCTTGGAGGGGAGGATCGTCTCTCCGTGATACTGGATATAGACTCTGCCACTCAAAGCGAACGCATATAACTCGTCGTGCCGTCCCCCGGGTCCATCATGCTTTCCCAGCCAGCCATACGTTGACCCTCTGACGTCGTATATCTCCAGCTTCTTCATTATTCGGGGTGAAAAAGTGGTCCTGGGATCAACGTCGCTGCCCATGCGATACACAATGGGGCCTTGGAAATCATCGGGGAGATATACTTGCACGTCACCATATTTGCTGAATAGAAGCATTCGTACGGCGTGCTCATCTCTGCTGCTCTGAGACGAACAAAATTACAAGGTGTGTTAATCGATGAGGAGCAACCAACTTGTTCAAGAATACTTACAATCCGAAGGACTGTATCCTTCTCCGCAGCACAGAAGATCGCAGCCGATTCATGATGGGTACCTTCGGGCTGACAGGCCTCTCCACTGGGTCGACTGGTGCCAATTCCCACAGTGGCATCAATTTGGGATGCAGACTGGAGATTCAGGTTGATTCCATCCAAAGGAGCGCCGCCCTCATCTGACAGGATCCCCTCCGCTTCACTTCGTAGTCGTTCCAGTCCACTGGCTCGCCTTACCCCAGGGGAAAAGACAGGTCGTGAAATGTGTGGATCGATCAACCATTTCCCAGCGATACGTCGAGTCGTCTCAATGTGAATGTAATTGACCCCGTTCCACATTGAGGAAGCTATCAATGGAATCAGCACATCCCGAAAGATGGTTCAACAATTAACGCATCCAATACCTTCGTCGTTAGGCTCGCGATCGAGTTCCTCGGAAGAAGGCCTCGAAGAGGACGTGTCTTGCATTTCAGATACCACCTACAGTTGCCTTAGTAGTTGGAGACAGGTGCAGATGAAGAACAGCATTGACATACTTCACTCATTAAATCTGTGCTCGCGGCTGGGACAGGGTCAAGGCAAGATGACTTGGATTGCCCGATAAGACCCCTCAGGGGCCAATAAATTAAATAGTGTTATAGCGCTTGAAGATGTAATCGAACCAAGTAAGGTCACGCCTTGGCGGAGTTGTCCGCCCGTGTGGGTAATACGAGAGCAAAAGCCAGACGTCCAAATCAATGTCTGAGCAGGTACATAATATCTATTATCCAGTGCTCGCCATTCATGCACTCCCAACATTCATTCGGGCGCTGACCGACATGGTCATGGTTTGCCCAAAATGAATTGGTCAGGGCGTTAAACTACAGGAGGTCTTCGAAGCTATCCACACGCGCGGACCGGAAGCGAATTGTGTGGAGTGGAGCGAATAGAGGCTGGTAATCTGCCTAGTGGAGGAAGGCTGCCACACTTTCAATCGACGAGTTACAGCATCGCACGGGTTATCGTACTGGCTTTGACATGATCACGACAGAGGCTTGTCGATTGGCACGAGTCTGGCGGGTCCGACACCCAACCAACACCAAGTCGCTTCCGGCAGCCAAATGGCTGTATCGCTGTATTAGCGCGTAACCAGTAACAAAGCAGAGAAACCAGTGTGGCTAGACAGTAGGGCTCCAGCCTCTATGGCTTCGTAACAATATAGCTAGGGCTAGGCAGGGGCGCCACCATCCCCTGTGAGGATATGGTACCGAATTCGATTCACGACACACCAAACGTGGCACGTGGCGCAAACCCAACGCGGCTACCAATATGGTACATACCGCAGAGTGTGCGTGAACACACCCTTTGCCAGTGAATAAGCACATGGTCTCCTCGGCCAAGTGATATTGTGGATCTGGTCATGCTTTTAGCCATGCATGAAAGCGCGATTTATAAATAAAGACTTAGATCCGTGATATACTCCGGCTCTGTGTACTCGGGCGAGTGCACAGGCTTTAGGTTGATTCTCTTCCTGATCTTACTGCCTTGCATTTATATGAAGAGCCCTGAGCTTGGCCCTCCGACCGAGCAGCTAGACTTGGACCTAGAGTAGCTGAACAGGTTGAATCCCTGTAACGACACCCGCACTCTTGATTCTGGACCGACTACAACATCGCTGCTTCATCAGGGGGAATGGATGAATGGTAGAATAACTTGCAAGCTACCATCTTCATTGGTTTTGTCTCCCTTAGCAGATGGGGTTATATGCAATGGCTGTTGGGCTCGACCTTCGTACCATGATGTATGCTCGTTAGCCAGGAAGCTGTACGATCTCAATATTAACATTATACTGAAGATTGGAATCTGGTCTATGCACGACCGTTGGCGTCTCCATTTCTGCGTTGATTAGAAAATCTGGTCGTTAAGTGGTACATGGTCTGCCCATTGAAGCCTTTCGACCACCACCCATGACCCAGGTGGATGAACAATCTTCCTGACTGTTGGCCTCTTCTTGCTGCTGTAGTATATCACTTATACGGCGCTCATACCCAGCGTTTAACAACAAAGGTTGAACCAGCTTTGAGTATTTAATGAGCTCCAAGTTGCTCAATGACAGGCTCGACAATTTAGCCTGACTCAAATGTTTTCGGAATGATCACCAACTCTAGTTCATTCCTAGCTGATCGGACCTCACCTCCACTGGCATGGGACTCGGATCAACCGTCGTGCATGTCCTTACGAATCGGTTTGCGTCTCCCGATCACAAAATACACGCGTAAATGACAGGGCCGTCAGACGGGGTAGTCGCTTTGCAATGCGACAAGGCCAGCAAGGTGCTGTAGAACCACTGCCGCCACAATACGCAAAACGAGTCCCAAGCTCTGTCAACCACCTTAGTACTGACCTCACCGGAAAAACGATGGTGCGCAGGTCAAAGCAAACAGTGGCAACCCATTCCACTCCATGCACTGTTGAGCCTTCATGGTGAGACCAACCTCAATGCCCTCCCAACACAGAAATAGGGATCCACTCTCCGTGATAGAGAATGTATACTCTGTCATTAGACGCGAAAATGCATAATTCATCGCCCCCTTTCCGTTGCGATCTCCTAGCAAACTATTCGTCAATGCCGCAGGGTAAATCCTGTACCTCGAGGCTCTCCTTCACTCGGGATGACAAGGTCTCGTGCACGTCAACGCCGCTGAGCATTTGGTGCGTAGTTTTTGCCACAAAAGTTGTCCGGGAGGTACACTACACTACAGCATCACCATATTTACTGAAGACGAACAATCGTACAGCATGCTCGATCTAAGTCATAGTGTGGGATCTCGAAGTGAAGAATTCACGTCACAACAAAGAAGGGGACTTACAAGTTGGAGGACGATACCTTCGCCTGCATTGCATAAGATCACGATTCCCTTGTGACGGCCCCTCGTCCCATAAGGCTGACCGGAGCTCCAGGTTGTAGGTTGTCTAGTCCCAACGAAGCCCCTCATCAACCAGTACTACACGTTCTTGTTCACCAGATCTGGCTCGTGGTATACCATTGTGAAATTTGGGCTATGAGGCGTAAGGATTCTGCACTCTAACTATACGCCCTCGTTGACCGACTCTAGATCGTGACGGGTGGGGATCAATCAGCCAACTGTCAGTGATGCTGCGAGTCATTTCATGCCAGTCCATGCACATAGTTCGTTCTGTTCATCATTAGCCAACCTATTTGACGGGCTTAGCACATGCCGCAACTTAACACAGCAAACCCTTTCGGCCTCTCTCATACCAGTAGAGGGGCGTTTACATATAGCGGTTGACTCCCCGTCATCGCAGCAAAGACCTGAACCGAGCTTTGACCCTCTGTCGTTTCTCCCTGTCTGAGCCCAACGACAAACTGGCCAACTTATCCGGATAACCAACTTTCAGTTCATTCCCTAGCTGATCAGTCCCCACCTCGTACACACCTTGATTCCACAAAGATTTGTGGTCAGTCCTTAAAAAATCAGTTTGCGTCTCTCGATCACAGAATGCTTGGTCGAGCAGCTTTTCTCGCATTCATTAGTGATGGACCTGATCTGCAGCAAGCAGAAACGTGATATTCGGGTGAAAATGTCATAAGGAGATGATGGTAGTTACCCCGCTGTCCTGTCAGCCACGTTGCAATACGATCCGACAAGGCCATTCTAATGTGCTACTGTGGGTTGTAAACATTCCGAGTAACAATCGGTTTCTATACAAAGATCCACCTGACAATGGAAGTAAAGATGATGAAGCATGGTTCTGATAGCACCCAAAGAACAGCAGCAAACAGGAGAAAAGCAAACAGTGGGCCGACGTACTCCACGAGGCATTGTTGAATTTTCCAGGCAAGAAGATAAGAAGTGAGGATCGACTCCCCATGATAGAGAATGTGTACTCTGCCATTCGGAGCAAAGATATATAACTCGTCCTCTCTCCTATCGCTGTCACGATCCCCTAGCCAGCTTTTCGTTAATCCTGTGGATTGGATTTCGTATTCATATAGGCTCTCCACCACTCGAGATGAACAAGTTTCATGAATGTCAACATTGCTGAGCATTTGGTGCACAACTACGCCGCTGAAGTTGTCAGGGAGATACACTTGTACATCACCATATTTGCTGGACGCAAATAGTCGCACGGCATGCTCATCTCTCCTGCTCTAAGGTAACAATGTAACGATGTACTCGATGCGAAGAACAACAAAGAGACTACTTACCAAGTGAAGAATGATATCTTTTTGTGCTATGCAAAAAACCGTAACGTGATCATGACGGATACCTCCAGACTCCTGGGTGCAGACATTCCCGTAAGGTCGACTGGAACCAATCTGCAAGGAAGCATCGATATAAGATGCTGACTGGAGCTTGAGGTTGTATCTTATTCCGGTCCGAGGGAACCACTCATGGATTTCTGCAATCCATTGTCCATCAGATCTGGTTTGTAGTGGCGTAGTAGCGTATGAGACGTGGAAGGCAAGAGAGTTGATTGATTTCTACATACTCTGGTCCACTAGGTCTAGGTCGCGGTGCACCATTGTAGAATTTGGGTCGCGACACGTGAGGATCGATCAGCCAATTGCCAGTGATACTGCGATCTTTCGTTATGTCGATATAGTTCATTCCATTTGTCGGCAGCAAACCTATCTGACAAGATCAGTGCATACCCGAGCTCACGGAAAATATACCCCATACACGAGTCCTCACAGGGCATATCCCTCAGGCTCTTTGGCGGTTTGCTGGGGGCTCCTAGGTCCAAGACTACGTGATGGCCTCCAGATGCCATCTAATGCGCCAATGATCAGCAAATGAGTGGAAGTGCTTCATCTGACTTACCTTGAGGCTGATCGCTTGTGTGTTGGTAAGTAGAGCGCACCGCCTTGGCACGTGTACGGTCTCGACTGCAAAAGGCAAGTGTGCATCTTCGTGTGGCTTTTGCGCTGCTCATTCACATCCTGAACCGCCTCGCGCTAAGTTCACTCTGCCGGAACTATAAACGACATTCGCATACTGGGTGGACTCAACCTCAGGAGCCAAGACAATTGGCCTTTAGCCATCCAAAAGTTCGCTGGATATAGCGATCATGTTGACCAAACGTTGCACGATGAGTCCTGTCCAAATGGCTTAAAAAGTAAGCGAAATGACACAGTAATTCGCCTCAACAATAACTATACAACCGTTCGCTAGAGCAGGATCAGCGGTTCCCCAATAGACTGAAGTCACTATTGTTCATCCCTAAGCTGGGTGAGTTCTCTCCCTTTTAGGACCACTTCCCATGTCCTCCATTTTGGTGAGAAGTTCAACGGTGTTGGCAATTTGTGAGGGGAGAGGTTCCTGGCCAGTAGAATCGCGATGTATGAAGCATAAATGGGGATACGCTCGCATTTCGATACCGGCAGGCGTAGATGTGCCTCCCATCAGTGAAGGAGCGCAGGAAGAAATTAGGGACATATGGCCTATCAATGCCTGCTGCTGACAAATGATGATGCACCAGCATAACTTCCGCCCCAGCAGATGGAGGAACCGAACAACTCGACGCGTCGCGCCTCTGAAGCGGGTCGCCGTGCCAAACCGTTGGAGCGACGGGTGTCGTGAGGATCTGACGCCGGAGGCGTGTCAATGGAGTTACAAGCAGCATTCCTCGTTGCTTATGGTCATCATAAGCGCTTCAGTTGCTTTGGTAGGTATGCGTTCTTCATCTATCAAATACAAGTGAACACTCATTTGCACCAGGACCCGCAAAATGGTGCCGTAAACTGGAGCACCACCTGAACATCCTCCCCGAAGGGGTTTGCCGTTCGCACCCTAATTGAGTACCATGGTGCACACATGTAGCTCGTAGAAGTTCTGGTGAAGGCAGCCAGGTTGAAACCCCGTAGACGATGCATGCGCATACCAAGACGTAGAGGGCGCACCAATCAGATCGATGAGCATGTCAAATCATTGCAAGATTAGTGAAACTGAGTAGTGAGTTGGGTAAGGTGCCAGTGCTTTTGGTCGGGATATTCAACATGCACGTTGCGGTTGATCACGGCGATAGAGCACAACAATGAACTCTTAATTCTCACCCACAACATCGTCCGGTCGGAGCCCCCTCGACCGCGTTATGCTGGAGTTGCACGCGAGGCAGCGTTGGGGAAAAACTGGGGAAACAGGCCTTTAAAACATTGCCTTTATCCTAGGCTTCCTGAGTAGCCCCATTTCGCGGGGAATCCTCCAGTGACAGTAGCGAATTATCCCTTGTGTTTCAGGCTCCTTTCTAGAGCTGCAAAGGCCTTCATGCTCGCATCAATCGCCGTCTCTTGTGCATCTTCCAGATCGTCGATCAGCGGAACGGTGAGCTTTTCGGAGCCTCCTCCCACCATAGAAGACATCTTCGTCCGTTCTTTGGTCTTTCTCCGCTGCTCACGAAGTTTGCGGAGTCCATCGGGCCATTCATGTTCCTGCCATGCCTGTGACTGCGGTAAAGACTCGAGTTTAGCGAGTGCCGAGATGAGGCTAATACGGAAAGACTTCTTTGCGTCCATGTAGATGTCGTATACGCATACAGCGCAGCCTGACATGCTTTTGGGAACAAGAGTAATTAGGGTACAAACACGGATAACGGAAACCAGTACTTGCCAACATTCTGCAAGGAGACATTCATTGAGGAACATTCAACACTGTGGAATAAAGACGCAACTGACCGTCCGCAGTAGGAGGGGTTGGCTTCTTCGGAACTTTGACACCATGGAATGACGTGTACTCCTGACCACCTCTAACTAGCCTTGACGCAGCAGCCTTCGTACTTTCGTTGGCCAATCCTTGGTCACTAAGCTTCGAAACTCCCACATCTATTGACGATTCTTCCGTTTGCGAAGGGCATGGCATATGAGAGAAGCGTGCTGAGAGGTTTTGACCTCCCCTAAACGCGTGAAAATGTCGAGCTATTCGAGGTGTTGGATGCGTGCCAATGGCCGAATGTGATGTTCGGGACAGATAAGAGTAGCACGGTCGACAAAAGAGCTTCTCAGGTGTCATGAACAATGGCCCAGCTGCTAAGAAAGCTCTCAACTACGGAGAAATGTCAATGACCTTCCTGTGACCACATGACTGCTACGATATTTCAATTTGACGACCAAGGCATGGCGATTTGTGATGCTTGCTTCCTTGGACCCGAGCTTATGTGGTGTCTGACGCCTACCCAGTGCACGCGGTTCACAGTGGCTAATCCCAATATCGCATAGGAAATCCTGCAAGAATCAGGGGGTTCGTCAACCCACTCACATTCGTGAACATTCTCTTCTCATTTGTATTGTACAGAAGAAATGTACATTTGCATGCAACGTCGTGCAGTGCTACCGCCTCCTTTGAACCCTCTGTAGGGAGGACTGTACTCGGATCTCAACCGTTTAATAACGAGGTAGTATTCCGACCTCGTGGAGCACTTGTTCAGTAAGGCCTCAGCAATTCTATGTCGGAAGAGATGGCTTCCCCGTCGATCATCAGCTCTGCCTTTGGTTGATATTGGCCGTTGGCCTGATTAATTGGAGCTGGAAACGCACCATCACCTTCCCAGTCCCCGGAGCTGTGGATTTCCCAGTATCACTTCTCAGCGACCTTGCGAGAAGACATTTTACTTGCCTAAGCAAATACCCCAAACCTGGTGCCCACTTGCTATCCAGATTCTGCCAACCCAGATAAGAGCAGGCCAAGAAAAAAGGTTACAAACATGCACTCGCCCTTCGCTAACCTTACCGATGATCGGGGCACCGGTCTTACTCGAGTCAGGCCTGTAGCAGGCCTGAACGATAAAATCTGAGCGGTCAAATGCACCCTCGATCCACTCATCCTTGACCACTTGTCGAACACGTTCTTTCAGTCGCTCTTCGCCTTCGCTGTTATACTTGATGTCTGCGCAGCTGAGAGGGAGTGGAGTCTTGTCTGTGAGCCCCGCACCACATACGTAGAGCGTATTGTCGGGGCGAGGGTAGAATTCTGGCTGTGCAATTTGGCCGTTTGGAAGCACAAGCGTGCAAAATAGCGCATGTGGCGAAAATCTATGAGATGATGGTGGTGAGAGAACTATTGATGTTGACAGATTGCTGGTTGTGGATGTCAGCAACAGTGTCACAAAATATTTTTGAGAAGAGACTTGCCTAGATACAATGTCACCAGCAGCACCAGCCTTTCTTCCAAGTAATTTCTTTGCCAGTTTGCCTGTCCAAGGTCCTGCGGCAAAGACAACATCCGTCGCTCCTAGTTCAGTTACCTCTCCACTTTGTAAGCGGACATTGACGATGTTTGAACCCACATCAGCAAACTTGGTAGGGAGCTCTCAGAGCTCTGTGAGCAAATTGAGTCTTTTTGCTGTGCACCCTCTTGTCATATCCGTGCATACCCGACCCCGACCCGACTTCCGGACCTCCACCCTCTTCACCTCCGGAGTCATAACCTACCGCTGCCTTTCCGATACTCACCTTCGGTCTCGGCAACACACCCCTCCTCTTACCTCTCCGACCCCTTCTCCGTCCGTTCCGATACTCATCTCGGACCGAACATCGCCCTACTCGCCACCCTTCCTACAACTCCGCTCCCCCCTCACCACACCTCCACCCTCCCGTCATCCCCTACGCTATCTCCATCCGTTCCGATATCCACCTTCGGACCTGACTACTCTTCCTTACCTGTCCCCTCTCTCATTCCTCCGCCACCCTTCCGCCAAGTTACGACCATCCACCGCTGTTCCGTACTTCACACTCGGACACCGTTCGTACCTTACTCCGAGCCTCCGTCATAGTCCATACCTCGGACTTTGACTCCACCTCGGTCTTAGTCCATTGCATTGGTGACCTCATACTACGTGAACACCATTGCCAATATTCCTCGGACTTCCAACCCTGCCTCCGTAACCTCTGTAAGCTCCGCAACCCCCGAGCTTCGCGGACCGCCTCCGGCACTCTCGCCGTTTGTAATGTATTTCTCGCAATTCCCCCTCATCCCTATTTGGACTACTGCTTCTTTCTATTCTAGCCAGTTAGTCATCACCCCCACTTCCCCTCATCCTCCTGCCCCTCTGGGCCTCGCCCACTCTACCTCCTTTCGGATGTATCACAGGTCTTGCCCTATGACCTTCGGTACCGCTCCGCTCCCTCTAACCCTTTGTTCCCGTTCGGACGTCTTCGTTCCGATTCGGTCACCCTTTGTTTCTCCTTGTGCTTTTGCCCCTTCCTTATATATCGGCGCTTGTACATACTCGTCTGTTTTCAGTCCGAAATCGACCTGAAATGCCCCCAAGAGACTTCCTGCTCACCTACTGTGAAATTAAGGACCAAATGGACAAACAGCAATGGCACAGCGCTCCGCTTGAGTCGCTGAGGCCAAGGTCCCTCCACGCTAAGTCTCCGATTCCGCTCCGGAGTCGTCCGTTTCCGCCCATCTCTAACACCTCTACACATTGGGTGGAGAAAATTAAATGTTTGAATGATTTTATTCTCCTAAGGATGCAGAAGTGCAAAGATAATATGTATATACATTTTTGGAAATGCATATTAAATGGCCAGCATCATTACTTGAAACACTCTATGAGCTCTATGAGCTCACTGAGCTCATAGAGCTCATAGAGCTTTTTGTTTTTAAATCATGGATGGTCTTCATATCTCCATGAAATCTGCTTAGTTATTTTGGCACCAGTAGTGCAAAGATAATATGGATATATATGTGTGTAAAATGGCCATTGTCATTGCTCTGAAAGCTCTATGAGCTCTATGAACTCTATGAACTCAGTGGGCTCATAGAGCTCATATACCTTTTGTGTTTACTAAAATCAGCACCTTATTTTTTATTGCTATTTACAACATTTGAGGAAAACTCTGAAATTCAAAAATTTGCACTTTATCTTTCATCCCATTTCTTGCTCAAAACTCAACCAATTTTGATGATTCTATGTGAATTGGAAAGCACCAAAGTGTGGCAATGTAACCATGCATGTTATGTAGGGTATAAATCAGTTTTAACAAAGTGTTCCAAATGAAGTAAATTGAAAATACCACCCAATAAAGCAAACAAAAAGCTGATGTCTTCAGATATCATCCAAGCCTTTGACACCAAATTTCCCATGGTCAAAAAGCCATGGTTATTTGGCTCACTGTCAGGGCCCAGCCCTTGTTCTGTGACGGGCCCAGGGTGTCAGGGTTCAGCACCCTGCCTTAGGGGTGCCCCGGACTCCCCACCTACTTTACCCCCTTTTTATTCTTTGACTGTTGCCTTGTTGTTGCCTTTGTGTGTTGTGTACATGCGCGCACGGGATAGCGCGGGAACTATGTTCCCACGGGTCACAGCCACAGTTCTGGGCGAGCAACTCGCCCAGAACGTTCCCACGCTTGGCACTGCCACCTGGATGTTCCCTCCGGGTCACACTACACAACTCTAAGAGCTGTATAGTTGTGGGCATGTGACCCATTCCTTTATATAGCAACCATGCGGGGAGATGAGACCTTTACCCTTCTTCTCATCTCATGCCCCGCATAGGCAAGTGTATATATTCCCTTTCTTTTACTATACATCTCATGCCCCGCATAGTGTGAGGACAGGCCAGATGGGGGTTGAGGTCAGGGAGCCTCCGAGTCCGAGGCCGGGCCCTGACACAGGGGGATCCTCCTAGTCGCTGGGGTATCTAGTCCCAGTCCGAGATCCTCAAACTCACTGAGGGGGCTAAACCTTCTCAACCTCCTCTACAAATGGGAGCCAGGAACTATACAGTTTTCAGCTCTTTGTTGACTTTCCATAAATGGCACCCCCCTGTGGGAACGAGCTGCTCACCCAGAAAGTTCCCACAGTTGTGGCTGTGATGGTTTCTGGGTGAGTAACTTGCCCAGAACTTTCCCATGGGTCTGCATGCATGTGGGATTGTGGAATGGTGAGGAGCTGTGCCCTGACACTCACCAAAACATGGTGGGAGACTTTTCTAACACTGAAACATACATTGCTACATTGCCCCACTTTGGCACTTTCCAATGCACATTGAATTATCAAAAAAGTGAATTAATTTTTTTTCCAATTATTCCTAATTTCCTGAAATATCTCTCCCTAACTTATCCCAAAATTTCTGAATTTTCCCCTGATTTTTTGGACATTCTCCTTTTTTAGAAAGTCCCCCATTTTCTGAAATTTCCTTAATTTTCCCTGACTTTTTTTCAAGTTTTTAGAAACCCCCAGTTCCCCTTCATCCCCCCCCCCTCAATTTCCCCCCCATCCCCCCCTTCGATTTCCCCCTCATTCCCCCCCATTCCCCCCTCCCAATTTCCCCCTTCAAATTCCCCCTCATTCCCCCCCCCAATTCCCACCTCAATTTCCCCCCCATTTCTCCCCTATTCCCCCCTTCAAATTCCCCCTCATTCCCCCCCCCATTCCCTCCTCCAAATTTCCCCTCATTCCCCCCTCAATTTTCCCCTCAATTTTCCCCTCAATTCCCTCCTCAATTTTCCCCCCATTCCCCCCATTCTCCCCTCCAAATTTCCCCCTTCAAATTTCCCCTCATTCCCCCTCCATTTCCTCCCTCATTCCCCCCTCATTCCCCCCTCCAAATTTCACCCCATTCCCCCCCTCCATTTTCCCCCCATTTCCTCCCTCATTCCCCCCAATTCCCTCCTCATTTCCCCTCCAAATGTCACCCCATTCCCCCCTCCATTTCCCCCCTCATTTCCCCCCTCATTTCCCCCCTCATTTCCCCCCTCATTTTCCCCCCATTCCCCCCTTTAATTTTCCCCTCATTTTCTCCCTCATCCCCCCATTCCCCCCCTCAATTCCCCCCCCATTTCCCCCCCACTCATTTTCCCGCATTTTCCCTAAGTAATTTCAGATTAACTGCATTTATATCCCTAAATTTGGCTTATATATTGATTGGGCTACATACCCTTGGTGTCTGGTGCCGCATTGGTGCTGAAAGTGAAGCTGAGTTTGTTCAGTCCCTTGTATGGTAGGGACTTGGCTATGGCTAGTCACATGATGCCATAGTCAATGCTTTTAAATTTTAATTTTAATATCAGGTAAATTAAACACTCAGGGAGCTCATATAGATAATAGTCCCCTGTGTGCAAATATAGCTCTATGAGCTCTCAGAGCTTTGACTACTTTTTAGAGCTTTGACTACTTTTCGGAGCTCTCAGAGAAGGGGACCTGCAATTTCAAAGTACTGAAGCTCTGAGAGCTCTATGAGCTCTATGAGCTCTCAGGCCTCTGCATCCAGGTTTGCTGATGCAGGCTGCTAGATTCGATACTGTTCACTTCCCCCATGGTCACTTTGACTCGTCCCGTCTCCATCGCTAATTCGATCAAAGACTCAGACATTAGGAGAGGGTGAACTTGGGCGGTACTATGCTCTCCACCAAGGACGAGGCTATCGGCATCCTTAAGCCACTCAACCTCAAGTCCATTCACTGCGACTCTCCTGCTCCCACCATCCTCCTGCTCTTTCCCAATGATTCTGTCTATACCCAAGGTAGTAAGCTTTCGGTAACCCCATTTCTCTTGCCCATTATGTTCATCGGCAAGCTCCTCGTGTAGTCGAAAAGAGAGTTCACCCAACGAAGCAGTTGGCTCAGCGTGCCAATCCTTAGCAATAAAGCCACCGCCTTTTCCTGACGCTCCAGCCGCGATCGATGATGCTTCGATAAGATGAATTGCAGTATTTCCTATCTAGTAAAACGAGATAAATTGGTATGCAGGCATGTCTTCCAGGAAATCGTCATCTTTGAGTGGAACTGATGCACGAACGTTTGGATGGCAAGACAGGTAGTATGCTATCGATGTACCTATGATGCCCCCGCTATGATGCATGTGTCGGCGCAGGAGATCAAGTTGCGAGCCAGTGTAAGTGGTTCTCGCCACTGGCCATCACTTACCCAATAATCACGATTGACCGTTTACCAGCGCTTGTATTCTCCATACAAATCGCGGTGAAACTAAATGATGTGCCACAACGGCAACGTATTGTATGTTTGGCACACCCTTGCCGCCCCTCAATTGTCGATCGCAAGGGCATCGCCACCTCATGTAAACAATCGTACATAGAGAGCAGTTTCTAAACATGGTAAGACTCGAATGGTTATACTTTTGGCAAGTACTTGTGCTGCCAATTCATTGTTGCCTTTTGCGTGACAAAGCCATTTTCAGCTATTGTCATGTGAGGCCGAGCGATCCGCCAAACGTTCGCTCTAGCGTGATCGCCAGTTGCACTCGCACGATGTTCGGCAAATCTGGACCATCCAGGCTTTTGTCGCCATTTTCTAGGCAGGAACGCTCTTCTGGGTACCCCAATGATTCTTCGCGGGCCTCCGCCTCCCCAAATCCCGGGATCAAGATCACCGCTCCCCCTTCTTTGAGCGATGGAACGACTTGTAGAGATCATGACAGATCCGCGGAATTTCTTCTCGAGCCTCCTATTACCTCCGCACCAACTCCGTCTTCTATTGGCAGCGGCGCCAGAAAATCAAAAAAAGGATCCTCCTTCCGAAGCAGTATCTCTAGGCTCCTTCGGAGAAGCCCAAGCCCCGATCCTAATCAGGCCAACAAGTCGGGTGTGTCCCACCTAGACCAACCCATTCCCGCTACCCCCGATGAATCGCGGCCATCTTCATCCCTTCCTACCTCTGATACCGAAATTAATATTCCTCATGCGACGCCCGGCACAAACGCGGCCTCCGGTAATCCTGCGGACTTTCGGGCACAACTAAAACGCGTGGGTGTGGAATTAGATGACTCTTTGTTGGAGTCGATGACGCCTTCCTCGGCTTCAGCCGGTGATGTGAAGAAAAAGTTCATCAGCGTTTCACGTAGTGTTCTCCAGGCTGCGTCCTTCGGTCTCAAGTTCCATCCTATTCCGTGTCTTGATAAGATCCCGGATCTGCTTCTGGGACTACTTCAAGTTTACGAGGTTGGAGTCTAGTTTTGAATTTGAAATCCGTCATGTCAGCTCACGTTCATCCCATCTACGTGTAGAGTGTTAACGGAAATGAGGAGAATCTCAGAGATCTAAATGACGACATCCAAAAGGCCTACACCGCCATCTTTCGTCCGCTCCAACTGTGGGAGGGCGAGATCCCTCCTGAAGTTGCATTTCTAGTCAAGGAACTACATTCGTACGTGCATAATCTTTGTCAATCGTTCACTTTATCTCAATAACCCACGACAGGGACTTGGAGAAACAGCTTGGGCAGATCAAATCACTCAAGAGTCAAAACCTCCCACGGAAAATACTATCAGCCGCAGACATCACTCAGAATATAAGTGATGTGAGGGCGTGCATCAGCAAGGCTATTGCCTCATTCTCTGTTCGTCTCCGACTACACGCAAGGCGATTTCCTAGCTGATTGGACATTTCGACAGGCGGGGACGGTGCTTTTGACACTTCTCCACACGATCGAGTTATCAACTCAATGTATGTCACTTTGTGCATGTTGTTAGAGACCTTATTAACCGTACTTGTAGCCCGACTCGATAAGCTTGGGCGTGTCGCTGCTGAGCACACTTACGTGACAAGCAAGTCGAAGTGCCACCAGGGGACTCGAGAGAAGATGCAAGAATCCATTCTCAAACACTTGCGTGAAGCCAAGAACCGATTTGTCTGGCTACGTGGCTCACCGGGTACTGGGAAGACCGCGATATGTTTAAGCATCGCATCCGTTCTTGAGGAAGGGGGTGCCCTGGCGGCATCTTTTTTTTGGGACAAGAACCAAAAGGAATCCGGGCTGGGTTCTATCGAGGGGTTTCCGTCTACACTTGCCCGTCAGCTTGCACGCTTCAACAGTGCCTTCGAGATATCGCTCATCAAACGCCTGAAGCGTGCAGACCTTGAATTCATTCATAAACTCCCTCTGAAAGAACAGATAAAGGTTCTAATCATCGAGCCGATGAGTGATCTCAAGGAGTTACTATCCTCCAGCGGCGATCGTTTCTTCATTATTTTGGATGGGTTAGATGAGTGTGGAAACCAAGAGGCACTCGAGGCACTGATGAAACTAGTACTTGCACTTCATGAGCTGCCAGCCCCATTTGCCATACTTGTCAGTTCTCGGCCGGAACCAGAAATCATTTCGGCTTGGACTGAAGCTCTCGATCTGGGCCATCCCATTACATCCGAAGATGTGGATAAGATCGCAAAGAGTGAAACTTTCTTTGCGGTTCGTCACATGGTGGAGGAAGGGCTCGAAGATCGCATCAAAAAGTCCAAGTGGAAGCCATCGGAAGCAGAACTCGACTCCTTTGCTTCCGCTTGTCGTGAACTGCCCATTATTGCCTCGATCCGAATTCGGGATGTGTGCTTTCGAACTCGTCGTGGTGCAACACTCGAAGCCGAGTTCAAATACCATTGCAATCTCGTTGATGCCCCAGTTGATGTCAACTGGGAGTACTTGCGCATTCTCCGACGTGCGTACTTTCATGACGATACATCTGGGGTTCCCCCAGAGATAGCCAAGAAGTATCGTGACGTTGTTGGGTCAATCATTATAGCACACGAGTCACTCAGCGCGCAAGACATGTGGCAAATGATGGAGATTACCGAGCTCGAGGCGCATGCAGTATTGGAGCCAATCAGTTCAATAGTCGACTTTTCCTCGGAGAGCCCCAAATTCTATCACGCGACGGCGAACGAATTTATTACTGCTAACCCAATTGGAAATGAACTTGACAAAGTGTTCTTTGTAAATGATCCGAAGGGGTATTTCCTTGGATTACCGCTGCTTCGATCTTTTAACGACGGCTGTAAGCAGGGTGTGTTTGGGATACCCACTAATCCTCCTCTGGGAGACCAAAACAAATGGGATAATTTTTTGAGGAAGAGACGTGACCGTCCACGGCTTGTCAGTTATGGGATCAACAACTTACTCCTCCACCTGAACCCCTCTCAACTCTTTTCACAGCAACCCAATGAGTTGCAGAAAGAGTTTAACGACTTCCTTACACAAAACTTTCTTGCGTTCATTGTGTTGTCGGGTGTTGGAACTGAAGCGCCGAGTGAATTGTTTCTGCCCAGTACTGTGAGTAAGACTGTCTAATAGGTGCATTTTCGCAACGCGATATGACATTGCTTCTGCAGAATCACATTTCAACTGAACTTCTGAAAGAAGTTGAAAAGGCAAATCATTTCAGAGTCCGATTCTCTCCCTGGCATCTCTATCGATCGCTCCTTCCTTTCGCTCCGCGCTCATCACCCCTTTACAAATTGTATGGTCATTTTTCTGACCCCGTCCGCATCTTCAGTATTTCTGGCGAGTTCTCTGGTCGCACGATCCCGTTAAGCGACAAAACTCTCAGTGCTCGAGGGCTCATGGAGGCGAAGCTAAGTCCATTGCCAGAGATGGGTGTGTGGGATAATGAACGGATAAAGTATGAAGCTGAGTTGCATGAACCTGATGTTCGGAATGGTGTTGTGACCTGCGCTGCGCTCTCTCTCGACGGTCACCACATTGCACTTGCCTTTGGTAGTGGTATCATCGAGATTGCCGACATCGACCAGCAGCGCACGATCACGCGGTTTGAATGCGATCCACCTCGTCTTCTAATTTGGGTCGAGTTCATCCATGGCAACCACCGAATCGCTACAGAGGATAGTGAGGGGAATATCACCATTTTCGGCCGTGATGTACGTGCCATGAGGCTTGGCACCCTCCCCAGTGGGCGCTGTCCACCTGTCACTGCAGTGTCAGACAATGGATCGTTAATAGCACGAGTTCAGCAGGATCTTGGGAAGAATTGGTACGACTACATGTCACTCCTATATGTTTCGGATGACTTGTCTGTTCAACCTCTCGCCTCTCCCCCTTCTGACACCTCCACACCATCCTCCCAACCCGATTCCAAGTTAGCCATCCCCCACCGCCGTACGATCGGTTTCTCTCCAGGGGCACGATATATTGGTGCTTTCGATGGGATTAGCGCCTGCGCCTGGTCAACAGAGTCACGCGAGTTCATTGCACGTTATCATGTTACTGCTTTAGAGTATTGGATTCTCAATCCCGGCACCGCTCCCCCTTGTCCATATTCCGTCCCGTATCCCGTGTCCACCGGACCTGCGCTTCCTTTGGGAGATGATACTATGGATGTACAACACTCTGAGACAGGCTCAGGGCTTAACGCGGACGAGTGTTGGATCAAACGCCCATTCTATGACCTCTTACCGAGCATGAGGGAGGTCATGCACAACGATGTCCGTTCATTTTCAACAGGCAGAACTCCACTGTTGCAATCGGTTTGGATGACGTCCGGAATATGGTTTAATGGTAAGCGGGAGCTCGCAGTCCCAGGAAACTATCAACCAATCCAGGACAACACCAAGAGCGGAGTCAGCTGGTATGGCGATCGAGTGCCAGATGATCTGACGTACTCCTACCGACCTTCGTCCAGCAGGGATGGGACTCGATTTCTGCTCCAGGGCCAGATGAAAGCCCCAATTGTTGTGGACATCAACGAAATCGTTTAGTATCCCCATTCCCTTCCTCTTTTGGTCCTCAGGCTCGAGTGTACTCAGCTCTCATGGAGCACTACGTGCTATAAGTACAACACATCATGATTTTGTAATCAATGTCTAGTGTAATACTAGCAATCGTGCGGGAAGACGAACCGCAAATGGATTAAAACTGCTAGTGGGAGGTAACGAAGTTGGACAGGATAACTCTCTGGCTGTTCAAGCAGTCCCAAGACAAAGGGACTAGACAATGTGCGATGCCCCGAGATTACTCAGGACCCGGAATTTATTTCGTTCAATGAGATCGCCAATCCCTCGGGTCACATCCCAGCTTGATTGCCTTTTTGACAGAAAACTGGTTCCCTCTTGGTTTTTAGAAATTGATAGGGATTTATTTCTGCGACATTTTGAGCATGGAGTTCAGTTGTCATGTCACTATAGTTTTGTTGGAAAGGGGTGCAGAAACTTTTCGTCTCAAACCATACATTCCACGATCATAGGAGAGGGCGGTGCAGAGCTGCGCGCGCGCCTGCAAGCCCACTCTTCATTGTCTGGTTCGGTACCTGAGTTTTGATCCCTTCCTTCGAGAAGTCCCCCTCTAAAAATTATTGTAGGTTACATTCCTTAAGCTATAAATCATATATGCGACAAATAGGGCGCTCACAGCGTGCAGTTCCGATCAATCATTGAGAGATACGATAACGGTCCCCATATCGATTCGATTCATAGGGTTAAATTCAAGGCAGGGGGCGAGAGTTTTCTCAATCTGTGTTGAAGGAGGGGTAAATGGTGGCTCGGAATTCTGAAGAGCGTGTATGACGCGAGAATCGGTCATGGTGGAGTATGGTTGCTCGTTGCGAAGTATCTGTGTACTAATAACTGTCAGCTCCTACTTAACACATATGCACTCATACCTTCATGGCTGTACATCCAAATCCCCACACATCACTTTCCTTGTCCTTGTTTCGAACTTCATCAAAAAAAACCTCCGGCGCTATGTATCTCGTCGTTCCGGCCACCGAATCGGGCCACGTTGACCTGTCCCATAGAATAAACGATAGCCCAAAACCGCACAACTGCGGTATTTCCCCATTCATGACGATGTTCTCCTGACGATGGAAATGGTCCCATAAGAAGGGCTGATTGCACTAACATGTAAAATGAAAATAATTCACGGGTCTGATATTGCCATGCACTACATCCTCTGAATGAAGATACTCTACGCCATGAGCAATTCCGCAAATCTAGGGTGTCAACAGATGAGTGGCGATGAACATGACGCAGAATTGGATTCACCAAGGCCCGGCGATCGGCATCAGGATGTTGGTGTAAAAATTCCTGAACATTCCCTCCGCCACACCAGTTTGACACCAAGCTCGGTTGAAAATCTTCCTTGATATATGATATCCAGCCATAAAGCTGAACTATGTGTGCATGCGTCAACTGGGACCACACCCTCATCTCACGAATCAAGCGCTTGGATCGAGAGTGAACGGGTATGGAATACCCATCATGTCTGAGTCAGCTTACCTCAAAGAACATGTCATTACTGAATCTGCCGAAAACCTTTATGCAAACCTCGCGCTGGAAAGATATGAGGGAAGGTAGCTTAATGATTCCGAGTACCCGCGAGACACGAACGTTGTTGTAGATTCCCTTATATATTTTCGCATAAGCCCCAAACACCCCGAGACGCCCGAGGTCTGTGTCAATTACCCCATCAAGGTTCCGAGGGTCAATTCGCAGCATCCTCTCCTTAAGCTCTTGTTGCCAGGATTTATCGACGGGCTCCATGAACTTCGATCTATGGGACGCAAGGGGCGGAGACAAAGCAAAAGCCAAAGGTGGTGGAGTGGATCAATGCTGGTGTAACTGCGCGTGCAAAGAATAGCCCACCTTCATTTGGTAAGGCTTGTTTCTTGCCTGATTTGGAAATGCATATTCACAGTAAAAAAATCCGTCACCCTTTGCCCATGCTTCAGGAAGTCGATCCAATGCCGCCGAAATCTAAGTACTACGTATGGTCAACCCAACGTTGTATAGCTGAGAAGATAGATGCATTAGCCCCAACCACAGCTAACGGATGTCAATATCTTGGCAGAGATGCGTCATCTTATCATTGTAAGTATAATCAACACACGACGTGAATCCTGTCTATGATTGACCTCTCAAGTAGATGACATAATGAGCTATTGCAAGCGCATCTTCTGCTATTGGTTTGGGCCTTCCCAAACGAGTTTTCAAGATGTACGGACGGCGCCGGATGTTATCCACACAAACCGTACGTGGCAACACAGCTTTGGGCTCTTGATCACTAGTTGTGTGCGCCCCACTGTTTCTCGCTCGAGTGTCAATATTTTAGACGTCACCCGTCCGCGCCTTTCCGGTGGAACACCGTAATGATGAGCCAAAGATAAAGCAAACTTTGAGGTGCAGAGTGGAAGCGAAGCAAAGTAAATCACGCGAAGCAGGAGTGCACAGACGCTTGCGGGGTCGGTGAGCTCAGGCGAAAGGAAACAAAATCGAATCACATTGGTGAAGGCACGGAGTATCGGTGAAGGGAGGAACGAGAACGGGCGGGTTTGGAGCGTGTTCTTCTCATAGTAAAACGGTCAAACTCCCCCAATACGGGTGGCTTTATTCAAGGGACGTAGCTTCAGTTGGTGGATTAGAGGGAAGGAGAAATGAAGTTCTAGGGACCACTCAATAGGATTTGCTATTAAAGTTTCGCAAGAATTTGTTTGCAAGACCCGCTACGGAGCGGCAGAAACAATAGAAATGGTAGTGCAAAAAATTTGACAAGAGATAGGATAGGTCTATGGGCGAGTACGTAGTTGTGTGCAAACAACCCGCTTGGTGAGATGACTTTCGGGCAATCAGCTGAGGGGGCGAATTACCGGCCAAGTTTTGGTTGGAAGGGTGCAGCTCGACATGGTCAGAAGGAGAGTGCGAAAGGAGGGAAAAAAAATGAGGCTAGCGATCGTGGTTTGGAAAAGAGGCAGGCATGCCATCGTTGGTGTTGACAACTTTGCAATTTCGCTCATTGGCCACCGGTTTGAACGAATAACCATGCCGCGAAAAAAAAACGGGTGTGTTGACGAAGAATAGATTGGGCGACTTTTTGTGACCGAAGAAGTATAGCTCGAATGGCACCAGGACCAAGCTAAGTTAGTGACCTCAGCAGGCTCAAGAAGCTTCGCTTGCACAACTGCATGACCGACCGGGACCCGGATTAAATTGAATCTCGATAAGCATAATACGTGATTGGCTCAGTTGGATTTTCCTCGTCTGGCGTTATACTTAGGGTGAAGTGCTGGCTCAGATCAACATCCCAGTTGGTGTTTATCTCTTTGAGGCGGTAGTGGTCAGGTGACCGCTGATGGATGGCTCGATGGCCGAATTTATTCGTCTATTTAAGATGAAACCCGGCTCAGTGCCAGAACTAACTATACCGGTCGCGAGGAATGCTACTAAGGTGTCTCGCTTATTGTGAAGCCCCGTATCGATCTCAGTGTCAAATGCAAACGAGAACGCAGACGAGTCGGTAATGCCCACTCGAAATTTTAGGCTAATTTATGGCTGCTGCATGTGGATACAGCAACGAGGCGTCTCCTAGAAAAGGACTCACTAGCCCTCAGGTAAAATATCACCAACTTCGCTGGCAGGCGTACCCTTTCCAAGGCCCCTGCTGCAATAAGTAATCAGTGTTCATTGCTGCTAGTTCAGTTGCCTCCCCGCTCTGTATTGACGGCATCTGAACTCAGTAGTTTATCATATTCGGTCATCCCTCTTATGTCTGCACATTCCCGCTCCTCCATTGTGAAAGGGTCTCTCAGTCCTAAACACCCCATACAAGCTTGTCGATGCATCCCATGAAATGGATGGTGCGCAACTGCGATATTCTCACTACTTACGACAACGTTTTCCTCGGGATATCACCTCATTCTGTGGTCTCTCGAGCTTCTCTTACATGTACCACTTATTTGCTTTGCTGGATGCCAGGCGTTAAGGCTGCGCTCGAGATGGAGGCAGGAAAGTATCCTATTGTCCAAGAACCTACCTGGTATCACCAGACCTACGTCAGTCCTGGTCCTGTCGTATCCCACATACTCCTCCATCTTCCTCGGCTCGCGGTTTAAACAATGTTTCTGAGACCGTGCTCGAATATCAAAGCGGCCTGGAACGGTGCATTTCGTTTCTGATGTCCATTCACCCGTGTCCCACCCTGTGTCTTTCTGTACTCTGTGCAGGCCTCTGGCTAATTTCCAAAGGTCGAGGGGGATTTTATTCTTATGCGTGAAATATCGACAACGTCCAGATTGCCTTGTTTGCCTAAGTAACCACATTCCATGATATAGGGCGATGACCAGCGCAGCTTCTGTTACACTTCCAGCGCGGGCATTTATCGGCAACCAAGTGCTACTAAGATATACTGCGGGGCGAGGGGATCGAGATTGTGCAAGCTTGCGCCAGCCACCGATTACTGGATTGCTAATGAATGCTTTTATTGGCCTCCATTTTCGGTACTACAGTAAAACTTGCAATGATATATTGCGCTACATATACAACTCGCCATTGCCGCATTACTCCCATGTCGCCGCTTCCATTCCGAGACGTCGTGCTGTAACCCACTCTTTGCCATCCCTCTGGCCGGTGCATGCAGTTTAGCCCCCTTCCTTTGGCGGACCTCGCTCTAATTATCGGTTGCATCCCTTGAAGCCACCTTGGATCATACTTGAGACTCTCCGATGCGTAACCCCAATAAATTACCAAAAAAACCCAGACAAAATATTCCTCGCACGATTCACAGTTTAAGATTGCGCAGAAGCTCTTCTAGGGCTCATGTGCTGCTGAGAATTGCAGTGTTGAGGAATTGATGCGAATGACTGAAAGATTGTGTCGCTGAGGAATTGTCAGCTTGCCCACCACCGGAATGATTCTGCCCAAGGAGTTCGGTAACCGTTTGCATATTAATCCGGTGCTCAGGAGTAGGCTCGAGGCAAAGGAGAAAAATCTCCTCGATAGGCTGAGCCGCTGGAAGGGCAAACGGCGGCGCAGAACCTCCAATAGCTCCGTGGACGGCGAATTCGTTTTTAATGGTGCCATATGGTCGCGTATTGCGGAGTATCTAAAGCATGGCTGTCAGCCCCTAGTCTTGAACATGCATTCAGTCAAGTTATTCGTACCTCCATGGCTGTACATCCGAATGCCCAGACATCAGTTCTTTTGTCTCGAAAGGGCTCCTCCTTGTGGCACACTTCTGGCGCTATGTATCGCAATGTCCCAGCCAGGCTCGACGGGTTGATGTGGGTTGACGTGTCCCATATAATAAACGAAAGTCCAAAATCACACAACTGCGGCGTTCTCTCATCACTCACGACGACGTTTTGCTGGCGGTGGATGTGGATTCATGAGAATCATCTCCATTTGAAACATAAGGATAACTCACAGGCTTCATGTCGGCATGCACTATCTCCTTCGAATGAAGATACTCCAGACCACGAGCTATTCCGTAAACCTGGAATGTCACCCCCATGCAAATAAGTATTGATTCATAACGCGCAAGTCAGATTCATGTACCAGGGCTCGGCGATCAGCTTCAGGACAGCGCCTTAGAAAAGCTTTAACGTCCCCTTCACCGCACCAGTTTGACACCAAGCTCGGACATAGATTTTGCTTGCTTTCGAGGTACGATATCCAACCGTGAAGCTGAACTACGTGTGTGTGCGCCAACTCACACCACACTTTTACTTCGCGAACTAGTCGCTTGGGTTGGGAGTAAATAACAGTGACATACCCATCATGTCTGGGCCAACTTACTCTAAGGAATTCAGGAGACGAAACATCATTCTCGATATCCTTGAAAGCCTTTATGCAAACCTCGGTCTAGGGATACGGGGGAGGACATAAGCATGAGCAGCAATGCGAAGCGCGCGCGAAGAGATACGAGCCGTGTTGTAGACTCCCTTGTATATCACCCCAAATGACCCTTGTTTTTTGGTACGCAGAATTGTTCCGATGGCGATTATTCCGTCGAGGTTCCGATCATCAACTTGCTCTAGCTTCTGCACGATGGTTCGTCGTAAGATTTCCGCTTCGTCGGGCGACATTCTTGTGAGGCGAAAAAGAGGGGATACCGTGCCGCGTGTGAGGGGACAACATATTCTTTATCTCGTAAGGTCAGTAGTGGGCCCCTGCTCGATTCGGAAGCATTGCAAATGGCCGATCCAAAATCAATATAATCAGCTTGAATTACAGCCGTTTTCGGCTTAGTTGTCACGTGATCCGTTTTGATTCCGCCCTTGCTCGTTGCCCAAAAGCAGGGCTCAACAAAGAGTGCACCATATCTCAGCAACCACATAAGCTAGTCACTTGCGGTTTGCTGCAAAACGTTTGTATATCTATTACGCCCGAACCCTTTTTAGCGATAACGATAATTTTTATTTTTCATGATTTTAAGTTTTACCCCTTTTACACGATTTTCTCGACAACGGCTGGATAGAATGGGCTGTAAATTGGGCAGAAATAAGTCTCAATGTGTCCCTCGGGACCTTTTTTTTATTTAGTAAATACGTTGCGTTTTGAGTTTTTTATTACTCAAACGTTTTCTTTGGTAATGGAAATCCATTGTACATAGTTTTCTCAATAACCACTGCGTGAAATACAACGAAACTTACGCAGAAAGCACTTGAGCAATATATCTCGGGACCTTTTTGTTTTCAAGTTAATCGGTTGCATTTTCGTTTTTTTATCATTTACACATTCCCCGCGGTTATACATGCTCATGCCAGCGGAAAAAGCAACCGATTGACTTGAAAAAAAGGGGATCCTAAGATATATTACTTAAGTGTGTTTGGCATAAGTTTAATCGTATTCCACGCAGTGGTTATTGAGAAAACTATGTACAACGGATTTCCATTACCAAAGAAAGCATTTGAGTAATAAAACACTCAAAACGCAACGTATTTACTAAAGAAAAAAAAGGTCCCGAGGGACACATTGAGACTTATTTCTGCCCAATTTACAGCCCATTCTATCCAGCCGTTGTCGAGAAAATCGTGTAAAAGGGGTAAAACCTAAAATCATGAAAAATAAAAATTATCGTTATCGCTAAAAAAGGTCCGGGCGTAATAGATATACAAACGTTTTGCAGCAAACCGCAAGTGACTAGCTTATGTGGTTGCTGAGACATGGTGCACTCTTTGTTGAGCCCTGCTTTTGGGCAACGAGCAAGGGCGGAATCAAAACGGATCACGTGACAACTAAGCCGAAAACGGCTGTAGGACCATTCTCCTGGAAGCTGCTTATGCAGCATGGTGAACCTGTTTTTCCCATTGGTCTTCGACCTCCCAAATAAGTTTAGTATGAGTCTAGAGCTTACAGCACACAAGGACCTCCCCAAACATTGCTTATTCCTTTGGATCAACTATGGCTCATAACCCGACCACTGACCCACACAATCTGGAGGGGAGGATCACGTTTGATCGGGGACATAACCCAGACCCACCAGCCTCCGATTGTGATGCAGTAAGAATGATGCGGTCACTTTGGTTGGATTTCGCTCATCTAGTGTCATGGTTAGGGCGAGGCGCTGGACCAGAACAATGTTCTCATAGAAGTCCTGCACGAGGTCGATCTTTTTGAGGAGGACTCGAAGGAGGTGGAGAGTCATTTCTTTCAGGTTTGCGGTCGATTCGTTGGCATCAGCGAGCTGCTGAATTTTTTTTCGTAATAGCGCGTAGAGCGTCAATTGAAAATGCTTCGCGGTCTAACTCATGTCAACGTTGCTGAATTCCAAGGATGGATGGTGATGCTTGAAGATGAATCTTGGCTTCGCGCGAAAGCTGTCCACGCAAGGTGTGAGGGAGGGAAAATCATGGCCTACCTCAGCATCAATGCCAATGTGGATCGTCGGGACTTGGTGGGTTTTGCCATCGGCACTCTCAGTGTGTGCCAGTTATCCCGACCCCACCCTTAGGTTCTTGGTGTTTCTCGAGGGCTTTTATATCTTCATTCTAAGGGAATAGTTCATGGGAATCTCAATCCGGTTCGCGTGCTTTGAACCGCTCATTGCGAAACCTCATAATAAAGTTTCTCCCAGAGCAACGTGCACATCGATTATGACGTCCAAAGGCGTCCCGTTCCCCGAATCAGCGGCTTCGAATCCTCGTACACGATCACAGATGATGATCCCGTCAACCTTAAAATGGAGGGCCCGTGCTCTGCACCCCTGAGATACATTGCCCCAGAAGTTATGGCGCAGCTCGGATTTCTGTGCGGCCAGAAAGGTGACATCTGGTCCTTCGGATGTACATCGTCACAGGTACTCCACGCTTTCTATGTACCGACTAGCAATTGAGATCTCGCCTATTTCAGATGCTCCTTGGCAAACGCCCTTACGAGGGTATCCAAAACGATTACCACATTCCATCGGTAGTTGCGAGACATGTGGACCCCTTCGTGTGGGATTCTGCGGATCCTTTCCATGAGGTGCTTCATAGTTGCCTCGTGCATGACCCTTCTCGACGTACTACCTCCAGTGACATCGTCGAACGTTTAGAGTAAGTCGTAGGCCCCTTCCTTCATGATGCGGAGTGAACCGGGAATTTGCTAGATCGGCCATCGCTCCTCCAAAATACAAACCCAAGCTTCTCGAAGTGAATGAACGCCGCAGAGGCTTTGTGATGACAGAGGATATCTTCCACGCCATGGCTAGCTCCACACAGCCTCCATCCATTGCAATTTCAGACGTTCACCAAGCGCTCAACGATGAGTCGGTGTTTCTTAGGGATGGCGAAGTGACCGATGTTTTTTGTTACCACCGCAATGGCGTAAGTCGAAGACCGATATCTGGTGGAGTTCATCTCGCTGATGACATCATTAAGATGGGGGGTCATGATTATCTCATTTTAAGCATCCGGCTAGGTTCAGGCTCCTTCGTGTGGGCACGGGCTGAGAGGGTCCCGAGCACGCAAGAACGCGGGATTATCGGAATCATTCTGAAGGGCTCGGCGGCATGCGATAATATCACGTTCTCATATCATGCCCCCGCTATTCGGGGCCCTGAGGATAGCCCAATCATGATGCTCCGCTGCAACAACGTCAAGCTCGTCCACTCCACCCAGTTGTTCAGCATTATTCATGATCATTCCCCGGAATATCGTGCGAGCAGTTTCAACTGCTGGTGGTTTGCTGCAGGTGAGTCCTTCGCTCCATTCGTACGAGAACATCCATTGGACCCATTAAGCAGTTAGCATCGGTGTTCTGCGTCATTTAGACCAGAAGAATGATTGGATCAAGTTTCCCGGAAAAGATTGGATTAATAGCGCTGTTAAAATAGTGAGAAGCACGAAGGAAGTAACAAAGAATGTGACGCACGAGTTTCTCTCCCCGTTCAACGTCCGAAAAGATGTGGATCTTAGCAATGAAGCAACTTGGGGATATAGTCGTGCTCCTTCCCTGCGGACGTGGCCGTCTTCCGTGTTGATGGAGCCGTCCTCTGTATTGAGGGAGGCATCTTCCCTGCCGATGCCATCATCCTCAGGGAAATATAGTCGCGATCCTCCCCTGCCAACGTGGCCACGTTCTGTGTCGACGAGGTCATCACCCGTGTCGATGGAGTCATCTTCCCTGTTGACGGGCCCATCTCTCCTGTCGAACAGGGCATCTTCCTCGTCAACGGAGCTATCTTCCCTGTCGACGGGGCTATCTTCCCTATCGGTGGAACCTTATTCTGGCCATGTTTCTGTCTACTCGCCTCCTGTCTCGGTACCAGGAGGCCTCGGGATCTCCAGCCTGGTGCGGGACGTTGTGGCAACTCATAATATCGAGGATTATAAAATATTGATTGTTGGGCATAGGTCTGCCATTTCTTCCGGGGAGTTATTGCGGAGTTTGAAAACAATATGGAGGGATCCAAGTGGGGATGATCAAGTGCAGCTCAAGGACGGGGTTCTGAAATTCTTGCAGACATGGGTATCGTTGGGGTTCCTTGACGTTTCCTTCACCTCGGAGGTCCTGAGAATTGTGGACGAGTACTCAGGCAGCCCGTCATTTGGCAATCGTCGGGAGATTGAGCAGATTCGAAATGCCCTGGAAAGACCGACAACTCTCCCCCCTGTGAAGCAGCAAACCCCAACAATTGCATCCGGGTCGAGTGTTGGGTCGACATCTTCAGGAAAACAACGAAAAATCAAGGGGGACACCTTCGACAGAATAGACCTTCTTGGGTTAGCAAAGGCTCTGTTTGAGGAGGAAATGGAAAACATGGAAAACCTTACCATGCCTCACGCCGTCAGATCGCTGATAGACTGGCAGAATCATCCAGAAGCGTTGGACTCGATGCCGTTCTCTCCCTTGGTAGGACAGGTAATTGAAGAGTTTGCTAATGCGTTCAGCCCTAAACAATCTAAGAGTCGTTCTGCATTCAGATACAAGACTGGGTGAATGAAGAGTGCCTGAATAAACGCTACGATGCTCGGCGGAAAGCCTTCCAATCGTTCTACCTTCTGGCATGTGTAAGTTGCTCCTCCCCCTCCAAATGCCTTCGTGGTATGAGAAGCCTCTAATATTTTTTTGAGTAGGAATGCGAAAAGCTAGGGAATCTTGCAAGTTCTCAGGCCATCGCCCGCGCTCTTTGTGGGGGATACATTCGGAAGTTTAACTTTATTCGGGCCCGTGCTGAAAAGTCAGCCGGAGGTTCGGAAGGGCTCCGCGAGGCACTGCAACGCCTTTCTGAACCCCTCGACACAGTCCCGGCAATAATTCCTCCGTTAGGTTTGTCAACGACTCCTCTCTAGCACTACATGCTAAAAGACCATCTAGACTACCGATTGCGACGACTTCTACCGGTGTTCCGCGACATCCGGGATAATGCTGCCACGATCAATTGGGAGGCTTGCAAGCTGTTCTATCAAAATTTGAAGCTGGTCTTTCAACAGCTCGTTCCTGCTTCTCCGGAAGCCAATGTCCCTGAGTCGTATCATAGATTTCTTCACGACAGGATGTACCAAGCGTCCTTGAATCGCTCTAACCACCAGAATCTCAGTGAGCTCCTCTTCGCAGATGAGGCCCGCGAACTGCACCAAATGAGAGCTGGCGCCGGATTCGGATTCTGACAACCGAGTTGTGGTGCCTTGCCACATTACCCCTAATCTCACTGTTCCTCGAATTCATTTGTTCTTTTGTTTGCACATGGTCTCAGCTTGATCCGGCCTACTTAGATAACAGCCTGAATTCCAGAATATTGTAATTGTATCCCTGTGTTTCCATTTCGTCTCACTACTGTCTGTCTTGATTTTAGGGTTCTGGGCTTTCCTTCCCATTTTTCTCATTGCGTCCTGAATAACTTGGTCCTTGTGTGAATCTGCATGTTGCCGAGCCCGATTTGTAACCAAGTTCTTTCGAGTGTCTACGGAACTGCGCCAGATGAGCAGCCGTGCGTTGGCCACGTCCCGGGGGCAGACCTACGTCCGAATTGGTTGAACACGGGGTGCAGTTACGTCACAAAACACGTACACATCCATGCACAGTATTCAGATGTCGAGTAGGAACCAACACGATGAATCTTCTTTACTACTTTGCGGAATGTATTCGTGCGTCGATTTTCGCGTATTAATAGTAAACAGTGGATGGGTCATGAGGCGTATACAGATGTTTTTCTCCATAAGTGGTATGTACCAAGCCTAAGTCCATGGGTAAGCAAGCAAAGGATATCCCATACGACCAAGGCTGAATGAATTAATCGGTCCCCCCAATCACCTCGCCTTACTCCTCCATTGGAAATACTCGGTTTTTTCGCTTCTAATGTCGCAGGGTAATTATGAGGAGTCGAGCCCTATTGTGACTCCGGACGTAGATTACCCTTCAAACTTACTGTCAAGCTTGCAAGATGTTAGAGGACCTAGCCGAGATGTCAGCGAGATGTCAGGGCTGACTCCAGAGCTGACTCCAGAGCAGTGCGCGATGGCATGCAGTCGGACCTACACACTCTAGCCAGAAAGGATTAACGTGTTCGATCTCGGGGATCCAAACGCCTCATTTAACCCTATGATGGAGTATGCATAATGCGTGACCTAGCTCATATTTAGGGCGAAGAGTCGTACTACGCGAAGTTCAACTCTCAGAGCCAGTGGTGCAGGCACTTTGTTCAGGCTCGCAAGTAGTTCAATCGTGCGAGCAATCAACTGAATCTTCTTCTTCTGTAACAGCGCATGGGCGACGTCTATTGTAGGTGCTTCGCGTTGTGGCTTTGCTCGAGAATCATGGATGGCGGAAGATGAAACTTGACCTCATGCGAGGGTTTATTATACCAGTCGCGGGGAAGGGATGTTACTTCGGCCTCTTTCAGCAGTGAATGCAGATTGTCTGAACTTGGTGGGTTCATCGGTGCCTCAGTTTTGCTTGTTTACATTCTTGGAGTTTCTCGAACTTCATTTTATTGGTATCGTCCATCCCGGTATGTATGACGTGTCTCGCTTATTGCGAAGCCCCAAGTTTTTCTAGGGCACCGATTATGACGTCGATACAGGCATCCCGTTCCTCGGATCAGTGGCGCCCTGATTACAGAATGGAAGCCACAATATGCTCCGCACCTTTAACGCACATGCACAGCGTTCTATCTTCTTTGCCAACAAGGAATTGGAATCTCAGGCATTTTTCAGACGCCCCCCGGTAAACATCCCTAGGAGTGCCTCTGCATTGAAGACAACAAGTCCACACATATTGCGTTCGCAGTCGCGAAACATGCTTCTCCCTATCTCTACAGACTTTTCCCATGAGGTGTTTCCTACAGCAATATATACTATCGAACGCCTGGAATACGTTGTCTCCTTCGTTCATAAATTAAAAACAAGGGTAATAATATATCTGTGCTACATTTACATCTCCCATTACACAATGAGCCCAGTCAGGATGATGTACTGTGCCAGCCGCTCCGACGTATGCATTTCCATCCCCTTCCCTCGACGACCTCGCTCTAATTTTGGCAACACTCCTGGTAGTCGCCTTGGATTGTAACTTAGAGTAGAGATTCACCGGCGTGTAAACGTAATCGACCCCCCAGACAAAGTTGTGTCGCACTTCTGATCCGTGAACCCACAGCGCAAGATCGAGCAAAAAGACCTCGCTCATGTGGTACTGAGAATCGCAGCGCTGGGAAATTGAAGTGTATGACTGAAAGATTGTGCTCGCTACGAAATTGTCAGAGTGGATCCATTCTGCTCCAGGCGTCTTGTAACGTCTCCCATATTGATTCGACCCTCAGGATCAAGATCGAAGCAGCGGACAAGAGTCTCCTCGGTAGGCTGGGTTGCTGAAGGATTAAACGGCAGTATCGTCCCGATAACTTTGAAAACGGCGAGGTCGTTCCTAATCGTGGGATATGGTGGCTCGCTGCGAAGGATCTGGGCATAACTGTCGGTCGGCTGCTAGCCTTAAACATGCCTTCAGAATTGGAGTTCATACCTCCATAGCTGTACATCCGAATGCCCAGACGTCGGTTTTTTTGTCTCGAAAAGGCTCCTCAGACTCAAACACTTCTGGCGCCACGTATCGCGCTGTTCCGAGTAGACTCGATGCATGGATGTATGTTGACGTGTCCGATACAATGAACGAAAGTCCAAAATCGCACAACTGCGGGGTTCTCCCACCACTTACGACCACATTGTCCTAACGGTGAGTTCGTATCCATAAGAAGTTGCTGATCATACCGACGTGTAACATGAAAACGACTCACGGGCTTCATATCGCCATGCACAATTTCCTCCGAATGAAGATATTCCAGACCATGAGCTATTCCGCAAATCTAAAATGCCAACCCCACGCCAATGATTAATGATTCACAGGGTGCTTGAAGGAGGATTTATATACCAGGGCCTCGCGATCAGCGTGAGGACTGCGTTTTAAAAATGTTGTAACATCCCCTTCGTCGCACCAGTCTGACACCAAACTCGGGCATAAATTTTCCGGGCTCTCGACATAGGGTATCCAACCGTGAAGCCAAACCACATGTTCGTGCGTCAACTTGCGCCACACTGTCATTTCACGAGCTAGTCGCTTGAATTACGAGTGAATGACAGTAAAATGACCATCAGGTCCCAGCCAACTTACCTTAAGGAAGGCGCCGTCAGGATGGTCAATATCGACATTCTTGAATGCCTTAATGCAAACCACACTCTAGAGATAGGGGGAAGCCACGAAAGCATGAACGATGGTTTCGAAGCGCTCGCGAAGAGACACGAACTCCGTTGTACAAACCCCTGAATATTACTCCAAACGCTCCCCATTTTTGGGTCCACCGAATATTTTTGATCTTTCCGTCAAGGTTCCGAGAGTCAACTTGCTCCAGCCTCTGGATGACAGCTTGTCGTGAGGATTCCGCTTGGTTGCTGAGGGACATGGCTTCCACACTCCGCGTAAGGTGAAGGGGATAGTGCTGTGCCGTGTGTGGGGGAATAGAATATTCTTATCTTGTAAGGCCAGGGATCACAGGTCAATAGAGCTCGATTCAGTTCAATACATTTCAGTTCGAATTGGGGCAAATGCATGTGCGTCTGTATAGCGAGACTCTTACCAAATGGCCCCAAGTGCCCGGATCTGAAATATCGTGAATGTGTCCTCCGTCACATTTGGTCTTGACTTCATATTGTGGATCCAACGAATTGTAGCTCGCATACGAGCTGCTCCAAAATTTACTACTTTCCTCCTGGCTCTTGTCCCATTCCTCCACGTTGTATGTTGGCAAAGATGTCGGACATGATATCCAGATTGACTATGGTACGCGACTCTACTGCTGACCCACACAATCTGCAAGGCACGATCGAGTTCATTCCCAGGAGTGAGCTAGACCCGACCATCCATGGGGTAAGAATAATGTGGTCACTTCGGTCGAGTTTCCCTCAGAGTCTTGTGTCACGTTTAGGGGGAAGCGCTGGACCAGAACGACGTTCTCATCGAAGTCTTGCACGAGGTCGATCTCTTCAAGGAGGACTCGAAGGGGGCGGAGGAGCGCTTTTTTCAGGTTTGCGGTTAAGTCGTTGGCATCGGTGAGCCAGCTGAATCTTCTTTTGTAACAGCGCGTTGGGCATCAATTAGAAATGCTTCGCGGTTTACATCACCCCAACATTGCTCGATTTCAAGGATGGATGGTGAAGCTCGAAGATGAATCTTGGCTTCGCGCGAAAGCTGTCCATGCGGGTTGTAAAGGAGGGAGAGTCATGGCTTATCTCAGCGCCAATTCAGATGCAGATCGTCGGAACTTGGTGGGTTTTGTCATCGGTGCCCTCCGCATGTGCCCGGCCATCCTAAGCTCGCCCTTCTTTAGGTTCTTGGAGTTTGTCGAGGGCTTTCATATCTTCATTCTAACAAAATCGTTCATGGTAATCTCAATCCGGTTCGTACGATCTGACCAGCTCATTGCAAAAGCACACGGTAAAGAATCTCTCAGAGCAACGTCCATGTCGACCACAATGCCGGTGACAGGCAACCCGTTCCTCGAATTAGCGGGTTTGAATCCTCTTACGTCGTCACCAATGATCTCGCCAACCTTAAAATGGAAGACACACACTATGCGCCCTTAAGATACACCCCCCCAGAAGTCCTGGCGCAGCCGGGAGTTCTGTGCAGCCAGGAAGGTGACATTTGGTCTTTCGGATGTACATCGTCACAGGTATTGCATGCTTTCTATGTACCGACTGGCAATTGGGATTTCACCTATTTCAGATGCTCCTTGGAAAACGCCCTTACGAGAGTATCCGAAATGATTACCACATTCCATCGGTAGTCGCGAGACATGTGGACCCCTATGCGTGGGACTCTGTGGATTCTTTCTATGAGGTACTTCGGAGTTGCCTCGTGCATGACCCTTCTCGACGTACCACCTCCAGTGACATCGTCAAACGTTTAGAGTAAGCCGTAGGCCCCTTCCTTCATCGTTTAGAGTGAACCTGGAATTCGGTACTAGATTGGTCGTCGCTCCTCCAGAATACGAACCCCAGCCTCTCGAAGTGAATGAACGCAATCTGACGGATAGATTCCAAATTGGAGATAGAACTGGAGATGACCATACGGTTGCAGGCGCGTTCCCTGGCCACATGGAAGACATCCAACAACAGCTTTCCTGTAATACACTGCCCTTTCCCTCTAATCTCCCTCATGCTGCCCGACCAGGTAGGTTCGAGCCACGCTCGCTTGTCCCTCAGCCGGAGGAAGCAAGCAGTAGCAAACGGGACAACTCACCTCTTCATGGCGAAAACCGACCTCATGGTGACAATACTCATTCCACTACGGCGGCTACTAGTATTGCTTCTGGGCTTTTCAATCGACCACCTCCACGCCAACTTTGTGTTAGGCACAAAGGAATGGGTGACGAAGGGGTGAATCTGAAGCTTCAAAAGGTGAGGGTTTGTTGATTCTTGAATCGAGTGGGGGTTAAGTGCTCACTGGAATGCCTTGCTTATGGAAAATTTTGCAACCGCCTTGCTGCTTAACGGACAGTTTCTTGATGCCCTGCCTGTCTCGGAGCGGGAAACCGTCAGCACCTTATGGTCCATGTTCAGTTCTTCGACCCACGCACATCGGGAGATCATCCTACAGGGGTTACTCACCATATGTTGTTCAAGTCAACTCTCTCTTCTTAACGAACAAGTTCCGCAATTACATTGTATCGACCCATTGCTCGCTTTTCCACGAGAGGTCTCTTTACAAGTGCTGAAGTATCTTGACGCCACTTCACTCACACGCGCTGCCCGGGTGTCGAAACTCTGGAAATCTATTGCGTATGACGACATTTTGTGGAGAAACATGTGCGAGCAACATATAGAGAAGACCTGCAAACGGTGCGGTTGGGGACTACCTTTGCTCGAGAGAAAGCGACTAAAGACACGGAAAATACAAGCCTCAAGTTCGCCCTCTCTCGGGTTCGAAAAACATCAATCTTATGATGGAGATGGGCCGGCGTCAGACGGTTTGCCTTCAACCAAACGACGCAAACTATCTGAGTCTCCAGATCTCGCGCCACAATCGAGCCTAACAGCGTACATCTCCGCTACCCAAGACACTCCGACAAGACCCTGGAAGGAGGTGTATAGCGAGCGGGCAAAAGTGGAGAAGAATTGGCGTCATGGGAAGTACTTCGTGTTGACCCTGAAGGGCCACTCGAATGGCGTTATGTGTCTGCAGTACAGCGAAACGCTCGACCATCCAAATTTCCCAATCCTAATGACAGGGTCATTCGATCGGACTATTCGCATATGGAATGTAGAGACCGGTCGAGTGATCGGATGTCTTCATGGTCATCAAAGGGCGATTCGCGCGTTACAGTTTGACGAAGCGAAACTCATCACCGGATCCATGGATAAGACGCTGAAAATCTGGAACTGGCGAACCGGAGAATGCATACGCACCCTTGAAGGGCATGCAGAGGGTGTTATCTGCCTGATTTTCGATGATGATGTGCTTGTGAGCGGGAGTGTTGATGCTACAGTGAGAATTTGGGATTTCCGAACCGGAGGGTTCCATACGCTTCGTGGACATCGGGACTGGATTAATTCCGTTGTACTTTGGGATGGGAAACCTGTCCCAACGCCTGGCGATCAGTGCGATGTGCCTGATATCGATTCGAGGAAATTGCTTTTCAGTGCTTCGGATGATGGAGCCATCCGCTTATGGGACCTGTCGACGAGGGAATGTATTAGGGAATTTTCCGGGCATATGGCGCAAGTGCAAAGTATCAAACTCGCATATGTTGACGACGACGGTGGGTCCGAGAGCGGATCGATTAGCAGTCTTCATCTTGGCCCTCCCGTTACCCGCCCTGTTACTCATTGGGAGGAAAGGGCCGCAGCGCATCTGAACGAGGGGGGATCCACATCCCCTACCTCCACTACTGTCGGGGAACACTTTTCTCCACGGAAACGTGGCCCCTATGCTGTTCTGATGTCGGGAAGCTTGGACAACACGATGAAGATGTGGGACATAGAATCCGCAACCTGTCTGAAGACATATTTTGGGCATACCGAGGGCTTGTGGGCTGTTGATGTAGATAAAAGACATCTAGTATCGGCTAGTCATGATCGAACAATCAAAGTGGGTTTCAAATGCTTATTTGACGCCATTCAGAACTAATGCGAGTATCCTCTCTGGCGATACAATAGATCTGGAATCGCGAAGAGGCGCTATGCAAGCATACTCTTGTCGGGCATCAAGCTGCTGTGACGTGTCTTAAACTCACCGATGATAAAATCTTTTCTGGTAGCGATGATGGAGACATCAAAATCTGGTGTTTCAGCCCCGAAGCTGAAGGTTCCTGACTGGCAATAGCTAACCCTGGCTTGAATTTGGTCCTTTCCATTCCCCCCCCGTTTCCCCATGGAATAATTTTGCTAGCGCCAATCCCCCCTCCTAAGCATTGTGATACCATACATCCTGATCTGGCCTGATCTTTGGGAAGTCGTAACATAATTTTGATGGAGGGATGGGTGGTAGGCAGGTGGGACTCCTTCCCAGTTGCTCACTCCGAGGTTTAGTTGGTGGGATCTGCCATCGGTGCCTTCAGCATGTGCTGGCCATCCTAAGCTCCTGCTTTAGGTTCTTGGAGTGTGTCGAGGGCTTTCATATCTGCATTCTAACGAGATCGTTCATGGTAATCTTAATCCGGTTCGTATGATCTGACCAGCTCATTGCAAAAACGCATGGTAAAGAATCTCTCAGAGCAACGTCCACGTCGACTACAATGTCGGTGACACCCTCCAGAAGTCCTGGCGCAGCCCGGAGTCCTTCCTTCGGGTGTACATCGTCACAGGTATTCCACGCTTTCTATGTACCGACTGGTAATTGGGATCTCGCCTATTTCAGATGCTCCTTGGAAAACGCCCTTACGAGAGTATCCGAAATGATTACCACATTCCATCGGTAGTCGCGAGATATATGGACCCCTATGCGTGGGATTCTGTGGATCCTTTCTATGAGGTGCTTCGGAGCTGCCTCGTGCATGACCCTTTTCGACCTGCCACTTCCAGTGACGTCATCAAACGTTTAGAGTAAGTCGTGGGCCTCTCCGCTCATCATCCAGAGTGAAGCTGGGATTCGGTAGATCCGCCGTCGCTCCTCCAGAAAACAACCTCCAGCCTCTCGAAGGGAATGAACGTAATCTGACGAATAAACTTCAAATTGAAGATAGATTTGGAGATGACTATATCAGTCAGCCGGTTCCAGGTGCGTTCCCTGGCCCATTCATGGTCCCATCATTAAGTGGCTTGCGTTTGGACGGCAGTGCACCCAGATATACCAGAGCCCTCTAATGGTATCTGGCCGCTGCGCAAATCGCGCATTGGCTTGATGATGATTGGCCGAGCTTGCGAGGCGTTGTTTCACTGATTGCACCGGAGGCCATTCTGGCAACTGCATGCTACTGTCTTGGAGAATATCAAAAAAGTATGAGATGGTCGAAGGTGTGTCCTGAATTTGAGAGGAAATGCACAAGTTAGGAAGGGATGAGGCACTGACTTGAACTTGTCACAAAGGGTGGACCTTGGCCCATTCATACTTTGTCCCCATGAATGCATGGTTTCTTCGACCCATCAAAAGGAGGACAAGGAGAAGCGGTAGACCCAAACCACTTGCAGTAATACCCCGGCATAATTAAGAAGACAGGGAATTCTAGAAAGGCCGCAATAACAAAGAAGGAAATTCTTGACAGAATCAAAGGCAATGCGTTTTCGAAATTTATCATTGTCCTTCAACTACTATGGTTTATCATTCAATACGTCGGACGATGGGCAAGCCATTTGCGCAGATCGCAACTCGAGACAATGACGTTGGCATATGCAGCATTGGGTCTTTTTGTGTACGTGTTGTGGTGGCATAAACCCGTTAACATTCAATTCCCAATCCATGTGATGGAAGCAGAGCCTTCCGTTCCTCCGACTTCCGAGAAACCAACACCTAAAACGGAGACTGATGCAGATTGCGAGTGCACCCCAAACTCACCACCATATTTACAGCAATCTTTGCGGGAATTCTTTGCCTTGCCTCATTTCCCTTTCCGACACGCACGGAGATGATTCTATGGCAGGCTTCAGCAATATCTACTACAGTGGCTCCTGTCTTCCCAATTATGTTGTTCATATGGGGACCGAGGGACCCTGGTAGCCTTGGGTCACTACTCATATTACTCATATTACTTGTTTATTTCGCTGCGCGGGTTATCTTGCTTGTTCTCACCTTGCATTCACCTCTGCCTGATCCATACCAGACCCCGTCTTGGTCGTCATTTATCCCGCATCTTGGATAGCTGTGTATGTATCGCGCTTCCGGTCAAAATTGTGTTTTACATAATACAGGAAACAACACAAGTTATGCATGAACAAACGCGTCTTGCGTTCCGTCTGCTCTTTACATCTGCATGTGAACCAGAAACTCAGGCTGGGACTGTTGGAGAACAGCGCATATTGTTAGTCTTGGAGTAATCTCAGAGGTTTGCTATGGGTAAAAATGTTGAACCGTTGCGAAAAGGGTTAGTCGAGTGGTCCACAGCGTACAACTAACCAAGAAACAAGAGATTTCAACATTATTCAGCAGCAGGCAGTGGCGAAGGCACACGTCGGGTTGAAGTCCCAGCCCAATTGTACCGTTTCTGACGTCGCTTTAGCGCCGATTGAGGGGTGCATGGTTGCTGGACAGCGAATACGAATACGGCCCCACTGATATAGATTGGACAAGAGGATAGTGCGCAATACGAGGGTGTAGAGGATCATGGCGAACACCCGACAATTCTGCTCGCTGCGATCTTTTTCACCCGTTCGATGCCCGTCCGATGACAAAAGACGATGCACAGAGCGTTTTTCGCCATTTTAGGGATGTATGAGCGCAGGCAGGGAGATCTGAGGGTCAGTGTACAAGCAAGCAGGGAGGGGAATTGCGTGTCAGTGCGTAATGCAATACACCATTTGGGTAAGATGGTTTGATGGGGGACTAGGAAGGTGTATGGCTGTCGATGTATGGCACGGAATCGGAGCGGGGGATTGGCTTTTGTAGCAGATGAACCAAACAACCACGAGTACTGGCAGTGCTAGGTGCGACCTCCGGCCCTCTGCCACGGATAAGCCCCAAATCCTCACGCAGAATATACAGAACGGCCTGGAGGAACCGTTACTCTACGTAGACGGTGTACTCAGAAGGCTGGGTTGATTGAAGGGATCCCTGTCGTTAACCATGGTGCACTAGCGACGCGCTAAGCACTTTCAGTTAAATATAAAGAGATGTCCTTTTTAATGATATCTGTAATGGGATTGGAGGCGAACGTAGGGCATTCTGTTACCTGCACAGCAGGTCACTCCCCGGTGTTAATATTACGTGAAAACTGACGCTGAATCTGACGTGTTCACCCATTTAGTTGCTGTTTGGTCATCTGATGCAATTGTTAAATTCAATACAAATTAAATTCCTAAGCAATACAGTTTTGCTACCCATGGGAGTTGTGAAGGGGTTTTGCAATGTTAACAATTGCACTAGATAACCTTTCGTGGTGCAATGATAACAAATGGGGAGAACATTTTCTTGATCCCATTGCAGAAAACTACAAGGTAAACGGTTGAGAACTGATATAAAGTATAGGGGACATTTGTAGGCGTTCGTTTAAAAAAACTTGATGAAAAACAAACAAGATTTGACAAAGATACAAATGTACATGCTTTTTTGTTGTGAAAAATTGTGAAAAACCATCCCACTGCTTCATACATCCTCATTCGCGATGTGTGCCAATGATACCAAATAACAAAAGAGTTAGTGAAAGCCTATTTGCAAAATATGACGGGAAATGAATGCAAATTGACAGAGATACTTATGTATATGCTTTTTTTTTGAAAAAATGTAAAAACATGTTCCACTGCCTCATAAACACTGACTTGCAACGTGCGCCCATAATAACAAATAACAAGGGTGTTATTACAAGCCCATTGAAAGAAACCTGACAAAGAACGAATGATAATTGACAGAGATACTAATGTACATGGTTTATTTGTGGAAAAATCGCGCTACTTCCTCATACACGCTGATTCATGACTTGCACTAACAATACCAAATGGATGAAAAGTTGGCACAAGCCCATTGCAAAAATCTGACAAGAAACGGTCAAGAACTGACAGAGATACAAATCCAGTGTCAGCTCCGCGCATGATCTGTGCGTGGGAAACCGCCTCCAGCACTTCATAGATGTCTTAAAAATATGTAAAAATATCTAGTACTTGCGCTGATAATATATCAAATGGTATGAAAATTTATAGAACATTTGGTGCTGTATTAAGCAAGATATAAGATTAATACCATACAGTTTGTGTGTGGGAAATGAGCAAAATCGCCATAATCTCCTCAGGATCACTGAACTATGAGTTGAACTAATAGTACAGAATGTAGAAGACATTGAGACACATCCATCAAAAAAAACCAAGGAGAAACGGATGAGAATTGACAGAGATATGATAAGTTTATGTGTAAATCATGTGTATATGTTCAGTTTGTGTTAGAACTAGCGGATTCGGACGACTCCGGAATGGAATCGGAGACTTATCATGGAAGGACCTTGGCCTCAGCGACTCATGCGGAGCGCTGTGCCATTGCTGGTTGTCCTAGGGGTCCCTAATTTCGGATCTAGCAGAGGGAAAGTCTCTTGGGGGAATTCAAGTTGATTTCGGACTGAGGTTACAAGTTACTAGGTACTTTGTATATAAGGAGGGGTCCGGAATCAAAAGGAACAAGGGTAGGACGAAAGGAGACAAAGGGAGATGGAAAGAGGAACAACACCGAGGGTCAAGTGTTTGACTCAATGGTGTTTCCCAAAGGAGGAATGAAGGGCCAAGGCCCAAGAAGGAAGGAAGGAGGATGGGAGTCGGGAATGGCTAGCTGACTGAATAGAAAGGAAGCAGCAGCCCAAATAGGAATGAGGGAGAATAGCGGAATTGAAATGGACAATGCAATAGTTGCAAGGTCCGGAGTAAGTCCGGAAAGTCCGAACTCGGAGGTTAAACTCCGGAATATTGGCAAAGGTAATTAAATGGAATGAGCTAACCAATACAATGGGTATAAGCGGAGGTGGGGTCAAAGTCCGAGGTCGGAGCTAAGACCGGAGGTTCCGGAGACGAGACGTGAACGGGATACCGGAGCGGAGGTCCGGAGTTGGGAGCATAGGTTTTGCGTACTCGTCTGGAAGGTGTCGAGGTTGGGGTCGGACCCGGAATGTTCCGGAGTCGGACCGAAGGTGGTGTCCTAGCCGGAGGTGGGATAACCTCTTGGGAGTCGGCAAGGAGAAAGTGATGGGAGGGAAGTAGGGCTCTGGAAGTCGGAGTTCGGAGTTCCGGGAGCCCGGGGCGGAGGTCGGGATTGTATGGATATGACAGTTTGAGGAAATCCACATAAACAAATGAGTTTCACGATACATATATATCTTTTGCAGTTTTGCAGAGTTTCTTGCTTTGTTTCCCTCCTCTCCACTTTGTACTTTTTTTTTGTCTTCCATGTACCAATGAAAATATTTTCAGAGCTGTGCAGGGGACACATGCAATGCATGCACTCTAGTTAGATGCAGGGCTGGGAATGATGCCAACGACAGATTTCGGGCTTACCAAATATGCCACCTATGGCAATAAATAGGACGTAGAGCCATGCCCAAGGAATATAGGGCAGGTCTGTAGTGTAACATACGGTTATCCTAGTGTTGAAGACGTCGATCACCAACCCGGCTTTGGCCGAGAGCCCGTTTTGGGGACATGCACAATTGAATTGGTTCTCACGGTGATCACAATATGCTCCGCACCCTCAAGGTACATTACCTGCATAGCAGAGTCACTTCCCCAACCCACAATTACGTAACTTCTGACGCTGAAAACGTGTGAATATTTTCTCTGGTCATTCATTTATTTCGGTTATATCGGTTATTTCTTCTCTCCAGTACAACACTCATGCATGTCACTGTTCGAGTACGGCAGCGAGGCTAGGAGGGGGAGACAAATAAGACATAAGAATGATGACGAAGGGAGTTGTAAGATGAAAGCAGTGTGATGAGTAGACAAAGGAAAGCTCTTACACATCGAAGGGGCCGGGGATGCTATCTGCTTGAAAGTATTGTAAGTCTTTTGGATTAAAATTTATGCTAAATTAATGCATGCACGCTGTGCAGGTTTGGCGATGCAAGGCGAGCACTCTAGTGCACATATCTTCTGTGCCAACAATTGGAATCTCAGCCATTTTCAGACGCTCGGTAACTAGGAGAGCCTCTGTTCATGTGAGCAAGGGTAATGATATATTTTGTCCTACATTTACATTTCCCACTTACACAATGAGCCCAATCGCCACCTCCAGTCCAGGATGATGTACTGTGCCAACTGCAAGCCCACTCTTTCTTTGCCTTACCTGTTCCGAAGTATGCATTTGCATCCCCTTCCCTCGACGACCTCGCTCTAATTTCGGCAACTCCTGGTAGTCGGGATTATCACTTAAAAGTAGAGGTTCACCGGTGTGTAAACATAATGGACCCCCAGACAAAGTGTGTACAGCGCAAGATCGAGCAAAAAGACCTCGCTCAAGTGCTGAGAATTGCAGCGCTGGGAAATTGAAGTGGATAACTGAAGGATTGTGTTGCTGAGGAATTGTCAGGGCACCCACTCCTGGACCCATTCTGCTTCAGGCGTTTTGCAACGTCTCCCATATTGATTCGACCCTCGGGATCAAAATTGAGGCAGCGGACAAGAATCTCCTCGGTAGGCTGAGTTGGTGAAAGATCAAACGGCGGCGTCGTCCCGATAACTTTGAAAACGGCGAGTTCGTTCCTAGTGGTGGAATATGGGGGTTCACTGCGAAGTATCTGGGCACAGCAGCCAGCTTCTAGCTTCAAACACGCCTTCATGAAAATTGGTATTCGTACCTCCATGGCAGTACATCCGAATGCCCAGACGTCGGTTTTTTCGTTTCGAAAAGGCTCCTCAGACTCAAACACTTCTGGCGCTAAGTATCGCCCTGTTGCGAACATGCTCGATGCATGAAGAAATGTTGTCTTGTCCGATGTGATAAACGAAAGTCCAAAATCACACAACTGCGGGGTGCTCTTATCACCCATGACAACATTGTCCTGACGGTGAGTTTGCATCCATAAGAAGTTGCTGATCACCCCAGTGTATAACATAAGAATGACCCACAGGCTTCATATCGCCGTGCACTACTTTTTTCGAATGAAGATACTCTAGGCCACACGCTATTCCGCAAATCTAGGATGTCACCCCCACGCAGATGAGTCGTGGTTCACATGGCGCAAGTTAGATGATTCACGTACCAGGGCTTGGCGATCAGCCTGAGGGCTGCGCTTTAGAAAAGTTGTAACATCTCCTCCATCGCACCAGTTTGACACCAAGCCCGGGCACAAAATTTCCGGGTTCTCGAGGTATGGTATCCAACCGTGAAGCCGGACCACGTGGTCGTGCGCCAACTTGCACCACACTACCATTTCACGGACTAGTCGCTTGGTTTGCCAGTGAATGGGAGTGAAATGTTCATCATGTCCCGGTCAACTTACTCTGAGAAAGGGATCGTCAGAGCGATCGATATTCTGGAAAGCCTTTATGCAAACCACATCCTGGAGATAGGGGGAGCCAGCTTCAATATGAACAATGATTCGGGGCGCTCGCGAAGAGACACGAACCTCCTTGTACAAACCCTTATATATGACCCCAAATGCTCCCCGTTTTTGGGTCCAACGGATATTTTTGATTTTTCCATCAAGGTTCTGAGAGTCAACTTGCCTCTCCAGCCTCTGGATGACAGCTTGTCGTGAGGATTCCGCTCGGCTGAGGGACATGGCTTCCACTCCGCGTGAGGTGAAAGGTCCCGCGTGTGAGGGAACAAGATATCCTTATCTTGTAAGGCCAGAGATTACAACTAAGGCAGGTCATTCTTGTGTCGCTTGATTCGGAGACATCGGCTGGTGCACTGCAATGCCAATAGAGCTCATCAGCTTGAATTGGGGCAGTCATGCAACGACCAAATCAGGTCTTACCAAATGGCCCCAAACGGCCGGATCTGAAATATCGTGAAGGTGCCCTCCGTCATATTTGGTCTTGACCTCCCGAATAAGTTTCAAACGCATGGTGTGGGTCCAACGAATTGTATGCATGTAGCTCACATAAGGGCTGTTCCAAATATCCTACTTTCCTCCAGACCACATTTCGCTCCTGCCATCCCTCCACATTGTGTGCTGGCCAAGATGTCGGACCCCGGGTCGTCTTCTATGATGCCTAGATCGACTGTGGTAGACGACTCTACTGTCGACGCACACAATCTACAGAAGAAGATCGAGTTCATTCCCAGGAGTGAGCTAGACCCGACCGTCCACGGAGTAAGCATAATGGGGTCACTTCGGTCGGATTTCCTTCATCTTGTGTCACGTTTAGGGAGAAGCGCTGGACCAGAACGACGTTCTTATCGAAATCTTGCATGAGATTGATCTCTTTAAGGATGACTTGAAGGAGGCGGAGGAGCGCTTTTTCCAGGTTTGCGGTTAAGTCATTGGCATCGACGAGCCAGCTGAATCTTCTTTTGCAATAGCGCGTCGGGCATCAATTGAAAATGCTTCGCGGTTTAGATCACCCCAACATTGCTCGATTTCAAGGATGGATGGTGGAGCTCGAAGATGAATCTTGGCTTCGCGCGAAAGCTGTTCATGTGGGTTGTAAAGGAGGGAGAGTCATGGCCTATCTAAGCACTAATCCAGAGGCAGATCGTCGGAACTTGGTGGGTTTTGCCGTCGGTGCCTTCAGCATGTGCTAGCCATCCTGAGCTCGCCCTTCTTTAGGTTCTTGGAGTTTGTCGAGGGCTTTCATATCTTCATTCTAACGAGATCGTTCATGGTAATCTTAATCCGGTTCGTACGATCCGACCAGCTTATTGTAAAACGCACGATGAAGAATCCCCCAGAGCAACGTCCATGTCGACTATAATGTCGGTGACAGGCAGCCCGTTCCTCGAATCAGCGGCTTTGAATCCTCTTACGTCGTTACAGCTGATCTCGTCGGCCTCAAAATGGAGGACACGCACCATGCGCCCTTAAGATACACCCCGCCAGAAGTCCTGGAGAAGCCCGGAGTTCAGTGCGACTGGCAAGGTGACATCTGGTCCTTCGGATGCACATCGTTGCAGGTATTCCATGCGTTCTAGTATGTACCAGCTGATCATCGGAATCTCACCCATTTCAGATACTACTTGGCACACGTCCCTACGAGAATATCCGTAACGAATTCCACATTCCATCCGCAGTTGCGAAACATGTTTCCCCTTATTCATTGAACTCCACGGATCCTTTCTGTGAGGCGCTTCAGAGCTGCCTGGCCCGTAAACCTTTTGAGCGTAGCGTCATCGGTAGTGTTGTCCAACGTCTCGAGTAAGTTGTTTCCCATGCAAGACGAACCTTGGAATTCGGCAGGTTGGCCATCACGCCTGCTTCTCAGTTATCTCTATCCCTTCCATCTCACAGATTGAAGACCATGTCGTTGAACGAACTGGAATCCGACCTCATGATGAGGATGTTGCAAACTAACCTTCCGAATCTCGACGGGGTGGTAAACATCCCGACCGTATGGCGTATCCAAGCAGGCGGGTCATTTAGTACGATATACAAAGGGATCTACAAGATGGTTCGTATCCCCTTACAGGTGCTCCGGACCATTAAACTGCCTTCCCCCATATCTTTCCAGAACGAGGTTTGCATAAAGAGTTACTACAGCACACATCTCCGCGAGAACGAGAGGGTAAGCCGACTCGGTCGTGATGGGCATTTCCCCCCTATTCACTCTCAATCCAAGATCATTCGTGAGATGAAGGTATGGTTCCGGCTGAGCCATCCAAACATAGTTCAGCTTCATGGCTGGATATCACCTATCGAGAGCCGCCTCCGTCTGAGCTCTGTGTCAAACTGGTGCAACGAAGGGAATGTTCAAGAGTTTCTAAGTCGCCATCCTGATGCTAAGCGCCAAGCCTTGGTGAATATGACTCTGCGCCGTATTAATTATTGCTCACCTGTATGAGGATGACATTCTAGATTCGCGGAGTAGCTTATGGCGTGGATTACCTTCATTCGCTGAATGTAGTACATGGCGACATTAACCCTGTAAGTTACACATCGGTGCCACTTAATCTGCACTTTTCATTGAGTACGCTTCCATCGTCAGTCGAACATCGTAATGAATGAGGATGTACCACAGTTGTGTGGATTTGCGTTATCGTTCATTCTACATGATCCGTCAACATCCCTTGACCACGATGCGTTCGGGACTCTGAGATACCTAGCACCGGAAACGTTCAAGGATGAGGTTTGTATCAAAAACAAAGGAACCGATGTATGGGCATTCGGATGTACAGCCATGGAGGTATGAATACACATGTTAAAGGCCTGTTCGGGACTGACAGCTACACTCAGATACTTTCGGGTAAGCGGCCACACTCCATGCAGACCGGCGTCGCCCTCTTCCGTGCTATTGAGCTGGAGCCGCCGTTCACCCTTCCAGCAACGCAGCCTATCGAGGCGACTCTTGTCCTCTGCCTCAAACCCAATCCTGAGCATCGAATCGATATGAAGACCGTTATCGTATCACTGAACCATTGATTCGGGTTACACGTTGTAGAGGCTCTTTTTATTGGGTATATTATTTATAGCGGGTACAAGGAGCATGGCGGGCTCGATCTGTCGAATCCAAACCGGGAATGAGGAGTGGGCTTGTAAGCGCAGCGCTGCGATCACCGAAAGCGGCATCCTGGTTGCATAATTACATGTATGATGCTGGACTTCGTACGGGAGGCTTACTGCCCACGAAGAATGCATACAGACAAGTTTCTGGAAACAGTCAAAATAGCTGATATACCAAATGGACAAAGCCCACATGTGTCTATCATTCGAAGGTGATGACCCACTTTCCGGATGCCCCCCAGATAGAACCCGAGGGATTGGCGATCTCATTCAACGAAATAAACTACTGGATTAGCGAGGCACGCACACAATACGTTGTATCTGAATTTTTCATCTTGGGGGTGCCCTGAAAGCATTGCGAACGACTAGAGAGCCGAACCCATCTCAGTTGCCCCCCAAGGAAGTTCCAATCTTTTGTGATTCATCTCCCTGATCGCTAAATATTTAGGGTCGTGATGGAGGCCATATGAAGTGTAGTTCTCCACGAGATGTGAGTACGCTCAAGCCTGGCTTTCATTTGGCCCTAGAGCAGAAATCGAGTCCTGCCCCTGCTGGACGAAGAACTAGCCATGCCGCTGCCATTGACATTGTTCGCAATCACTCCCTGCGGCTGCAAGCTCCCTCTCACCATTAAGCTATATTCTAGACAGTATATAAAAAGACTCCAATAGTGGAGTCTTTCCTGTCGCAATGAACGGACACCATAGTGCATGACCTTAATGGTTGGCAAGAGGTCGAAAATGGGCAACCAGTCCAGGACTCGTCTGAGATGTGCCCCGGGCTTATCTTAGGATGTTGCATGTTCATTTTGTCACTTCTCGAGGAAGCGTCGGATCCAGCGAGTATGGGGTCCCACACAGAATATGAACACGGGGGAACAATTTCGGAACAACGTTCTGGAGCCGCAACGTGACGACACGCAAAGAACTCGAGCGAGTCCGTTGACAAGGTGAAGCGATGATCCCATCAGAAGCGATAACATATCGTGTGGCGGTTGGGAATGGCTAGCTGAGAATAAGTGCGGGGGGTCGAAGGAGGAGAGGCGAGAGGCTGAATGAATAGGTTATCCAAAACATGGGAGTGGCATGCATGTAGTCGTACCAAAGATCCTGCGGAACTCGTGCTATCAACGATCCACTGTCTGACACTCCAGTGACAGCTGGAGATTACCGTCTGAGAGGAGCCACAGCTTGCATATCACGCCCAAGGATAGTGACCCTCGCTACCCACAGTAGCGACTCGGGGGTTGCCATAGATAAACTCGAGCTAAGCTAGAAGACAAGGTGGATCGTATTCAAATCGAGCGACCGTGTGCTGCAGGTCAATGCAACCTCGATGATACCACCGAATGCAATGTGGCGACCATCGAGAGAGAGGGCTACGCAGGTCACAACATGCAATCAGCTTCACAAACTCAGCTCCGTAATTTGCTCCTTCATTATCCCATCGGTTAATCTCTGGAAATGAACTCAGCTTCACCTGGAACACTGAGAGCTTCGTCGCCTAACGGGACCGGGTGGCCCAGAAAGCTGAAGGTGTGAATAGGATCAAAAAATCGGACAGATTGTTCGTGAGGGTGATGAGGGCGGAACGAAAGAGGGGGCAATCGAGAGAGATAGATAATCGGAGTCTGAAACGACTTTAGGACTTACCTTTCCAATTGATTTGGGATTCTGTGCAAAGCAATGTCATTATTCTTGCACGCAAACATCACAGGTAGCATGGGAGTCAAAGCACCACGATGGTCTCCCCTTACAACATGAGTTACGGACACAACAATTTTGTGGATGTGGTTGGTACATCTCTCCAATGCATGCTAGTCCCTTGCAAAGTTCGATAGTAGGGAACGTGTCTCCCATGCCGCTTAGGTTCATTCTTGCGACATTCCACGGTATATAATATTTTAGCGGAGTACAGCATATCTAGATGAAAGGAAAAAAGACGCATTGCAACATGCATGAGACAGCTGAGATATGATCTGGGAAGTTCACATACAACAAGGAAACTTACGAGACAGGGAAACAGCTATTTCATGGTGGTCATTATTACAGCATTTGTTGCTCGCCCTCTCAGATCCGTTCCTGTAAAGCACTTACTCTTGCGCCTTGTGAAGGCTGAATCCTGTTGTGTCATACCAGAGGACTAAAATTTTATTTGAGCGAACCAGGCTTCGCACCCCCAATGACTAGCAACGTGGGGCCACCCGTCGCAGGAGTACTTCAGTCGTCCCGTGAGAGCGGTAAGTCGGGGCCCGAATATTGTCCTTGAGCGAAGTTCGCATCACAAATCCGCAAATAGAGTGTGCACTGCCCCACGCAGTGCAATCGCAGTCCTTGGAAGCGCCAAAAACACTTTCTGGTTGACTCATAAACCAATCTCAAGAGGCGAACTTCTCCCTTCAAGCGACTACATTCATCGCCAGCCATGTTGATTCCTGAGGAAAAGGAGCTCACCGAGGAGCAAGACGCACATCGTAATGTACCCGTTCTTGCCACTTCTTGATCCTTGAAACGTCACTCAGTTAGTCTGCGTTGTGCACACAGCTTTCTCCTCCTTCATACTTCCAAGCGTCTTCGCCATCTCCTTCAACAGCTGGCTCGTCGACGCCTACTGTAACGTCCACGACTTCGACGCTCACTGGAGAGTCGTGGCATCCATCAGAGATTATATCGCATCTCCTCAGTACATTCATCACACCCCCCGCCAACTACGTCTATGTATCGGAGAAGAATAACTCCATAAAGGGTAGTTGGACGATCGATACTGCCTTATCCCCACCTCCAGCATTCTTAGCGCCCATCGAGAAGGCTGAGGATGGCGAACGGAAGAACCTATATGTGCAATCTACAAACGGGAGTCTCAATGTCAAAGTTCGACTGATCAGCTCGCAAGATGTCGTTCGCCGTCGAGCTGCATTGTATTGCGCATCTGCAAATGGGAACGTGCAGGTTTACGTCGTGAGCTACCATACCGATACCACATTGTATCGTGATCCCGACCACTCTTTATAGCTTCCACGCTCGAGTCAGGCTTTCCACCTGGTAGCTCGCTCGGCTAACGGTTCCATAAGAGTGTACCTACCCAGAGATTTCAATGGCCCAATCGAGCACCATACTAAGAACGGGACGACGGTCTTCTCGCCTGGGATCCGTCCCAATGTTCAGACATTCTCTTCCACGAGAGGGGAAGGGAAGAGCTTTGTTGGTGACTGGTACACAACGCGGTCTGGCCGTAGTGCGAGTGCGTAATTCTTTCCAATGGACATCTTCACTCTTGATCTAAACTAATTTCATGATGAGGCAAAATAGACGATGGCTCTGAAATTGAGTCAGCGTCCGACTGGACTGGTGATCACCTCGTCATATCGTCTAACAATGGGAGTTTGTACATTCAGTATGTTGACGAGGAGAAACTTGAACCAGCCTTCGTTAAGACGATAAAGGGATGGTTTCACAGCAATGCCGAAACGAAGCAGCTGCTCGGAGAAGCAAACCGGATAATGAAGGACGGTATTGGTGGGCGGCGGCATTACTGAGCAGTAATCTTAGCTCTGGTCGGGTTGCTGACCAAATCGGTTGCGAGACGGAAGAGGACCTGGTTTTCATTTGTGTATCCTTGGAATGCGTTGTTTGTAGCCTTTACATGTTCTTTTCTGTATCATTTCACCACTGTGCCTAATGTGCCATTAATACTGCCTTTGCACCAACCAATGCCCAAAGCCCAGGTGAATACGAGGTGACCTCCTTGATTGAATTATTACCTCAATTAGGACAAATGCAGTGTCAAAGGCGTGCCTTGTGTTGACCCCCCGCACCAGCAAGAACGTAGGTGTGTTTGATCTGTGAAGAATGGGCTACCTCGGGAAGAAACAGCCACAGGGCGCGGAGGGTGGGCAGGCTACGGTTGGATATAGTGGGAACGTATACCATGACATAGCCCCAGCACCCGTCGTTGACAACAGTCCCTTCACCAATCCATACGAAGGTAGGTCAACTATAAAAAAAAAAAAACCAAAAGCATGAACTGATCAACGTGGGTAGTATCTCTGCCTAAAGGCACAGACGACACCTTCATTGCTCCATCAATTCGATCGCCTCCAACAGCGACGTTCGCATCTCTTGCTCTAGTGAACCCTTCCAACCGCATAGCCATTGCTCAAAAAGATCGTATTTCTGGTACTTGGACCATCGATACTGAGCTATATGTCCTAATTCCAACTCCTCCCGTCTTTGGGATCCGTAACCCATTCGCAAACTTGTCACTGAGGTCGTCCTCGGGACTCAAAGCCGATATCCAAGTTGTGGCAAATGATGGAGCTCTAAGACCGACGGCAGTGATAGATTGCATAGCGACGTCTAAAAAAGCTATTGTTCGTATTGTGAGTCGGTCGCTTCCCCGGATGTTGGCAGTTCGACGAAAACTCATGCAACAATAATTTATTCCCTTTATATATTGAATCCTAGGTTTCTCGAGACCATCAGCGAATCAAGCTTTCCGTGACGAGCGACAAATCAGATGTCTATTTAGCTCTTCCCGATGATTATTCTGGATACATCACGTACACGATGACAGGGGCTAAAAAGCCAAAGGACACGTTCTCCCATGCCATCATGGATCACTTCTCGATGCTCGAGACTGGATCCTTCACTTACGGTCCAGTTCGTGGAACTATCGGCGAGGCAGGGGATTTCGAAGATGCAGAAAAGGTGGATGAAGTGAACGTGGAGGCGAAGAATGGGAAATTATACCTTTCTTATTATTCGCAAGATTTTGGGACGAATCCGTTCACTTGGGGATATAGTCAAGGCAAAGAAGGGGCTTCCCGGAACGATTAACGTTGGGAGCACGTACGTTCATTATGCGAACTTTCATGCGTTCACTTCACATTGCTTCATTTCTGCCTCATTTTATACACTCGGTTCTGGTGTTGTCTGTTCCTCGTTCGAGCCTAGCTCTTCTCCATCTGCTTTGTATTTCCTCTAGAATATCTGTCGTGTGTTTGCCCTGAGATCAGATTGGGTGTTACTGTAATGCGCAAACAATGAATCGACACCGCATTTGGACTTCTGAAGACTTTTTTTTTCTGGAGTCCAAAATCCCACTCTTTTCAGCCTCTAACAAGTCGGAGGTGATGGTCTGTGAAATGGCACGAGATAAGTCGACGAAAACCTGCTTCGACGGTGGTGAGAAGAAATCGTATTACATAATCTTATCATATCAGCCGCCCCGTACATATCTCTTCCTCTCACGACCAAACTTCCTACAGGACAGAACCGAATGCGACAAGGCACCATGGTGTTCGATCGTGCCGCGACTTGCAGCGTGGCCTAAGGCGTGGAGGGGATTGATTTGCATTACCTCCGACAGCGCCACCACCACCGAACAAAACTGCAAATTACTAACGAGTGCAAAAAAAAAAAATGGGGGGGGGGGGGGGGGGCTTTTGCAGCTTGATCCTGACTCACCCACCCTCTTGCCACTGATATCATCAGCCTATCGGAACATAGCTCTTCTGCCAACCGAAAACTCCTCTCCACCTATAAGTCTCTAACTTCCGCGCGAACGTTTGCTGTCTCCTCTACTGCCACTTGCTTACGCCAAACGTTGTTCTACTCCCGAATTCTACAATGGGAATGCGATCCAACTGTATGACGATGGGTTCCCGGTCAGTTTTGATGCAAAAAGGGGGGTACGCACTCCTTGAAGATGGTTGTTTCCATTGGGATTCGCAGCCATCGGTGTTGGTGCTTGCGCCTGAGGCCCCAACCCGTTCCGAATCGGTTCCGCTTCCTCCGCCCTTGTCATCCGAGCATATACCAACGAATCAGATTAGTGCCCACTGACCCCCTGGTTAATGTTATGCGCAAGGAAGAAATCCTCCTTGTGTGGGAAGACTATTACGACGAATAATATCGGTGTCGTCAATAATACCACACGCTCGTCGTTTCCTTCCGCTATTGACCATTTCCAACCAATCGCCCCTTCCGCGTGCCCTCCTCCCACGCGCGGACCTTTTTTTTCCCCAACCTCCGCCGCGCGCACTTATATATATACCATGCGCATATACTTACATTATTCACACCCCGTACAACGCAGTTTTGTGCTTAGAGTTTGATGACGTTGACTTTGTACGGGTACGTATATATACGTCTACTCAAGGTCTCCTAGTACTTGGTTGATTGGCATTATTATTGACTTGGGCCTTGCTTTGCTCCGACGAAACATATTATTTGCAACTTACTGGTTTGCACAGTCTTCAACTCGTGTGCACAGTGAGCCTTAAACGAATCCCCTTATTGTATAATTATAACCATCATCACAGCTTGCCAACTACTACTTCTCCCTCCCTCCCGCTGGTATATATGCGGTTAGTTGCGTTTGCACTTATCGTTTTTTTCTTTTTTTCCTAGTGCGTTTATGAAATCTGTCCGGGCCCCCGAGTTGCTAACGCGGCGTTCATTTCTGGGAGTTTGATTGTTGTGGGTGGAGGGCTGTTAAGCTTACGGTGTTTAAAGAAAAAGAAAAACCGGATCCTGGCTGACATATTTGTGCATAGTTTCCGGGTCGTTCGATCGAGCGGGGCCAAGGGTTCAGCTAGCATTGTTGTCTAATTTCGCCTCCCCAGGTGGAAGGAAAGCTAAGCTAAGCCTCTCTCTACCAGGTCATGGCAAACATTAGCTGGACCCGATCGACACCCGCTCCTGGATGGCCCGTCATTCCGGCTTAGCCTCTTAGGCCTCTAGCTCTTGAGTCCTTAGGTGGAGGCGCATGGTTAGTTATAATGGAACTATGTTTGCCACTCGTTTGGACCTACGAAGCTCTTCTATGCAGGGGAGACCCAAATCACATGTGCCAGGGCCACAATACGTCCACAATGGCGTCGGCGGTACCGGGGTGCCTAAGGGCAACACCACCTGATCAGATCAGACAGAATCGCCCACCGCTTACATAACTATCTTGCCAGTATTCCATAGAGGGCGTGTAGTAGGCTCATGCACTCCAGGGATCCCCTACATAATACGTATACATCGAATCAGATGAGGCCTTTCCTTCATATTTATCACCGCATTCAGCGAGTTGGTGCCATGGCGGAAGCAAGTCAATGTCCTAATTCTGATCCACCCCCCCTGGTATGTATAGTTTTTGATAACAGTGCCAAGAGCGAAGGTCGTCCGTATAGGGGTCGAATGGCCCCAATCCTGGTCTGGATCCTGCAGTTTACTTCTTCTTTGTGACGGATCTTCACGCTTCACTTTTTGTTCGTGCAAACTAATTCTAAATCGTGCAAACTGAGTGACTGTACAAGGTACATGCTTGCATGCATGGCCCCTCATGGCCCCCCCACAGCCATCAGGGCCCCGGCGTGCGGCCATGAAAAGCCCTTATCCGACTTGTTCAGTGACGGGTCCCCCCCTCCACATGCCCACCTCATGGATGGATGGATCGGCAACGATGCATGCCATGAAATGGATGGCCCGGCTCGGTTGCACTGTACGTAACTCGACAACGACACACTAGTATATTATACATACTTGGAATGTATCTCCATCCTTCCAACCCCTGTCGTAATATTCCGGCTCCATCGGCTCAGGCACAGCATATGGATGTTACGCGTCTACTTGCCCGCTCACGCGAGTAAGCACTGCATATGGACGTCGCGTATCAGGGGGGGGGGGGTTCCAGTTTTGAACCCGAGAGTCTAATAAAGGAATCCTCTTTGCCCACGCGGGAATTAATTGAACCTATATATGATTGGATATGTTACTACCTACCTACTACATCTATGCATCATATCAGGCATTGTCCACGACATTAACGGACTTTTTTTTATTCAACTTTGACATCGCGGCAGAAGAGCGAAGAGCGAAGGAAATGTTCAAAAAGAAAAAAAGAGGCTGAACAATGGATACCTTTTTTTTTTTGTTTTTGTTTCCGATTGGCTGATGATAAGGGCAAGTTGTATATAGGTTTGGTTCTAGCCGTTTGGGGGTGGGGGGAGCAACGGAGCAAGCGACCAAATAAAGGATGATATCCATGAGAAGTCGGATCAAAGGGGGCAACACTGAACCCTAGTTGTGTTACATATATCTGCTTGCCAAGAGCTTTCAGGCATGTTGCCGTATTTCCCCTTTCGGACTGTTGCGCACATGGCGGCTTTGGTTATGTAAAAAAGGTTGTGGCCATGCATGACTGAACGAGGGGGGGGGGCCCTTCCTCTTCCTCTTCGGTTCATTACTTTCCTATTCCGAATCGGCTGTGTGTGTGCGTGTGTATACATATTGCCTTGTGCCTTTTGTTGACAGGTAGTACTGTGCGCGTAAGGTTTGGTGCGGAACCGCATGGGTCGCATTATCGTGAATCTGTGATATGCCCCCGGATTCTGTCTGCCTCGCGCGGCCACCCCAGTTTTTCACACATGTGATTCATCAAAGATAAACTGGCCCTCCCCCCCGGGGCCCCCCTCCCCTCGAGCGAGATAAGCCCATGTGGCCACAGGACCTGTTTCATTAAGCAACATGTATTAGAGGCGGAGCTTCTTGAGCCGAGAGGGCTTTATCTCTTCCCGACAAACGACCGGTCATGACATCAGTGGAGAGACCTCGTTCCTAGTTTTTTTTTTTTTTTTAATCCTCGGCTTTACGCTTCGCGCTTTGCGCTTAATTAATAGCGGTTGCTTCAAGTTCATGCATGCATGCATGTCACGTACACGAGGCAAAAAAAAAAAAATGAGCTGCCGGTACCCGGGTCCGATCCGGTTGGCGCGCGCCTCTGCTTTTTACTACGCTTATAGTTCCTCCGGCCTAATTCGATGATCGCGATCTGTGACAGAAAAGGCGCGCAAAGAGATTGTTGCGCGTGCTTTACTTAGCCCCCCTGATCATGAGAAGATACGTATATATTCTCCCTTTTTGTTTTTTTTTTTCTCTTATGTACTCACGTATGTAGGTACGTTCGGATCCCGCTCTGACGAAAACAATTCACGTGGACGCACGCGCGCAACCGCAAATGCCAGCCATATTACGGTAGCTAGAGTATATATAGCTAGTGTGGGGGTTCTACTCATGCATACATGGTGCTATAAGGATTACGATCGATCCGGAAGGTCCCCCGCGTTATGTACACTGCTACGTAAACGATGTAGGCGGTGCGAGTGTTTATACAGAACGCTGATCGATCAAGGGATAGAAAGAAGCTGTGCCAAGTGATCGTGACAGGCGGCTGTCAATTTACAGAGTCCAGCCCCAAAGACGTAAGTAACGTCATTAATGTACAAAGCGTTCCAAGTCTCGTGGTCTAGTTCTTCTCATGCATGTAACCGCCAGCGCCTATTGGAAGTGTCGCCCAGCTCTCCCGGTTTCTTCTGATCTTATTGATCTTGATCGAACAGAGTGATTGATTGATCGGAGTACAGCTTGATCTATCTATCTTCTATGTATATCTAATATCTATCAGTACCCGCTGCGCGCGTAGGGAAGCATCGATCCTGGCCGGAAGATCACTAGTCTACATACCTCCATGCATGATAATGAGATAAGGGAAAAAGGAAAGACACAGCGCTTCGCCTGGATCATGCATCTGGCATATATACTATATATACATATTGAACGGTATCATGAAATCGATGCAATATATATATATCGATATCATGAACGTTTAGACATGCAAGCAGTTTATGCTTGCGTCTATGCGTATTTGGGAATCTAACGTGCTGGGAAGAGACGGCACGTACCACGGCGGCATGAGAGAGATATCGGCAGATCTATCAGAAGCTTTGCGTTGAGGCCACATCAACCCCAATCGCGAGCTCTCATATCATTTGAGAGACGGGAAAAAGATAAAAACAAACAAACAAACAAACAAACAAACGAAAAAGAATTCTGTCAAGGGAGACCACCCGGCGGCGTGCGTATGTATGTTCAGAAGATGATATATATGCCCCATAATCATAATTTTCTTCAGTTTTTTTTTTTTTTGGTTTGGCGAGCGACGTACGCAAACACGCTGGAAGATCGGTTTTCATGAATATGTATTGGCCCAGCCGGAGGGATCCGGGGGAGGAAGAGGATAACGTCAAAAGAAAATTCCATTTCATTGCATGTCGTCATGCAAGTGCTGAGAAACCGCGTTGTAAGGGCAAAACACAAACAAAAACAAAAACAAAAAAACAGTAGCAGTAGTAACCTGAAAAGATTCGTTCCTGTCGCGCGTAGTGATGATGGGGGGAGAAGGAGACAAATTCGTCACCAACGCTACCTGGGCGAGCACAAAAGTATTTCCAACCTTGTCGTAATTGCATGTGGGAACTTTGTCAAAAAGGAAGAAAATAAAATAAAAAAGGATTGCACTTAAGATACGCGCGCGGGTCGAACGATCAAAGGGAAGAAGCGAAAGAGGCGATTATGCAACGTCGTTGATAGAAAAAAAGACCGGTTGGGTCGTGTTTTGCACAATTAACGGGTTTGAGCCGGATCGAGTGCGCAACCCCCTTCCCCCCACTGCTTTGAAAAATTTGCCACAACATACTGTTTACATGCAATGACACTAGATCGGTCGTCAGATGTCAAGGGGGGGAGGGAGATTCCTTGTTCAGCCAATCAAGATCGTGGAAAAAAAAAAAAAAGCTTCGCTTCGAATTCGAAAGGCGGCGGTCATGGATGGATGGTTGGTTGGATGGTTGGTTGTGATTGGGAGGTGAAAAATAACAAGCCTTGGAAAAAGTGCATATTGTACTGTACGTAATAATTTAAAAAGAAAAATCAAATACCGTAGTTTGTCCTTGGGGGTAATGTTGAAATTTGAAGCCGGGACAGTAAGCACCTGCTTGTGCATGTCGAGTGCAACGTGTACGGGGTCAGCTAGCTGCACATTGATACTATTGCCAAGCCAGGGTTGCCTCGGCTTTGACTAGTACTATTACATAGTACGCTTCGACCTTACGCCGGCAAGAAGCTTGTTATCGAAGCCCGAAAAGAGTAGAGAACGAAATTGGTTTGAATCAGCCAAAAAAGCAAGTTTATTTTGCGCGCGCGCGCGTGCGTCAAGTTTTGAACTAAAGAAAAGAAGGAGATGGAATGTGCAACGTTGATAGACCGGTTGGGTACGAGACAGGAGAGAGAGACCCCCCCGCTCGCAAATTTGCCCACAAAATGCATGGATGGATGGCAGACTAGAATCATCAAGCAGAGAGAGAGATTCGTTGTCTAGCTGATCAAGATTGTGGCAACTTTGCTTCGCCGCGGTGATGGGTGAGAGGTGAAAAACAAAAAGTACGTAAAAAAAAAAAAGCAAATTAGGGACGGAGATGGGGTTGGTTGAGGTTATGTAGTCCTAGAGTTTTTGAAACTAGGTTAAAAAATCAAATACCGCGGTTTGTTCCTTGGTAACTTTAAAAGTAAGTAATTCTGATGTTCCTAGGTTCTAGGAGAGGTAGCGAGGAAGGTGCGGGGGGTAAAGTGAAAACGAAATTTTGAAGCTGGGACTGACCGAAAGAGCTGGCAAAAGTGGTCGAAAGCAGAATTTAAACAGGAGTTACATGATGTGCAGGCATGGGGGGGGAGTACTTTGATGAAACCACTTCCGCCCACAGGTGCTCGCACCTAGATCTCAAGAAGAGAACTACTGTGCCAGTGTGGCCACAGTGTGCGCTGTCGAGTGCAACGTGTACGTACGGGTCAGCTGCACATTTATACTATTGCCAGGAGGTACGTTGCCTCGGCTTCGACTAGTACTAGTACTAGTTACGCTTCGACCTTGCGCCGGCCGTCGCAAAAGAAGCTTGTTATCGAAGCCCGAGGATCTCGGCCTGTACTGGAAAGCCCGAGAAAGAAGTCAAAGTAGAGAATGAAATTGGGTTGAATCAGCCAAAAAAAAAAAGCAGGTTTATTTGCGACGGCGCGTCAAGTTTTGCCATGAACTGAAGCTTTTCGTGTACTAGTAGGTGGTCAATCAGCATTGCGGCACCACCTCAATCACTTGGCAAGTTCCAAGTTCCCCGTGGACCCAGCCATTTCCCTCGTGGCCCATGGCCAAGTTGACCACCCCCCCCCCTACTTTTCGCCTGCATGGTGTTTGGTCGTCAGTCGTGCGTTAACTAGTGAATGCCATAGACAGGCGAGAGAACCAAGCGTAAAAAAATTTAAAACACCACTTTGGTTGAAAACCAAACAGGTTTGGTCGTGCGACCTCCAAAAAAGTGTTTCCTTTCCGGGATTGAATTTAGTCCGAGAAAATCACACGCTATTCTGCATGTAATGATTGACGCGGAAGCTTTCCTTTTTTCAACAGCCACTTTTGAATTGAGCCTATATATATTGAATTACATATATACATATATGTGCACAGCATGTTACATTCACCAGTAGTGATTCCGGGTTCCTCCTTTGCTACGCTCCCCTCCGACAATATTAGACTTTGATAGACTCAGAGATAGAAGCTGATGGTCACCTTCAGGTTATTCCGTCAACGATTGAGATTGAGAAGGGGGTTGGGACATCAAATGGAGGGAGTAGTACCAATTACATGGTGACAACTGTGTTGAAGGTGGCGCGGCGGCCATGGTCCTATTCCACTGAATATCCTCCCTCGATTTGGGAATTGGGATTGTATTGAGTAGTGTGTGTGTGTGTGTGTATTAATTTTTTTTTTCACATCTATATGAATGTGACGTTTACCTATTTAATGATTTTCCTGAATGAATCTTACATAATATATAACAACATATATACATACCAAAAGAGAAAGAATCGTCCGTGATAAGGGGATAGATATTGCACATGGTTGGGCTTGCAATTCGGGATGAGCTGCGAAACATATTTTCCCGTTCGTTAGCAAGCGATGATAAAGGAGTTCAAGGTTTTTAGGAGAATAGATGATGGGGAGAGATATTTGGGTTGAAGTCTGTGTGTATATGGGCAGTTTTGCTCTCTCATATATGCGGGGAGGTGCATGCAAAGGGAAGGAAGAAGAGCCGCCCCTGCAAGGTTACAAAAGGAAGTGCAAGCCAAGACCATCTCAGGTTGCAGAAGGTGTTAGCTGGCTGTGTGGGTTGAACCATTGCTTCTTTTTTCCATCGTGGCAGCCTTGCAGGATTTTCATTCTTGCTGTGTATCATCGCTAAACGAGGTGGTCTTTCCTCTTCTCCCCTATCACATAAAACCTTTTTTCCTACTTAACAAGAGTATCCCTATCAGTACGCTAATCATTTTATATTCGTTCCTGAGAGATAAGAAAATAGTTTGAGGAAAACCTTGAGCTGAATTTCTTTTCATTATTTAATTCATTTTCCCGTCCAGAATGCTATAATACTGCAGCCGGTAACAAGTGCCGGCTCCCTAGATTCCATTTCCCCTTCCCCTTTCTCAACACACCCAACACCCAACACTCAACACCCTTTCTTTTTCGTCGTTTTTCATCCCAATCTTCACCCCCCCCTCCTCTTCATCACCGTGTTGGTCCTTGTGGACGAAAGGTTGAACAACTTGCGGGAGAGTACGAGATGATTCCTCTCAACGTCACTTTCGACGCAGAGTGTGAGTAGCTTTTATCTCACACAAGATCGTCCCACCACAACAACGCGTCGCGTCGGTGTAATCGCGCGTTGCGACCCCCCTGCAATGAATGTGGTTGGGAGTTGTGATGTGGTGTCGACGAAGTGTTTTCGTTCATGTGACTGACGGAGATATTGCTCTAAACCAGCCTCGACCAACCACATACTTGACCCTGCAACGGGAAAAGTCAACGTTTTCAACAATGGTGATATTGCATGGGTTCTGTCCTCCACTGCTCTCGTCTGGTTGATGGTACCTGGTGTTGGGTAAGGTCTTTTCCAGCTTCTCGCGTGGGAAAAGACTCCCCCACACTCAACTCACTCAAAAACTCCTCCTCCAAAGATTCTTCTACTCGGGTCTCCTTCGTCGGAAGAATGCGCTCACGATGATTTGGCTTTCGGTTGTTTCGATTGCGGTCGTTTCCTTCCAATGGTTCTTCTGGGGTTACTCCCTCACTTTCTCGGAGGTTGTCAAGGGCGGCGGGTTCATTGGAAATTTGGGTGGGTCTTTTTTTTGTTTTGTTTTTCTCCCTTCTTTACTTGCCTTCGATCCGGTTCTGGCTGTACAACATTCCCCATCACGGCCTATAAATCATGCGCAACTTTTTGTGTTTGGCGTGAAAAAAAAAAACATCATTACTGATCGTTTGTCTCTCCCTCTCTTATCCTCCTCGCTTCAACTTGCCTCCTCCGCTTTGCCCCGAACTCCCGCAATCCACTCGGCAATTACTTCATCGACCCAACCCGGTTTTCATTGAACTCCTATCCTTATCGTAAATCCCGGTCCAATATTTCACAACGGTGGCTCCCCTCGCGGCACAACGAATTTCAAATTCGCTGGTCATTGATTGATTCGCCTCCGAACAACAACAACAACAACGTACATATGCAACACCAACTTGGCGATGGCGGTGTTTTTCATCATTGCCAACGATAACGTATCTTCCTTATCGGGATCATTTCAATCTCGTTGCCTCCTCAACCTAATCTCGCTGAAAAACAAAAACAAATCCTCGGATAATTACTATACGCGCGCCGTTCGAACAACGTACCTCGGATGTGACTTGACTGTGGACTCGACTTTCACTTTCCACACTTTCTTTTTTCTTCGCCGACTCGTGGTGCTGATCCTCTTGGCATGCCTTAACTCTTGTTTTCTCTCCCTCGGGCCTCGTGGCATTGCTCGGCGGTGACAAATGATTAAAAAAAACGGGTTGTACACGTTGGTTTTTTTTTTTTTTTTGAAATTGGCTTGTGTGTGTGTGGTTGTTTTTCATGGGCAATCTTGCCTAATTGCTATTCGGTGCCGCCCTTAATCTTGAATTCTTCGATCGGTAATACTCTTCCGCGCGCGCGCGACGCTGGGGACTCCTTCGCTCGCTGTTTACTCGTTCCCCCCTGGTCGGCTGATCCCGGTCCACAACCCGTTAATTTCACACGGATCTTGTTGCTCGCCTGTTGATCTTTCCCATGCTCGAATCCCTGGCGTATTTGCACTTGCCCTCCACCCAACACACGCTGACGCCTTCGTTATGAATCCGCATTCGGGTTCGTGGGTAATGATCATTAGATCACTTTGGAATGCAGAATGTTTGGGGACAACCTAGCACTGGAGGTACCAGAGTTCCGGCGATCGTGTATTGCGTTTATCAGCTCATGTTCGCGGCTATCACGTACGTTGGAAGTCAATTCATTCCCCCCTTTCGCGTCGTCCTGATTGTAATGCGGTTGACTACATGACGTCAAAAATGTTGTTTTACACAGCCCAATGCTCGCGGTGGGAGCCATTGCAGAGCGAGGTCGTTTAGGACCTATCATCTTTTTCATCTTTTGGTGGACGACGTTGGTGTATGATCCTATTGCGTGTTGGACTTGGAATGCTGGTGGGTGGGTGTTTAAGAGAGGTGGATTGGACTTTGCTGGTGGAACCCCTGTGCATATCAGCAGTGGGACGGCTGCGCTGGCTATTTCGATTTACCTTGGTGAGTTTGTTAGCTTCCGATCGCGGGTTGAGTGCTCATGTTACTTTTGATTTGTGTTGGATCCCTTTTTTTGGTCCGTTTGATTGGATCTTCACTGCTTTTTTTTTTTACCCTCTTCTCTGGCCTTTGCATCGCTTCTGGGGTTGGTGTGATATCATCGTTACCCCGCATTCATTACGGTGTTCCTGGATCAATGATCGCCGAATTCCGCCGGTTGTTGGCTGCGCAAACGCTCCAATTTTTTTGAATTGCTGCCCCTTGTTCTTGTGCATGCACATGTGTGGAACCCAACCCCCCTTCCTTGTACTGCCTCTCTTGCTTTTTTTCTCCTCCATTTGGCATCGGTACCCGGTCAACTTGCATCGCCTCTTCTCTGTTCCTACATTCCCTGTTCGACTTGACGTACAACAGGCAAACGCGACGGATACGGAACACCTCGGTTGGCTTACAAAGCTCATAACACGACGTATGTCGTCATTGGTACCTGCTTCCTATGGTTTGGATGGTTCGGCTTCAATGGAGGCAGTGCTCTCGCTGGTACGATGCGTGCCGCTATGGCTTGCTTCGTAACGAATGTGAGCCCATCCCTATCTTATGACATCAGCACGTAGGTTACTGACGGTAGGGAATCGGGTGTTTTTCTTTTCCTGTGGTGTAGTTGGCTGCCTCTGTCGGTGGATTAACCTGGATGTTTTGGGATTGGCGCCTTGAGAAGAAGTGGTCTGCTGTTGGATTCTGCTCTGGTGCTATTGCGGGTCTCGTGGCCATCACCCCTGGGTCCGGTTTCGTTGGCCCCCCAGCTGCGGTTCTCTACGGATTCATGGCTGGTACAATCTGCAATTTTGCTACCCAGCTCAAGTTTCTCGTTGAAGTCGATGACACGTTGGATATCTTCGCGGGTCATACGGTCGGAGGTTTCGTTGGAAACATCTTGACTGGGTTGTTCGCTCAGGCGAGCGTCGCTGCTAGCGATGGAACTGTCATTCCAGGCGGATGGATCGATCATCATTACGTCCAACTTTGGCATCAATTGGCGGATTCCCTATCCGGTTTCGGATGGTCGTTTGTCGTCACCACGTTGCTTTTATGGATCATGCACTACATTCCTGGATTGCGGCTTCGCGCTTCCAAGGAGGCTGAACGAATCGGTATCGATGATGCCGAGATGGGAGAATTTGCGTATGATTACGTTGCGTTGGATGCGGAGCTAGGGTTGGAACAACATCCTCATGGTGTTCATGAGATTCCGAACGAGCTTGATGGGCACAGGCCGTCAGAGAGGAGAGGTGGACATGCGGGTCCTGAGGATGTTCACCATCACCACCAGATAGTTGAGAAGCCCAGTAGCTCTGACCACTCTACCCCACCTTAAAGTCGAGATGAGGGGGGAAGGAAGGAAGATGTGCTTCAATAGATCTGAGGTTGGGGCTCGAGGTCGAGTCTAGTTTTGGACTTGGCTATGATGCGCGTTTCGTAGCGCTCGCTTTTTTTTGCTGCGTTGCTGAGATCCTCCTTTTATCTCCGTTTTCCCATTTTTCCCCACTTGCCGCCACTGACAGCTTTCTTACTTGCTCAGCTGTTTCAGGTGCTCTTCGTTCCTTGATCTCTTCCCCGTTTAGACTTGTCGCATATACGTGTGCCCTTTACCTCCCCTCCCAATGTTTTTTACTACATATTAAATCAATGCCATCCCCGATTTTCGGTTTTCTTTTTCTTTTTTCGTGTGCCTTCCTTCGTCCTCTTTTTCTTTTCTTTCTTTCTTTCTTCTGTTCTTCTTTTCTTTCTTTTCCTCTCCCTTGTGGTTCATTCGAATGCACATTCATGATTCGTTCCCCCCCCTGCGGTTGGATTTTGGGGTTTTGAACTTTTTATTTTTGTGCGCAAAAAACAAAATTCTAGCCAACTTGGACGGAAGTCGTACCAACGCGCGAATCTTCAGGACTTGATTTATCTTTTTTTATCTTTTTTGTTACTGCTGCCATGCATGGGTGGGGGTTGCGCTTGTGTAAGTTGCCCCACCTAGCTAGTATACCTCGTTCCTTGTTGGTTGTTAATTGCGCTCGCTCGCTGAAGTTACCGTTGCATGTTGTGCTTGACCATCCCTCTCCGGCTGCCACCTCCATTCCTTTTCTTCGTCCCTAGGCTAGCTTGCATGGGTTTGGGCGGTGTTGCGTTAATATTGTTTTGTTTAGATTGAAGACTCCCACACACTCGTTTAGATATATCCATTTGTTATCTTGGTTTCTTTTCTTTTTCTTTTTTTTCCTTTTCTTGGCTAGGCGCAACTTCTTCACTCTGTTATTACACCTAAGAAGACGCAGGGAGGAAAATAAGTTGAGCGTTTTTTGCAATGAGACGCCATTTCCGCAGGAGCCCGTGTCATGAATGGCCAGGAAGTGTATTTGTATATATATTATATTTTTTGTAAGACAACTAGTAGAAACGCGGTGAATGTGCGAGTTCTAGCTGTACAGGTCATTGAATTAACCCTTCCTGTCTTGGTGGTTAGCTTCAGTGATAGGCCAGTGATCATGTCTGCTGATGTTGCATAGACTGGGGGGGGGGTATTTGCAGTGGTCTCGGAAGTTCAGCAGGAAGACCTAGACTTTTTACTTGCGGGGGCGATGTCATGATAGGAGGTATTTCACTGATTCATGGGGCTAGGCTAGTACCTTCGCCTCGTGCCGCACGCATACAATCGATGCACAGCCGGGGTTTATAAATACTGCACGCCGCATGATCATGCGGCGCTGAATAGTAAGTCGATTAGCCGATTTAGCCATGGGAAAGCTGCTACTTTGCAACTGTCAAAATGCAACTTGCGCATCGTGAGAACAAGATTCTGGATTCAAAGCCACCAAGAGAATTCTGATTCAACGATCATATGTATTCTGCGGATTCTTCGAGTAATATATAGCGCATGCGTCAACTGGGGAAGGGTTCAGATATCCCAACACTCTCTGCTTGAATCCCGTAAGAGTTCTTTGCACTGAGAGCTCAAGAGGTTAAGAGGCAGAGATGTGGGAGCAGGCCATGATTGAAGAGTGATTGATCCAAGACAGGAGTATTAATTAGGTTAAGATCTGTGTGCAGTTCCATGATCGATCATTAGAAATCTGGTCGCTACGGAACAGACGGAACAGCTTCCCCCATTTCGACGAGAAAACTTGAGCCGTGCATCATTACGAGAGGCAAAATGAGACATCCCGGAAGAAGGGACCCAAACCCGCACCCGCCTGATCAAATGGACAACCACTATAGATACCCTAATGAGAGTCGGGGGTACGAACGCTGCAAGTGCGTGGCCAGCTATCCAGCCAAGATTTATTCCGAGGACCAGCGGATGGGCATGCGGCCGACGGAGGAGTGGTCAGCGGGAGCACTGGACACAAAGGAGGATCGGTAGTGATAAAAATGCCTCAAAGGATCGAGTGAGGATATGTGCCCCCCCTCAAGACACGGGCATAGCCAAAGCAGCGGTCGACAACCTAAGCGTCAAACCTCGTTGTTACACCTGACATGAGCGCGTTTGGGCATGATCCGTGGCACTGGGAGAGGGATGCGACGGAAGAAAGAGAAAGAGAGGAAGGAGTTCAATTGATCCGAAGGACGAGAAGTGAGTGGGATAGTGCTCATAGCACCCTTTGTAGTGATCCGGTACATCGCCTCTATTATTTAATTAATGCGACCCCGGCATTTAGCATCTTATGGCTGTAGACACAAAGAGGTTGGCAAGAAGGGGTGCGATATTGGAAAGCCAGGTGGCGAAGAAAGATGGGACAGGCTGGGTGGCGCGCCTGCCTACCTGGAGTACGGGGCACTCTGATGAGCCGACGGGCCATTTCCGTCAGATGGGGTAAGTGGAACGGTCTCGAAAACAGCAGTTGATACCGACAACGTGTAACGTGGTCGGTGATACGGCGAGCACTAAGACCAGTACTGTGAACAAGGGGGTTGCACTTCCACCCTTGCCTGAGTTGACTATAGAGTCAATGTCAGGTAAGGACTGTAGGGTCATTTTACAAAGCAGGACCAGCATAGGGCCAGTGCTTAAGCAATAACCACAATTGAAAAGGGGATTTTGTGCATCCCCAGTAAAATAATTGGAGCGACAGGCCAAATTTGAGAGGCTGAGAGTGAGCCAGCGAGGAGAAATTGGAAGGTTCGCCTTGAGCTGTGAACTTCCTATGCTCATATTCTCGACTTATGTACTGACAGTTTTTCTGTATGGCCCGAAGTACCTACGGCAATTAACTATGGACGCTCGACTTATACACCCGGGATGCCTGTGCAAACGACTCTGAATCCGCTTTGCATTTGCAGCAATACAACGAGCATGTGGATGCGCCCAAGAGACTGTCCGCTGCTCGTGGCATCCACGAGAGCACCATTAGATTGAGCGCGTGCAAAAAATCAATCAGAACCAACTTTCCGTAGTACGGTGTTCGGGACTGAACGTTGTTTACGTTGGCATGAGCTCCTTTGATAGTAGGCCAACGTAGCGTGTCAGCTACATGTCCAGCCTCATCGTATCCGGTGGGCAGGGGTGGCAGAGCTGCGATCGTTAGAACACAGTTACAATCTGACAAGGGTAGGGGTCTTCGACATAAATACATGAAAATAAGGTGCAATGTAACTATGTGGGCACCTTGGTCTAGATGCATGTTCCTTACACTGTCTGCGGGATCCCTTTCGTTTCATTATGGTTCCGCTGTGCCTCAGCCCCTCTGGTAGGCAGGACTCTGGCAGCCTCTATGACTTCGTAACATTAGCTACCCCACCAGTTTATGAATCGGTCACCACTCTCATGTCACACTGTGGAACACCTAGTGACCGAATGAGCCTGTCCCCGAGTACTTAGCCCCTATGATATTGGAGAGATGTGGCCTGCGGCATCCGAAGTACCTAGTACTTCCATTCAGTAGTTGACAAGTTCTGGTAATATGTGCGTTCCTGCCATCTCTTGCTGATGAGTTCGTTCTTCTTTCACCATTCCTAGTATTTATCGCCTGCATAGTGACACCCTATGATCGTACCATTTCGCCGTCCCACTCCTCCAACTCTGAAAGCGGGGGACAAAAGCACAGAATTTTGAACAAAAATCAATGCTCGTTAACAACAACTTGACTTTAGCGACGTACGGTGGGGGTACTCTCCATTCCTCACCTGTGAGGATCAATCGTATCTCTTATCGATTCTCCGAAGCTTCTGCCATCTTATCACGCCATAACACCGCAATAACCTGACGCTTGGAAGTGCTCGAAATTGGTGGGACGGATTTAAATAAGGTCGTTAAACGGCCGGAACGTTTATTCACTATGCAATGTGCCGTCTGGGTTGTCCATGAATCTTTGTCGCGTTTTCAAAACTTCCTCGTTGTGCGTCTTGCCGGTTCCGAGCCCCATGTTCTCGTCGGGTTCATTTCCTCTACCTCGACCTTATGCCCACTGAGTCCCCCCGTTTATCAGGTGATCGTGACCTCGAAATCATCCTTAGGCTTAGGTACTGAATTCGCTTTGGGTAAGCAAAAATGCTCTGGGATAACCTAACGTTATTGCACCTCCCAGCAATCATACGTTACGCCTATCGTCTGCCTGCCGCTACATGCGTACTCCGCCGCCCAATTGGTTCCTTTCGATCCCTGTTGAGCCCCCCGTTCAAATCACGATCCGGACTGGTTGCGAGCAGAGGAATTGTCACGGTCGATTCCTTGTTCATCCCACGGCTCGAGCTTACTGTTCAACACTGTGCTGTGATCATAAAAGACTGCATTGTAACAGAAATATTTTGCCCTTTCAGTCTGTGTTGCTAAGTAGGATGTGCTATCGAGTTTCAACCTATGCTATGTTGGCTGTACTGCGGATCTGATGCGCTGCCAGGAGGTTGTACCGGCCAAATTGATTCGATTCCGATGTTACCCAAGTCCCCATCCCAATCGCCATTGTCAGTCACACCAAACACATCATCCACATGGCATGAGGAGGTGAAGAATGTGGTGGAGATTAGTGTGGGAAAGAGATAGTGACGAGTGCTGGGAGGCAAAGAACAAGTGGAATGCGAGAGGCGTATATGTCTTCATCAACGTTGGGCTGCCCTGTAAGAAAACATGAAAATTAAATCGGGAGCGTAGTGCAGCGCATACATTTATCCAAAATGCGGTAGAAATGATGACCAGGATGGAGTTCGGTATAAATCAGGCGGAGGTGAACGCAAAGGGGCGAAGGTGAGGACAAGTAAGATAACCCGGGCAGCGGCGTAACTGAACGATCCAGTGAATACTATTACAAGTCCGACAGCATTGCTAGCGATCCATATTCCCAACACTATGAAGACAGGGGCCACTGTGATAATTATTGCCGAAATCCGCCATAGAAGCCTCTCCGTGCTTGTCGGAAAGGGAAATGACCAAGCAGAGCAATGAATTCCCCCAAAGACGATCCCAGTGGTTAGAAATATCCAAATAAGTTCCTTGTCCTTGACCTCTTTCACAGCGGACGCCAGCATTGCGTCAGTAACTCTTTTAGGTTTTAGTTGAGCGACTTTTGTCTCGGGCACGGGCCTCGGGGAAGTGGTAGGGGACTCGTTCGTCACTTGGATCGGGAATCGAATATTCAGGGGTTTATACCACCACAACATGTAAACGATAACAAATAGTGCTGCGTACGCCAGCGTCATTGTCTCGAGTTGCGACCTGTGCAAATGGCCCACCCATCGTCCAACGTATTGAGTGATAAACCATAGCAGTTGAAGGACAATGAAAAGTTTGGTAAACGGGTCTCCTTTGTTTCTGTCGAGGATTTGCTCCTGTGTTATTGCAACCTTCCCTGACTTCCCAATTATGCCAGGGTATAGTTGCAAGTCCATCGGTTTCACCGCTTTTTGCGATGGGTCAAGAAAGCCACCCATGGCGACAAAGTATGAATGCGTAAAGGTCCATCCTTGTGAAGGAACACAAGTCAGCTGAACCTTGTCCCTTCCTACCTTGTTCAAATTCAGCGCGTACCTTGAACCGTCTCGCATTTTTTCGATATTCTCCAAGAATTCAAGAAATCTTCCCATGCAATCATCAGAATGTATTCTGGCAAAACTAGCGAAATCATCGTCAAGCCGATGCGAGTTGATTTGAACATCCAGGTTTTACGGCTGCCTCCTGGTATGTCCGGATGTACTGCTGTCCAGATGCAGGCGAGTATGGTTGAGAGACAGGCGTAGATGATGCTCCACATGGTTCGGCAATCCCGGAGATCACTACAAGTATGAGATATATTTGGTGGTAAACTAGCCGCATTGTGAGGGGAGATGGGCGCCGAATAAACAGTGTGGGCAAGAAGAAAGGTGATGAGAGCGGTCGCCATTGGAGTGCGGTTACAGGCACAACCAAACATAGACCGATTACAGGCTTTATACTGTGGACTGGCACAGTACGTCCTTACGTACAATGCTTTTTCCACCGTCCGGCTTCCTCAGAGCAAGCCGATCAGGGTCCCGAATTACATTTAGCCCATTTACAGTTCTTCGATCTGTACTAGAAGCAGAATTCTCAGATGTAAGAGGCATATAGCTAATGAACTGAGGTCGGACGAAATTTTTGCTGCCGCAACATGAGTGTGGGACGCAGGATAGTGAATTCAATAGGGCAGTGCCAGAAGACGAACTTGAGTGCGGCATTGTCATGAGCTCCGCAATCAGAAACAAGAGCGAGTACATGGGTCCTCAGCGCATTGATGCCCAGGGAATTCGAAGTCGGGAGAGTGCATACAAGTATCTCATACACGGGTATGCCGTAGCAAATTTGCTTGATAAGTGGTGACACGGGGCTAGCAACCCCATACTAATGAGTTGCACTCAGTAAAGTGTCTGCAATCAGACACTACATCACGACAGTTCTTTCGGTCTCCTCCACCCGCAATACCCCCATCTTGGATACATCACACGCACCAGGAAATTTCCTTATTTGCAAACCAGCTACTTCGGATGCATCGGAATGAGTAGGACTATACAGTGCCCAAACTGCCTAAACAATATTCTCCATGAAGGGCGACCTCTATATAGTGCTATCACTCAACCCAGCGCCTGCCCGGATCCAGGCACCTTTCCTGTTAGGGACTTTCCGATCTAGGGGTTTTGAGACCCTGTGCGCCGGGAGTTGTTCCTGAGCGATAAGGAGACAGGCTTATGATTGCGTTCTTCGTCTTTGCATACGTTCTCATTCTATACCGTCTACTTCCCCGAATATAAGACTTTGTGCAGTTTGGAGTCGGACACTGCGATATGCCCACTTTCAGGAGTCGTGAGTCTTTCATCCATGCAACTAATCACCTGCTTTCCTCTCACCTTTTTGGCTTTCAACGATCCCAATATTATCATGACAAATCAGCTGATGACAGCTTCGCACGGCACCCGGAAGCTCTTCAACGAAGCGACCCTTTTAACGGCAGCGATATAGCTTGGGTTTTAGCGTCTACCGCTCTCGTATGGTTGATGACTCCTGGTATGGGGTATGTCTTAGCCAATCGCTCGCCTTTGTCGTCTTGCTGGTTTTTCCCGCATGCCAATCATGCTAAAAGAAATAAACAAGGTTCTTCTACTCTGGCCTGCTCCGACGCAAGAATGCCCTCTCAATGATTTGGCTTTCCTTCGTGTCCACTGCGATCGTTTCATTCCAGTGGTTCTTCTGGGGCTACTCCCTCGTTTTTTCGGAGCGTGTCGTCGGCAAGTTTATTGGGAATCTAGGTGGGTTTTCTGGCTTGATTTGTTCCCTTTACTGTAATGGGAAGATTCGTATGTGATCGGTTCTCATGGACAGTCGCATCACCACACTCTTCCTGAGTCACGATTCCCAACATATTTCTCTTGAACCTTGCATTGTTACTCATCATACCGCTTTCTTCAACCTCTACTCGCAACTCGTCTGGCACCAACTTGGGGAATCCCATAACGTTGGAACACGGATTTGAAATGTCCTGTCACTGTTCGACTCGAATCTCTCCCTTGTTTCCTGCTTCCCTTTGTCTCATCATGCCCTGCCACACAACTGGGATCTGATTTCTTATCCAAATCCCCTTGATGGCTCATCTTCCGCTCCCATACGGTTCGGACACCAAATGTATGTTCATTCTCTTTCTCACAATGCATCATATAACATCGAGAATGCTCAACTCCGGCACCCAGGGTTGCTCACACTTCGGCGGCCTCGCACCCCTGCTGCCTTCCCCTCCTTCCTTGCTGTGTTGTCCTGATGGAAAAACACCGTCGTCATCGAACTAATCAAATTGTGTATGATGCCTACACCGGTATCTCCCTGCGTACCGTTTTCCGGAATCGCTTGTCTGCTTACACGTCCTGGCCTATCGGTCACCATTTGTTTCCTTGTTGCTGATCGGCGCATACTCGATGCTCATTACATTCGCCATATTACTGGCGGGTTCTACTACTACTTCTCCTCCCCGCAACTTACCACTCTTCCCCATTCCACTTCGCCTCCAAACACGGATGGTACTCATGAAATCCCTTCCATTACGGGATCTCTGGCGCGCATCATGCGTACTGATTACCAGATCACTTTGGGTTGAAAGATCTTTGGGGTATACCTAGCGTCACAAGCACTCGAATCCCCGCAACGGTGCACTGTGTCTATCAGCTTATGTTTGCAATAATAACGTGCGTATACGATTTTCTTGCGTTCTGTCTGATTTTGCACTTAACTCATTTGCCTGTTCGCTGGCCATTTATTCTGTTATATTTGTTTGCTCCCCGGCTAGCTCAATGATTGCTGTGGGGGCTATCGCCGAACGAAGTCGTTTGGGTCCGATTATGTTCTTCCTTTTTTGCTGGACGACGCTCGTGTATGACTTTATTGCATGTTGGACTTGGAACCCTGATGGGTGGGTGTCAAAGAGCGGTGGATTGGACTTTGCAGGTGGAACGCCTGTACATATCAGCAGTGGAACAGCTGCATTGGCTATTTCGATGCATCTTGGTGAGTGCCTGATTGCTTTTGAAGCCTTCAGGAAGATGAATGGAGTGCCTGAATGTTTTCTGATTTCATGTGGTGTACTTTGCTTTGTCCGATGGAACAACTTGCTTCAATGCCAACTGACCGCTTCTTATCATATTACCTCCGACGATACTGGCTTACGCAATGTGATTCCACCGTCACGGCAACCCGCAACAGGCCCTCGCTTGAATTACAGGGAGCCTCCATTGGCTTACAGGCCTCATAACGCCACCTATGTTGCCCTTGGTACTGCATTCCTGTGGTTAGGATGGTTTGGATTTAACGGAGGTAGCACTTTGGCGGCGACTGAGCGCGCTGCCAACGCCTGTTTCGTTACGAACGTGAGTGTTCTTCCATTTATGCATCGTGCGACTCGGAAAATGTATCCTGAAATACTCCTCGTTCTCATCACACAGTTATCGGCCTCTGTTGGCGGTTTCACTTGGATGTTGATGGATTGTTTTCTTGGAAATGGCGGATGGTCCGCGGTTGGGTTCTGCTCGGGGGCGATTGCGGCCCTCGTCGCTATAACACCGGGCGCTGGCTATGTTGGTGCCCCAGCTGCAGTTCTCTATGGGTTCCTTTCTGGTGTAGTTTGCAACTTTGCCACCCAACTCAAGTACCGTCTTGAGATCGACGACGCGATGGATATCTTCGCGACCCATGCGATTGGAGGGGTCCTCGGGAATTTGTTGACGGGTCTGTTTGCCCAGGCGAGCATACCTGCTCGTGATGGAATTTTCATCCGAGGGGGATGGCTGGATCATCATTATATCCAACTTTTGCATCAATTCGTTGATTCCGTTTCAGGCCTCGCTTGGTCGTTCATCCTCACAAGGGTGATTCTTTGGATCATGGATCTCATTCCTGGATTGAGCCTTCGTACAACACAGGAGGCTGAGAGAATGGGGATGGATGGTGCTGAGATGCAAGAATATGCGTATGTGCTAGAATTGGAACCGCACGTAGGTGGGGGGAATGCAGGGGTCCCGAACAATATTGCCGGGCAGGAAAACGGAGAATCCTCCTCGTGATATACGGGTAGGATGACATGGGCAAAATGGGAGGCTTTTATTTGCACTGTGCACGCTCGAGTCAAGTTCACACGGTTAAGTGTGGATTGGGATATGTTGGGGATATCAACATGATTGGGATGGGGACTCGGGCTGACCATGGTAGATAAGAATTAATGGATATTTAACCTGTAGACTTCCTGGTGCTGGGGGAAACCCCTCGGACGCGTGACGTAAAACCTAAGTACAGATAAACTACAGCGCGTGTTGGAATCGTCCATGAGTCTCTCCTGAAGCAGGAAGGTTGAGATTTGAGACTGTCGCATTTTATAACACTTTCAGGCCCTCGAAATTCGCATACACTACCTCGCCACCTCTGCCGCCCACTGAAACTCTTCTTCCTATCTGTATCACCTCGGATATTGGCTCGAAGTGGTCTGGAAGGTTGTGGAGATATACCAGACCATTTCGCGACCGAGTGAAAAGGCAGTTCTGATCAAGGACAATGGGCAAGGTTGGGTCTGGTTGGTACGTCGCCGCGAATGCTCCGTCGGGACGGGCTGTTAATGACTCCGTCCATGTGCCAGTATTGAGGTAGATTGTGTAGGGACCTTCAGAATTCTCCGAGACTTTCCACCCGCGCACCCGAAGGATTGTACCGTCCTTGGAGTAGGATATATGGTATGGTGCCGGAAAACTGGCCTGCTGGGATTGAACCTTCTTGACAACTTCGGTCAGATTCACTCGCTTCGTACATTGTCCGGAGGCGATGTTCCAGACCAGGATAGATAAATCTCGCGAGGCAGAAACGAGCTTTTCTCCATCCGGGGAGAAGCATGCGCACGTAACAGAATCAGGATGTCCGCGCAACAGAGCTGACTCAGCATTGGGATTCCCGGAATCCGCTATCCGGATGATACGGCTCTCCTCCACACTCACCGTGCAGCGAGCATTTGATGCAATTTCAAACGGTTCGCCCCAGGACCAATGTTCCGCAGCTGTCACTGCGTCCCAAATGCGGATCGAACGATCACCCGAACCTGACGTCACCATGGTTCCGTTCGGGGAGAACGTTACGGCATACACCCTACTGGTGTGGCTAGCGAAGGTGAAAACGTGAGTCCACCCCTGTCCATCGGCACGCCATAAGGAGACGGATGAGTCCGCCGAAGCGGATGCGATCCATTTGCCATCCGTCGAACAAGATACGGAGTACACTGCGTCCGAGTGGTTTTCGAGTCGCAGCAGGTTGTCATGCTTACCAAAGATGTCCAGGACACGGACTACGTGATCCCTACATGCAAGTATCACCCTTTCGCCGTCGGGATGAAAGGCGAGGCAGAATATGGGACTGAACACGTCGATTCGACCAATTTGTTCCCCAGATGCGGCGTCCCAGACTCGAACGGACTCGTCATATGATGCGGATGCCAAGCGTCCTCCATCTGGCGAATACGCAACAGAAACCACAACATCGGTGTGGCCTAGTAGAGTGCGGATGTGCGAACCATCAACGGCATCCCAAATACGTATGGTTGTATCTCCTGATCCTGACGCAAGGCGAGTCCCGTAAGGGCTGAATGCAACGGAGTTAACGCGCTTGGAATGACCGGCAAGGCGTCCAAGTCTCCCTGAGCCGTCGACATTGCGAATGCAGATCAAGCCATTCTCGCACGCGCACGCCACTTGCGAACTGTCTGGGGAGAATGTCACATGGACACAGTCAAAGGGCAAGTCCAATTTCGAGGTTCTGGCTCCCGTGATTGCGTTCCACAACCAAATGCATTTATCCCTGAAGGCAGACGCCAGCAAGGTACCATGTGGAGAATACGCTAGTGAGCAAACGGCATATGGATGGTCTGGGAGTTTCAAGGAAATACGACCTAGAAAACCCTGCGTGTCGCCCATCCTTGTGATTACGACGGCTTTACATGAAGAAGTTGGGGATGCAGATTCGAGCGTTGGTAAGGCGGAAAATACGAGCAACGGATGTTCGCAAAGCACGCGTTTTGAGCGCAGGATAAAACGATAAACGTCAAAGATGAACAAGCGGAGCTTTTCTGGCACTTGATCGTGTCTTCGCTATAAGCAGAATGAGTCTGAATCAATGACACAAAAGGTATGGTACCCGCCATCCACTGCTCCAACCGATGCAAACCGAGGCAAGCGGCATCAATCTCATCCATGATCCCCATTGCTACTATCCAGTATGAGAACCACTCGCGGATAAAGTGTTCTAACGCTCCGATCACCCCCGAATCTGGATAATCCACCTGGAAAAGAAGTAAGAACCAGCTTTTAGAAGCAAATTCAACCTCCGCGGGTATTGACGCCCGGAGTTCAGCAATGTCTCTCTTCAACCTGCCTCTTGGTTCGCCGAGCAGAGCCTGCTGGAAAGAAGGGAATTCAAGATGCCCAATTGTCCACAGAGCCAGTTCAAGATCTGCGGGGCCCGAACAATCCTGTCCCTTCCATTGCAATCGAAGCAAACCACTATCGGTCCTCGGTTTGACGGTGTCTTTTTCAAACTGCATAAAGTATTAGGTGGGACAGAGCTTCATCACGCAGTACCTACCGCGCGAAAGAAGGTATCTCTGATCTCTACGTCCATTGTATCCACTTTGTTTCGATCCAAACGTTGGAATATCTTGAGATTTCCGCCTGCCGAACCTACCCATGAGGCCAACTTGGCGGTAAGATCGCTGCTTGTGACAGGCAACTTGAATAATCCGGCAAAGAATCAATGAAGGGTGATACCAACTTTGCGAACTGTCTGCGAAACTTTCTTGCTCCAGGAACGCTACTTAATCCATGGATATGCTCGTAGAGAACTGCTTTGCATTCACATAGCAGCTGGATCATGGATGAGTGGAATCCACTGCGCAGTTTCGCTTCTTCGACACCGCAGCAAAAGAGGAGTTCCTAAATTCACAGTGTCAGACAACGTTCATCCCGGGACAGTATATGAACATTTTGGGCCCCAATAATATGGGCCAATTTGGAAAATGCCTCTATGATGAGCCTGTCATGCGTCATCGCGACCAAGGACTCTACCTGGGCAACTAATATTGGAACCCATGTAGGAAGCACTTTATACACCCTGGCCTTTATTACCCTACGACGGCCGGTAGCCATGGTCGGACAGCTTAACTGCGCTTGGCCGCTAAAACTACCGCCCAAAAATTGAATGCAAATTTCTTGGACGATTGACGCAAAGAAACGGTTCTCCTACTGCGCTCAGTAAATAGCTAAATACAGTGTAAAACGCGTCCGCACCTCCGAGAGAGCGTTTGTTTTGAAGAATTCCTCACGAACGACGTCCAGAGATTTGAAAAGAGGCTTGAGAGGGACGGGTGAATTAAATTTGATGACAGCGTCTTCTTGGGCCCCTTGTTCAAGGACACCGTTGATGGACATACCCAAGCTCGCCTAAAAGGGAAGCCCAAAGGTTGGGAAGTCGGGGGGAATTCTGAAGCAGGGATCACTTACGAGATCCTGGTACAGAGAAGTCTTGAATATATTTCCACTTTTTTCGAGTTGACGGCGGTCCAAGCGAATCCATGGGTTAGGGTGATGGTTCTTCCTCACAACTTCAAGGAGTAGGTAGTGATGGGTCTCCCGGGTACAATATCTAACTAAGCGAGTGACGGTGGCCTCTTCTGCTGCCTCGCTGCGATATAATTCTGCACAGAAGAAGCCAAGGAGGTACTCCTTGGCCCCTCTGAAAGGTATCCCGCAGAGAATATCTTCCTGAATCGAGCGTCGCAGATAGGCTTGATCGATGGGTTCATTCGACTTCATGGGGGTCTTTGTTAATGAGAATGTTCGTTGAAGAGGACGATGGACACCCTCGTCCTCATCCTGCCCACTCAAGTCAACTTTGGAGTCCTATTCTCGACGATAAGGCAAGGGGGAAGTCTTCGCGAACGACAGTCGTCATACCCTGTTGGTGGTTTGAGATGGAAACATTTACAGAAGAGTTTCGTGGGACGGTTACGCTGGCGGTAATGTCCACAAGTAGCAATGACGAGTAATGTTGATGGTGGACGACACATGTTATATTATTCCAAAGGCCGACCTCGAGGAATGCACGAGGGATGTCCCTCCATGCCTCCAAAACTCTCAAATGTGCACAGGCGCTAGTCCACCGCACCGGAGCAGCCAGGCGGCCTGATAGAAGCTGCCCCAACCCTGAGTCGATTCTGGCGTTGCTGCACAACTGAAACCGAGTTCCGATCGACAGCTTTGAAATTTGGATACTCTAACTCAGTTTCGAAGATAATTCCCACACTCCCGACGCACTTGGTGAATTCACGGTGGGAAGTACCGCGCTATCGTTTGCTCCAGTTAACGCTTACGGAGGCTGGAATGCCATGTCCTATACCAGTTACGTTGTGGATCGTCCCCGAGGCATCATGTGTGGCTCCGGCTCTTGCGCGTAGGAAACCACTGGGTGTGGCAGCGTGCACAGAGACTCCAGGCTTCCTGCAGGCTGTAGTTTATGTCAAGCCCCTGGAAACGTGGGCGCAATGTTTCGTGTTTTTCAACATCAATTTGCATTGGCCCAACAGGGAGTGTCACACGCGTGCGCGCGCATCAGTGATTCTACTTTCACATATATAGTACTAAAGCGTGTTATCGCTCAATTTGAATACGGATGCCGCTGCCTATTAATAATAGTAAGCTCAATCAAATGTTGTTTCGCATCGAAGGCTTCTGACCCCGTCGCAGAACATCTCAGTTAATCAGAGCGCTAAAACAACGAACAGTCGGCACGAGTGTTCCCCTACCGAACATCCGGACCCTCAATTCTGGTTGAATTGCAGCCTCATAGCCGTGCCATGTCTGATTCAACACCCCGTATAGCTGACAGAAGATGCGAAGGTGGGGATAAGGCGGATCTGGATGCCCTGGTACGCCTCTTCAAGGAGTTTTCTCAGAGGCTGGATGACATCATGTCCGTCAAGTCGGACTCCATTCATGGTGAACCAGACCATATCCGTACATGTATGCAGCCTTATTTATGTGTCCCAATTTCACTGAATGCGATACGCCGTTTCTTCGTCCATTGCAGCCGACAGTACTGCGGAGCACGGTAACCAGAGGCTGCGCTTGGAGGATTTTGAGAGGTAATCTGCACTCTTTCTGACAAACGACGACAGCCTATCTTTATGAGGGATCATTTCGTAGTAAAATGCGGCAGCTAAGCGAAGTTGTGAAAGGGATCGCTGACGCCGTCAAGGATCTTAGATCGGCATTCCATCTAATCAACGTGGCACTCGGACTCTGCGCTCGTTTGACTCGAGTTTCCCGGCTTGTGCCTGTCATTGCCTTCCCGTCGGGGCTTAAGGGAGGGGAGGAGAGTAATTCGCAACTGCTAGCAACTAAACGACGCCAAACTGCGTCACAATTTCCCGGGGAGGACGGGTTGACTCCAGGAGTTCCCCCATTTCGAATGGAGGATCTTCCTGAAGAGTTTGAGAAGCTCGCACGCGGTGTTGACGTGTTCAATGCAGCTTTGAAGACCCTTCCTGGCTGTCATGAAGTCCCAGTCTACATCGCGCGGGGCGTTGACTCATCTTTAATGGATCTGACACAAGACCTGAGATATTGGTCTCGCAACCTGCACGACTTTGAAGGTGAGTATTTCTAGCCTCTTTCGGTGCATCTTGTCAATTCGGTGTTTCAGGGAGGATCCATACCGTTGTCGTGCGGCAACATGTTGGCGCCATAGCAGATGAAATGACACTTCATTTGACTACCGTGATAGACGCGCTTAGGAATTTTATCCGCTTGGGTTAGTAACCATGCTATGAGCTGCCATTTCTTCATTTATGAAATTCATTACAGGTTTACCTACCATCCTTCGGTCCGAACGACAGGAAACGTTTCGAAACCTATCGACGGTTGCAACCCTCTTCGCTAGCGTATCTGCATCGACTATCCAGTTCAGGCGAGTCACCTTTCCCCACCTTTGTGGCGCAACAAAGTCAATTTTTCCAATGTAGTTATGGAGCAACCAATACCAGAGTCGCGCAGGCAGTCAATCTATTTTGGCTCACCTCACTGGTTTTCTCCATTGCTAGTGCAATTAACAGTCAACTTAGTTATCAGTGCGTCGAGAACACCCATGCTGGTCTGAATTCTCAATTGACCAGGTTCCACCCTCAGGTGGTCTTCAACAGTATATGCTACTCCGATTTCGGCACTTCCATGGTGGGCCGCCATGTGGATCCTCAGAGCGCCATTAGCCTTCCTAGTTGTTTCGGTGATTTCGTGAGTGGCGCTCTCAGCTTGCCAGCAAACAGCTTGCTGTGCTGTTCATGCCGCTCATGCCGTTCCCTTACCAATGTTAGGTTTTCCATAGGCATCGTCTGTTTTTCTTTTTCAAATTATAGCCATGAGCCGTATATTCCCATCTGTGTCACTGCCGCTTCTGCGATCTCTGCAACGGCACTTCTTTTCATTAGCGTCTGGTTCAGCGCCGATTATTATGCCTTCAAGAATAGAAAGAAGACGGGGGTATGTTAAAGCATTCTGACATATGGTAACACTTCTGACGGAAATACCTTCTCGCCAACTTGAAGGAGGAACTTGAGTATTTATTCCATTCCTCATCGCTTTTTTACTTGCCTTGGGAATGGTCCCGTAATCAGCTTCACGCGGTGGTTAGGTTTTTCAACTATGCCACCCACCCTGTTCGGTTCTGGTTCCGGCGACATTGGAGGTGGTTCGCATTGGTATTCATGTATTTGGTTCATCCTGATTTTTTTTCTGGCACGGAAATGACTTTCCAACGGACTTCACCCCTATAGAACTTGCGTTCTCCCGCTGGCCTTAGTTTTACTATTCCTCTTCCTTCTTTATGACAAATTCGAAGTCGAGGTTGACCAGGCATGCAGGTGGACCCAGGAACTGTTCCGATCAATCCCAACTCACTTCAGGCAAACTGGACGTCAATTTCTGGTTTGGTGGCGAGGCCAGGCATCCGTTCTCCCGACCATGTCATCTGAAAGAGAGCCTGAACTTACAGAAGGAGGCAACGCGGGCCAGCCGCAAACAAGTGTGTTTCCATTCTGTGCGTCCCTTACTAACGATGACCCTTGGACCTCAGGGTTCGGCACAGCACGTGGTTTTGGTGTAAAAACCCATGCACCAAATAAATTCCAGGAAGGTCAAGAGGCAATACGGCGCAGTCGGGAGCTACCGCCTAAGATTCAGAGGTTCCGCGAAGTAATAGTTAAAGTGATCGAGAGGAATCGCCTTTCCAGGATAGAATCGATTGCTTCAGCTCTCAAGTCCCTGCAGCCAATACAGAGACTAAAGGAGCACGCAGCGACGATATATGACATCAAGTTTAGGTCTGACGGACGATACTGTGAGCCCTCTATTACACTTATACCAGTGTTTTTGTTGAATATCCATGCCGAGACAGTAGCAACCTGTTCTGGGGACCAGACAGCGGTCATATGGGATATAGAGGACTCTCTGGAAGTCCGTCGACTGCATTTGCAAAACACAAGCCATCAATCCTGTCTTGCCTGGCGGCCCAATCATCCCCACGTCACGATAACATTGGCAAAGGGATACGTGAATCGACCGTTTTTGGTATGTCCTTACTGAGTAGAAGTGTAACATCCTCTTCATTTCGTCGTTGCGTAGGGCAGTGTACGATATCATCGCATTCACCGACAAGATGCGTCAGTTCCGTGCATCGCTTGGGTGCCATCGGGTCTCTCCGGCCCACTTATTTATTCAGCGGGCACCTACATTTATCTGACGAGAGTAGACATGAACGGGGACTTCAGACACATCATCCAAGCATTTCCCCAGTTTCTGCGGGGTAATCAAGAACTGTGGAGCGTGAACCTTGGTTATACTCTCAATGACATGGCAATCACCCTGGACGGAAAGAGGCAGGTCTCGCTCTGTGCAGCATATGGTAATAATGCTGATTGTCATCCGTGAAGATTATTAGGTGTCGGCACCGTAAATTCTACTCCAGATAAGGACCAAATCAAACCTTCACCGAAATCTCCTGTTGAACGGCGAATCATGAGTAAGTCCATTAAGATGGGAGTATAGAGATGGTTTGACTAGATCACTGGATTAGTATTTGATATCCAGGAAAAATTGATCATTTAGCAAGTCACTCTCTCACCCTAATCGGTGCATGGTCGGTGACCTCTGCATCAGCGATATCCCGACCTTTGAAGACGTTCGAAGATTAAGTTTATCTGCTTCAGGCGAACTGTTGCTTGTCACATATGAAGGGAATGTACGCCATCACAGCGCCAACTCTAGGACAGGATTCCTATCTCGTCTCCATATAGATTCCTCCCAAGCTGTTTCGCGTTTATCCGACGTGGCTAGTCCACATCCATACATTTTCTGCTCCAGATACAAAGGAGAATGCAGTTTATGGTCAATTTGGTATTTCAGGACCAACATCCGGGGGACCGGTGGAGGACCAGATCATTGTTTGTGCTAACAAAAGTAAGTGGTCCAATTGATTCTTCAGATTCAACATATCCCTGAATCCCCCCGGCTGTAGGGGGTGACGTCTTCATATGGGATTGCGGAACATACCGCCTCCTTCATACATTTAACATGGCCATCCACCCGGACCACACCGTCACTGGAATAGCATTCACCAGTAGTAGGACTCACGAAGTCGAAGCCAGGTGGATTAAGAATGTCCGATCAGTCCAGTCACATTCCCGCAGGATGTTGAGGGTCGCAATCGCATCCAGCGATGGGGCAGTGAGTTTATGGAGTTCGATTTGGGATCCCGATGCTCCTGTCATGCAAACTCCCCAAGAATTGCCAGCCGGCTAGCGCACCAGCGGAATTCATATCCCTGAACAATCGTATAAACCGCTGGTCTCCTTATTTGGTTGTGGCTTATTCCCTCGCCAATTGTGAGCCCTACCTCGGCTGGGTCAGGAGTATTGCATGGGAGTTCCTAATAACGAATGTAATTGTAGAGACAATGTCTGAGCTGACGAATTCAGCGGAGAATCTCGATGATGAGCCGTGAGGCTATGCCGGGGCAAAGCGGGGAAAACAATGGCGAGCCCCTAAGAGGTGCCTATAGGAGGTGCCACCTCCGGGTGTATGGGTGGCGAACACAAATGTCGCAGTTTAACGTATATAGCCGGCGCAGAGCAGTACTCTCTCTCTCGCGCACACGTCACGTTTTATTGTGACATTACTGTCAACTTCCCTCTCCGATGAGGGGCAGAAGTGTCGAATGAGCAAAGGGACACAAAGATCCAGTGAGGCTCAAGTCTCGGTCGACGAGCTAGCATTGTGTTGGAATCCAAGTCATGATGCTGCTCCGGCAACATGTCCCGCATGCGGTGCTGATGCGCATGCGCAGCATCCCACACCTATTCCGACACCGCCTCCCTGACATGTCTGTGCGCGCTTAGTATGGCCTTATCGTAGTATAAGTACCTTGTATTCACAGTTAATGACACTCATCGATCCAATGGCCACTGTCTCTTAGATCTGAAGTATCTTTTGAGTTCTATCTCTTTGTCCCTCGCTATGTCGCAAGTACAGCCGCCAAGTGCTTCGTCCATATCCGGCCAGCCATAACAACACACTGTGTTACGGATGAATGCACAGCCGATCACCGCCCGAGGCTAGTTCAGGCAGAGTTAATTTGCAACTTGGATTAAATCGCATCTCTTCCCCCTTGGAATCTTCCACGAGCTCTAGAGCCCTTCCTGATGGCGCGAACGGGTATTTGGAAGCACAGAAGGGCCGATCCTCACAGGAATTGACGTCAGACAAGTTTCAAGTAGAGACGTCAATTCCATGTTCATTCCCACTACCCGGAGCGCTTGCTGCCAATAGCTCTGCTCGGCACTTACAGCGGATGTACGCTGATGTTTCTCTGTGACCGTAGAAGACTGCACTGTCGCTGTGGCGGAATCCAATCAACTATGGTCCACGCTACTACTACTGATTGTATTGAGTTTGAACTGACGCTATACGGGTATTGCGGAAGGCAATCTAGGGACTCGCCACATTGTACTCCAATACTGAGATGGCACATTTATTCTCCGGCACACTGATGACGGGTTCACATGTCCTCATTCGGTGCCACGATATAGTGTTCAATTCAAGGACGCGATTTCAGCGTAGTCTCACAATTTATGATCCAAGCACTAAATCCCCGGACGATGAGTCCATCACCGAACCTCGCACGATTCAGTCACCTGGGATGTTGCACTATGGGAACTACTATGCTGCCCGTCTGACGCACTGCTACTAGGGGTTCTACCGGCCAAGTTGACTTGACTTCAATGTCACCCACATCCCATTCTACTTAGTAGAGGCTGGGATCCTGCCTACATCCCATTTATCTCCATATCAATTGCACCAACGGTAGCACCCTTAACGAATAAGCCTAAGTAGGACTGCTATTGGATACATTACCTACACGCAATGAGTCTGGGGAGTGTGGGGTCAGTGTGAGGGTGACTGATGTTGAGAGAGGTAAAGAGTAAACGGAATGCGAAAGGCGTCCTTGATGCGTAATTTGTGGTCTCATGAATTTTTATCTAAAATGTAACTGCACATGCAAGTCGTGTTCAAGCGTACTTTATCAGCATTGGACTGTCCTGTAATGAAACAAAATTCTAACGAGAAGGGCGGTATATACAGCTATCCAAAATGTGGGAGGAGCAATGACCAAGATGGGGTTTGGTATAGATCAGGTGGAGGTGAACGTAGAGAGGTGAAGGTAAGTACAAGTAAGATAACCCGTGCAATGGCATAAACAGGTCCACTGAGTAGTACTACACCTGCACCAACGTCGCTAACATGATCAACTGCAGCATGACCAGCAACCCATACACTCAACGCTAAAACGACAGGAGCCGCTGTAATGTATATCGCTGAAATCCGCCACAGAATCATCTCCACATATGTTGGAAAGGGAAATGACCAGGCAAAGCAATGTATTCCTCCGAAAATGATCCCAGTGGCCGCAAATATGAAAGCAAGTCCCGGGGTCCCGACCTCCTTGACAGGAGTTGTTGGATCTGCGCCTGTCTCCACTTTAAGTGCTTGTTGATTCGTCTCGGAAGTTGGGGGGAACTCCTCCGTCACATGGATTGGAAATTGAACATTAACGGGTTTATGCCACCACAACACGTAAACAATGACATTCAGTGCCACATACGCCAGTGTCATTGTCTCGAGTTGTGATCTGTGCAAACGGCCTGCCCATCGTCCAGTGTATTGGGTGATGAACCATAAAAATTGAATGACGATTATCAATTTGGCGAACGGATCCCTTTTGCTTCGGTCGAGAATTTTCTCCTTCGTTATTGCGGCCTTTCTAACATCCCCAAACTTCTCAATTATGCCGGGGTATTGCTGCAAGTCGTTCAGATCCACCGTTCTTCCTTTTGGTAGGTCGTAGAAGCCATTCATGGTGACAAAGTACGAATGTGTAAGGGTCCACTCTTGTGTTAAGTACAAGTCAGGGCTTCGTCCTTTCCTACTTTCCCATAAATTCCGGGCGCACCTTCTACCTTCTTGCATTTCTTTGATATTCTCCAGGATGTCAAGAATTCCTTCCATGCGATCGTCAAAATGAACTCCGGTGAAACCAGTGAAAGTGCCATTAATTCGATGCGGGGCCATTTAAGCGACCAGGAACTATAATAGCGCCCTGGTACGTTTGGGTGTACTGCCGTCCAAATGCATGCAAACACGGTAAGGAGACAGCTATAGACGATGCACCACATCGTTCGGCAATTCCGGAGATCGCTGCAAGCATCAGATACATCCAGCAGGAAATTAGTCGTGTTGTGAGGGTAGACGGGCGCTGAATAAACACTGTGGACAAGGAGAAGAAAGGTGATAAGAGCAGCCGCCATAGGAATGCAGGTGCAGGCAGGCTACCAGGTGTTAGACCAAGGATGGGCTTTATACTCTAGACTGGCGCGCGGCGCCGCATGCTGTGCCTTCTCACGGAGCCTCCTCAAGGCTGCAGGCCAATAAATATTTTCAGGGGTCCCAAAGCAATTTAGCCCATTCACACACCTTAGATGACTCACGGCGAAGCGATGACTGGAAGGTACAAGCAATTCAGTGTGTGAGGTTTAGCCGATGGACTCCAACTCAACGGAAGAGTTCCGGCTCAATAGGGTCGCACTGAATGTTATTCGACTGCTTGTGCTAGGAGTATGGGCACGTGGAATCAGAAAATTAAATGAGATAGCACCCGAACATCGAAGAGGAATCCATACAGGCCTTTGGATTTAATATATTCGAGCGGCGGGGAAAGATTGGTTCATAATTGAGTGGTTACGACACGTTGAGCGCCCAGGTGAAGGAGGTTGACACCGTCAAGGAAACCTCCAGGAGACACCGAAATGAGAAGGTATAGAAACCATACTGTACTGGTCCTTATTCTTGGAAAGTAGGGGGCCGAATCCCTATTCGCCCAGAAAAGGTGTGTTGAGATGCTTCGGCATGGAACCAAAATTAATTAATCTACCCCTTATTGGTTTCTCAGGAATTGTCAGATGAAATTCGCCGTATATAGCCGCAAGGTACATAACATGTAGTCGCAGAAGTGGAGTTACAAGTTGGCCCGTATCCATTGCAGGTGGACGTACATGATACCGTAATTGATATCTATCCATACAGTAAGGCCGACGTCAACATCTTGTTCAGGTCGGAACACACGGTTATGAATAGACCGGCTCGTACCCTGTGTGCTCATTAGAACAGCTGAATCTCCCAACACCGCACCGCCCCCATTACACATGTGGTATCTGGAAGAGGAATTCCAGCTACACCGTTCCAGACATTGACGGTCAATGATCAACAGTGTATCGGTTAGATACGATGTCGCGTTATTGATAAAGCGCCAGGTCCAGTGACGAGCGGTAGAAGCCAGAATAATCCCATAGAGTAGTTGATTTGCGAGCGGTCAGCCGATCGTATCCGATCATTGTATAGACGTTCACTTGGGAAACATAGAACCAAAAGGGATGAGACACCAGGAGAATACGACCCAAGAGGGCAAGAGTGGGTGGCATAGGATGCAAGCACTCGCTTGAAGATTGGGCAAGTGCCATGAAGACTGGGACGCTTTCTTTAGCCCTCGTAAACTGGGCGGTGGTCCCAAAGAAGTTTGAGAGAACATATATCACACTCCCCAGACGGCGAGACTATTGGCAATCAAGAGTCCAACTGTCACCCCAACAGTCGAACGCCTAGTCACCACCCAGTAAGACTATCTCCCGGAGTAGTGCTTACGACGACGGAGGCACGCATCAGTACCTATTACTTCGATTCCAGGAATTCCTTTGAGCCTTTGCGAAACCTCGCCACCCTTCACTCAGTTTCCTACGTCGTTTCTGCCACCATCTCCAATCCCAGCCAACCGCACTGGCCACTCCACACAATCTGCACGATCCGTAGCATCGATATGACTCCACAAGGCCGACTTGAGCAAATCCCTGAGTCAAAGACAACGAAAGAGTAAGGGCAACATCTCGGATGCAGCGTTAGGCTGAATCATGTGCTTTCGGATCACGAATTGTGAGAAATCTAGCTGAAGCGAGGGCTGTTCTCGACACTAGATCAGCGCCGAGCAAGGACACGTGAATCGTCCTCTGTAAGAGTGCTGGAGTGCAGATGTGCCAGTGATGTCATCTGAGTACCGGGGTACATGCGGCAAGCCAAGCATTTTGGGACCACTTTTCGTCTCATAGCGTTGAAACTCGGTGGCTGGCGACAACAGTTGATCAAAGGGCGAAAAATTCTGCTGCTGTTACAGTCTCATTTCCTCGCCACACATGTGATACTTCGTGCCTCCAACCGCTTAGGGATGCTGACGATTGCGTTTGGGGACGGGGACGAGTCATCAACCGACCGCCGGTGCTATTCAATAATCGAGAGCATAGAATGAACTGACGTCGACGTCAGATAGATTGAAAGCAGAAATGTTGATCGAGTCTGCTGTCGACAGCTCCACTCGGCAACTACATCAAGTGCAGCCCGACAGTATTCGGCGTCCACTGTCCGAGGATGCAAGTTTACTAATCCTCCACAGATGGAATACTTTATGGCATTCGGCATTCGGCTGAAGGGGATCAACTCAGTTGTCTGGTTAATTTGAAACCTTGACAAACTGTGCCACGCCGCTACATCAAGTCCAATGGTGGTTTGTTTTGGCTGCGGCTCGGTCAGTATCAGACTCTAAAGGCAAATTTGTCGGCACAAACACATGTAAATACTAGTTAATTGAGCAAGATGTGTGCGTCAACGAGCACAAAGAGATCCAATCGGGAGCGCGCGCATGGAAAGCGGAAGGGATACGAAACTGGGAAAACTCAATCAAGTGGCTGTCCAATCCGTCCGGTCGATGCCTTCAAGCACGTTTGAACTCTGTTGTAAGCGGGCTTGCCTACTTTGCAGTCTCTGCTCTTCACTCATTTGCCTCACCTGTAGGGAACAACACTGTGTCTCTAATCGATTATCCGAGGCTTCTGATCACTTCACAATGGACGCATCGTCCTGACCCTTAGAAGTGACCGAAATTGTAGTTAGTGAACGGCGAATGTGTAGCATAGCGTTTATTCCTCGTAAAACCAGCACCTGTCTGAGGTAACACAAAGCGTTCTTTCTTCGGGTTATTCGTCCTTGACCTTTCCATTTTCAACCTCCCATTGTGCGTCTTAACGTAATCCGCTCATTTGCTACTGCTTCGTCGTTTGTTGATGCCCCGCTTCGGATCCTGCAGTTATTGGTCGTTCATGTGTCTGTCAATTCACACAGGTCTTCCTTTTGCCCCGACCTTATGTCCGCTGGTTTGTTTGACAGGCTTCCTCGTTTATCCGGTGATCGTGGCCCCGAGACCATACTCAGGTGCTGAATACGCTCGGGGGGGTAACAAATGCTCTGGACTTACCTAATGTTGGGCACGTTCAAGTAATCCTCCTTTCTGTCTGTCGTCTGCTGCTACTCGCGTACTGCGCCGCCCAATTGTTCCCTTTCGATCCGCCGCCGCAGTCCCGTTCAAATCACGATCCGTTGGCATCACTTGGTGTGGCGGTGTGGCGCAGCTGGGCTTGCAAGGTTTCAAACTAGACAATTGACATTATCCCTTTCCACCCGGGTTGGGAGTTGAAGTCGCATTTTTGGACTCACATTTCTTGCTATGCGGACGATACCTTATGCTGAAAAAAAGCCTAGGACGCTGGCAGCTGTTCCTTCATTCGATGACGATGGGATTAGGGTTGCATGTACATACACCTATCCAAAATGCGGGAGGAATGATGACCAAGATGGGGTTTGGTATAGATCAGGTAGAGGCGATTGCAAAGAAGTGAAGGTAAGAACAAACAAGATAACCCGCGCGGTGGCGTAAACAAACCCAATGAATGCGGTCGCAAGACCAGGCGGCCATTCACTACCACCAACCCGTACACTGAACATAAAAAAGCCAGGGAAGACTGTAATAATTATCGCTGAAACCCGCCATAGAAGCATCTCTACATGTGTTGGAAAGCGAAATGACCATGCAAGGCAATGGATTCCCCCAAAGATCATCCCAGTGACTATAAATATGAGATCAAATTCCACGTCCCCGATCCTTGTCACGGGGGATATCAGATCTACATCAGTCTCCGTTTTAGGTGTCGGTTGATCAACATTGGTCCCGGAGGTCGGAGGATCAGGATTGGACTCTCTGGCCACATGGATTGGGAATCGAATGTTAACGGGTTTATGCCACCACAACACATAAACAACAACACTTAGTGCCGCATACGCCAGCGTCATTGTCTCGAGTTGTGATCTGTGTAAATGGCTTGCCCATCGTCCGACATATTGAGCGATAAACCATAGTACAGCGGTTTGCAATTGAATTGTCACGTGATCAAATTTTGTCCCGCTGCCCGAAAACAAGGCCGACAAAGAACACTGCACATCTCAGCAACCGCATGAGTTAAACACTTGCGGTTTGCTGGAAAATGTTCGTATATTCATTTTCCCGAGACCTTTTTGAGCGATAATCATAATTCTCATTTTTTGCGAGTTAAGGTTTTTCACCTTTGTGCGCATTTTTCTCGACAATGGCTGGGTGGAATGGGCTGAAACTTGGGCAGCGAGAGCTTTGGCCCCATATCTAGGGACCTTTTTTTTCTTTCGTTGATAGGTTGTGTACTTAGTTTTTTATCGTTCACATGCTCCCCGTGGCAATGATACTCATTGTGCATGATTTACTTGACAATGACTTGGTGGAATGGGCCAAAATTTAGGCAGCGAGGAGTCTTGCCTTTTGCCTCGGGACCTTTTTTTTTTGTTGTCGATGAGTCGCATTTTTGTTTTTTTTGTCATTTACATGTTTCTTGCGGCAATGAAATTCATAGAATTCTGTATGTGCACGATTTTATTGACAATGGCTAGGTGAAATGGGGTGAAATTTGGACAGCAAGGAGTCTTACTCTTCACCTCGGGACCTTTTTCTTTGTTAGTCGATAGGTTGCGTTTTTGTTTTTTTGTTGCTATTCACGCATTCCCCGTGGCTGTGGGATTCATGCAACTCATTGTGCATCATTTTCTCAACAATCCATCAGTATAACGGGGCGAAAGTTGCGCAGCGAGGAGTTTAACCTTTCATCTTGGGACCTTTCTTTTTTTTTCGTCGATCGGTTGTCTTTTTGATTTTTATCATTTTCGTCTTCCCTGCGGCCATATGGAGCGCTGGCGGCTTCTTCCATGAAGCCTCTGTTCATTGTCTCTGTTCACTCTCCATGGCACTCTCGCGTCAGAAAACCTTCTCCACATAGGTACCTACCTGTTCTCAGGTATACCTTTGTTTCTGGTGGCAGTTACCGCATGGTCAAGTGCTGGCATGCCATCTCTGCCAGCCGATCCAAAGGACGCGCCACCGATGCTCTGTAACTCGATCACTGCACACTTGTGAGAGCTCAGCACAGGCGATCGTATACAAGTAAGCCATATTATCCTTCCACTTTGGTGGTTTTGGCTTTATTTTACATAGTTTCTTATTTATTTTTTATCACTTCCTTGACCCGATCGTTGATCTCAGGTGGTTCGCTTCGAGTACATCCCCCATAAGGCCACACGAACACGCAGGCAAAACTTTCCGATCAAATCCCCCTTATCATCGTCTGCGATCGCTTCGACTTTGTTCACGATCTCGCTAAGCACCTGCCTGCGCCTCTGGTAAGCCATATTACATTCACTTCCACCTTGACGGTCCTGATGCAGGTCCTTACCCATTCCCTACCAATTCCCCAGCCCGACCGTTGATCTCAGGCAAGTTCCTGGGGTTTGCTTCAAGTGCATCCTGCCAAACGAATACACAGGCGAAACTTCCCGATCAACTCCCCCTTATCATCATCTGCGATCACTCCGACTTTGTTCACAATCTTGTTGAGCACTCATTGGCGTCTCCGGTAAGCCATACCACGCCTCCACCTTGATGGTTTTGACATCATTTTACGTAGTTTCTTATTCATTTTCTACCACTTCCTCGGCTTGATCGTTGATCTCAGGCAAATTCCTGAAGCTCGCTTCGAGCACATCCTGCCAAACAAACCACAGTGGACAGCGGAATCCAGTCTTCTACAACGCATCAGCACTATTGGCGGTGGCGGCTGTTGGAAAACAGCGCGCTAGCGCGGCCGTGCGAGTTTTCGTACAGCCACATTCCCACGGCCGAGCGAGGAACTCGCCCGGCCAGCCACATTTATTTATTCATTCTTTTGTATTCATTTCGGACTATCCGCTCCCAAACTACATGGGAATTACCGCTCTTTGAATCCTTTTTCCCTCAGTTCTCTTTCGCATTATTTGCTTGAGACTGAGGTTAGCAACAATCATTCCTTTATTTCAACCTATACTTATATACTGTATATTACCTCTAGTTGCCCCGCTTCACTAGGTAATATATTCTAGTTCTCTTTCGCATTATTTGCTTGAGACTGAGTTGCCCGCTTCGCTAGCAATCTCATATTACTTTAGCGGCATCCTGGGGCCTTCCTTGGGGGAGTTAACGTGCGTACTATTATGGCCACCTTCTTGTATACTCACGAATGGTCTCCAGTTCTATAAGCCTTTGGTTATTGGCAAATAACGCAAAGGGTGTACAGGGTGAGTTGAATCAATATACCCTATGTAATTTGTCGTTGCTCATATAGTATTATATTTTAGAAGTCTTATCACCGTAAGGTCTCATCTTGAAACCAATGTATCCTGCCAGACATCTTGAAATATAATGACCACTTTATGGAACGCCAGATCTGTTCAGGGTCCACAACGGCTTCTTCCGTTGTGCACCTTCTCTCAATTTTTTGCATGCGCACGCATTTCCTCAATGTCAGAAAGAACTACGAGATCCAAAAGCAAAAGAACGAGGCTAGAGACACTGAGGATATCGACAAAAGACGCTCCACCAGAACCCGCAGTGACAGATTCCATTTCTGGTGAGGCCTCCAAAGTCCCCTGCCCACGCCGACTGCGACTGGGACCACCAAAACGTCCTACCCAGTCACCCCCACCGACTATGGACCCAAATCTGAATGCTTTGGTAGCAGTTTCTGCTGCCTTGCAACCAGAAACGCCGGACACTGAAAAAATATTGGGTGTGATGCCGCCCCAGCCATTTGAATGGGATTATTCAGCCACGCCGGCCTTGGGTCCTGCAGTACAAGCAAATATCGATGTATTTGATTTGCCAAGAACAATGAGTAAGTCAAATTTCCAGGATAGAATTCAAACTTACATTTTTGAATTTAGGTGTGTCCAACGCCCTTTCCAAGCTACCGCAGTACCGCAAGCGTAGTCTAAGTCTTGATGGACCCCAACCCATCGATATTACCTACATGGTCAATGTGGGAGGAAAATTCAAAGCTTGCCGGCTGCTCAGCACAGAGAAGCATACAAACTGGCGTGCTGCAATTGTTGAGGCATCAGGGTTCTCGCAGACATACAGCTTCAAGCATGAGCTTGCATGGAAGATGTACTCTGCTCCTAAGAACCAGGACCCAGTTGCGGTTGACAATAAAAATGACTACAAAATGATGATCGGTGAGGTTGAAAAAGTGAGAATGAAGAAGGAGCCAATGGTCGCAATCATTATTGGCAACTTGGTATGTAAATGGAATTAAGGCCTACCAGACTGACCATTTACTAACGGATCCATCGGTCAACAGCCGAAAGACAATGCAGAACCATCTCGAGGCAGCAAACAGACTTGGAAGTCAAAGAAGGCAAGAATTGAGCAGCCGAATCCACTAACCTCTGGTTCGGATTCCGAGGCCAATTCTGAGCCTAGGGAGCACAAGATTCCAGGGACATTGTCGGTCCACGAGCTAGAAGAACAGATTAGAAATCAAAATCCTTTCTGCGAGTCGCACAAGCAACACTGCCATGTGTCATCAGCTCATGGTAGTGAAGGTCGGCATGTTGTTCTGACCAAATCAAAGATCAAGTGCTGGGCTCGGACAATTGTATGTGCATTAATATTTACATCATCAGTGATATTTCACTAACTTACTGCAGGATCAGGGTGTTTGCTCAATTAAAGAACCCCCGAAGTACTTCCTTCAGGAAGCTGATGGTGACCTCCCTCCGCTCCAGCGAAGCCGGTGAAAACTATGCCAGCACCCCAACCTCCGACTTCTTTCAACACTCCACTTCCGAGTGCTGGATTGGGGATGATGTCTGCCATGGCCAACACCTCTCTCCAAGGTGGTATCCAAGGTTCCGTCCCATGGCCTGCAATGTATTCGGCATTCCCTCCAATGTACCCACCTTCCTATTACTTTCCGGATCCAAGGACTGCCTTCCACTCCCCCAATAATTACCCGGCACCTAATTACCCAGCACCTGGCTTATATGGTGCCAGTGCACAATTCAGTCATCACCAACGGCAAGGAACATCATGAATGGCCAACTCAAGCAGTGACGACTCTACACCCCCTTCATCGGCATTCCCCACTATTGCACAATGGCTAACAACACTTGAGAGTGATGCGGACTACAACCCTGACCATCTATGCTTCTCTCAATATGCCAGTGAGATCAACAAGCAGGGGTATTACCGCTTGGACGAGCTGTCGCGGGCCTGTCAGAATAAGGGGCTTCATGAACTTGGCGTTCAAATCCCCCCTGGTCTTTCGGAGAAATTGTGTCATGCAATGCGACGTGAAGTTAGGAAAACTTCTCGCAAATTTTTGGCATCACGCAAACTTTAGTGATTTTGTTTCATGTCTTTACTTCATGTTCAACAAAAATGATAGTTAAAATCAAAATACATGTTCAATCTACATGGTACCCGAATCAGTAAACCACCCTTCCGCATCCTGAGATGTTATGGTACAGTAGACATCACACAAATGATTCTCAATGACTGCATCATTCTCTGTATTCATGACTTCCCGAATCCATGTTCCATGGCGACGCAAAATTTGTTTGAATTTGGAGAATGACTCTTCGATTGGGTTGTAGTCAGGAGAGTATGGAGGAAGATAGATCAATTTACACCCACTGAATGATATCCATGTCACCAACAAACTTTTGAGAATAAAAGAATCAGCATACCGTCTCTCAACCATATGCTTGATGGAGGGGTGTTTGTGAATCGAGCAATTGTCCATCACGATAACAGAGTTGTTGAGCGGAAATGGGTTCATTTCTCCTAATAATTTGCAAATGAAGCGACGAAAGTGTCGCATATCATAAGAACCATTCCGTGCTTCAACATAGAGTGGGCTGTCCAATGATAGTCCAGGAAGTACAGAAAATCTATGGAAGGACAAAGACTCAAGCATTAATCCCTCAGCGATCCAGAATAACATGTACCCACCTTTTGCCCTTTAAGCGGCTTGAATGAACACAGGCACGGTACCCCTTCCGCACCCATCCTCTGATCTGTTGTGTGGTACGCTTGTCAACAGCCGTCTCATCGACAAAGACTAACTGGTTTGGGAGATAATTTTCAAGGACATCTTTCCGCCACTCCATACGCTTCTCCTCATTGCGTTCCTGAGCTTTGCGTTGCAACTTGATGTTGAATGGATTAGAATGTAATACAAGAGTTGGTTAGTCATACATACCTTCTTCATGGTAAATCCCTCACGGTTCAGCATCCTCCATATGGATGACTGGGAGACAATTGTGCCCCGTCGATCAATAAGCCTTCGTTGGAGCTCATCTAAGAACAGATCGGGCTGCGCATCCAACAAGCCAATAAGAAACTATAGAATTTGAGGTCAAAATCATCAAAGTTGAACAAGAATATGGATTACCTGTGTGTCTTCTGCACTGAGCTCTCGTGGACGGCCTCCAGCTTTGGGCTGTGGCAGATCAAACTGGCCGTACTTTCGGTAGCGGGCACGCCAGCGCTGGACAGTGTGAACACTAACACCAGAGAGAAATTCTGTCATATCCGAGCCCAGGTAGGCATCTATGCGAAGAACAAGAGCTTTAAATTCACTTGAAAAAGTTGGGGGTGCCATGCAGATATGACGAGGAATGACGGAAATAGCTGACACATTTGAACGAGGAAATTACATAAGGAACAAGTAAATCTCTTGGGCAAGCCCGTCGCATAAGGAGGTTAAGGGAGAGACCGAAAATGTAAGAACTCTCGCCTCAGATTCAATAAAAAGAACCGAGGCAAGAGGAGTTCCAAAAATTTGCCCAAAGCTCAAACCGAGTGGCGGGCTTGGTGTTTGAACACGGAATAGGCATTTGTAACATCAACGGGCAGAAGCCTTTCGCATAGGCGATGTACGCAAGATATGGATCGGAGTATTTGCCAATAACAAGGCTTTAAACCGGAAATCTTTCGTGAGTATGTAGCCATAATATCAAGTACGCACATTATCTCAAGATGTTGTTGCTGTCAATATAAATCCTGGCTAATGCGCAATAGGAAACTACATAAAATGATGTCAAAACCATCAAGGTGGAGGCATAGTACGGCTTACCAGAGACGCCGATGAGTGCTTAACAAGATTGTGAACAAAGTCGAAGTGATCGCAGACGATGATAAGGGGGAGTTGATCGGGAAGTTTCGCCTGTGTATTCGTTTGGCAGGATGCACTCGAAGCGAACCCCAGGAGCTTGCCTGAGATCAACGGTTGGGCCGGGGAATTGGTAGGGAACGGGTAAGGAACTGCATCAGGACCGTCAAGGTGGAAGTGAATGTAATATGGCTTACCAGAGGCACAGGCAGGCGCTTAGTGAGATTGTGAACAAAGTCGAAGCGATCGCAGACGATGATAAGGGGGATTTGATCGGAAAGTTTCGCCTGCGTGTTCGTGTGGCCTTATGGGGGATGTACTCGAAGTGAACCACCTGAGATCAATGATCGGGTCAAGGAAGTGATAAAAAATAAATAAGAAACTATGTAAAATAAAGTCAAAACCACCAAAGTGGAAGGATAATATGGCTTACTTGTATACGATCGCCTGCGCTGAGCTCTCGCAAGTGTGCAGTGATTGAGTTACAGAGCATCGGTGGCGCGTCCTTTGGATCGGCTGGTGGAGATGGCATGCCAGCACTTGACCATGCGGTAACTGCCACCAGAAACAAAGGTATACCTGAGAACAGGTAGGTACCTATGTGGAGAAGGTTTTCTGACACGAGAGTGCCATGGAGAGTGAACAGAGACAATGAACAGAGGCTTCACGGAAGAAGCCGCCAGCGCTCCATATGGCCGCAGGGAAGACGAAAATGATAAAAATCAAAAAGACAACCGATCGACGAAAAAAAAGAAAGGTCCCAAGATGAAAGGTTAAACTCCTCGCTGCGCAACTTTCGCCCCATTATACTGATGGATTGTTGAGAAAATGATGCACAATGAGTTGCATGAATCCCACAGCCACGGGGAATGCGTGAATAACAACAAAAAAACAAAAACGCAACCTATCGACTAACAAAGAAAAAGGTCCCGAGGTGAAGAGTAAGACTCCTTGCTGTCCAAATTTCACCCCATTTCACCTAGCCATTGTCAATAAAATCGTGCACATACAGAATTCTATGAATTTCATTGCCACAAGAAACATGTAAATGACAAAAAAAACAAAAATGCGACTCATCGACAACAAAAAAAAAAGGTCCCGAGGCAAAAGGCAAGACTCCTCGCTGCCTAAATTTTGGCCCATTCCACCGAGTCATTGTCAAGTAAATCATGCACAATGAGTATCATTGCCACGGGGAGCATGTGAACGATAAAAAACTAAGTACACAACCTATCGACGAAAGAAAAAAAAAAGGTCCCTAGATATGGGGCCAAAGCTCTCGCTGCCCAAGTTTCAGCCCATTCCACCCAGCCATTGTCGAGAAAAATGCGCACAAAGGTGAAAAACCTTAACTCGCAAAAAATGAGAATTATGGTTATCGCTCAAAAAGGTCTCGGGAAAATGAATATACGAACATTTTCCAGCAAACCGCAAGTGTTTAACTCATGCGGTTGCTGAGATGTGCAGTGTTCTTTGTCGGCCTTGTTTTCGGGCAGCGGGACAAAAATTGATCACGTGACAATTCAATTGCAAACCGCTGTAATTGAAGGACAATGATGGATTTAGCAAACGGATCCCCTTTGCTTCTGTCAAGAATCTCCTCCTTTGTTATTGCGGCCTTTCTAGCATTCCCAGACTTCTCAATTATCCCGGGGTATCGCTGCAGGTCGTCCCGGTAACCCAACGCACTTTCCGCCGATGGGTCAAAGAAACCATGCATGGCGACAAAGTATGAATGTGTAAAGGTCCACCCTTGTTACAAGTGCAAGTCAGAGCCTGATTTTTGCATTCTCCTCAAATTCAAGGCACACCTTCAACATTCCTGCATTTCTTTGATATTTCCCAGGATTTAAAAAAATCCCTCCATGCAAATACCAGAATGATCTCTGGTGAAAGCAGTGAAAGCAGCGTGAAGCCGACACGGGGTGATCTAAACGACCAGGCACCATAATAGTGCTTTGGCACGTTTGGGTGCACTGCTGTCCAAATGCAGGCAAAGACGGTAAGGAGACAGCTATAGACGATGCCCCACATCGTTCGGCAATTTCGGAGATCGTTGCAAGCATCAGATATATTTGGTGGGAAACTAGTGGCATTGCGAGGGAAGATAGGCGCTGAGTAAACACTGTGAGCAAGAAGAAAGGTGGTGATAAGAGTGATTGCCATCGTGCGGAGTGCGGGTATAGGCACATCAAACATGGACTGAATACGTACGTGTAGGCAGCTTTATACTGTGGACTTACGTATGTTGTTTTGTTAGCCATGTTTGGGGCTCCGAATTACATCTAGCTCATTCACAGTTCTTCGATGACGCAGTGAAGCAGTCCCCCCCAAAAAAAAAAAACAGCCAAATTCCGCGTGAAGGGCACGCATGGTGAGCTCTTACATAAGCACGCAAAGAAAAGGGGGACATCGATCCTCGAGCTTTTCCGGAGAAGCGATGCGCGATCCAGAATTATGTTTATTATAAAAATAAAATAAAATAAAACACCGCGCGCGCGGTTTGGATGGAAGGCCTAGCTGATTGACTATTTAGAAAAATGGTGGGCACTCACCATTTATTTTTTGCTATGCTTGCTGGACTTGTGCGAGCTTGTATGTGATCAGAAATAATTGATTCACACTTTATAGTAAACCTCCTGAACAAACCGAAAACGAGAAGCACATCACGCAGATCCGCAACTGCATAGTCTCGGAAATGAATTACCGCATTTTCATTCGGATGCACGTGTTGAACACCATGGGGCCAAGGCTACATAATGAATTCCCTCTTCTTGGGACCTTTCAGAGAAAACTCGGGAATCCCTGTTGAATGCGAGTCGCAATCCTCGTCAGACAGTGAATACCCTCTCACAGCTCCTGAATCATCGAGGTCAAGTCAGCCCCGGTCAGTCCCGAAGCCCGCGTGATCCTAGCCCAACCCCCGGTTGCCGGAACGAAGCTAACAAGTCAGTCAGGGCACATTCCACAGCGGGCCCGCACAGTGGCATGACCATTTGTTGAGTTTATTCATACTATAACCCCGTATTAGAATTCTTGGGATCGTAGCGTACGCTGAGGCCATCCTCGTTCCTACTGGAGCCAGCACCCGTTTGAGGCCACGCGGCGTTTTGTGGTCGGGTCATCCATGAGACTTTATCTCTGGCTCTTCACTTCCGGAACTTCACCGTGCGCCTTGTCGTGTTTTATTTAACGCAACCCGCTCATTCGCTATTGCTTGGTCGCAAGTTGTTCATGGGGTGTTCTTGCACTTATTGGCGGTGCATATGTTGACCGTTTCGCATGGCCGCCACCCGGTGTCTGCTGCACGTCTGATAGGCCTCTTGGTTTATCAGGCGATCGTGGCCTTGAAATCGTACTTACATGCTGGATTCACTTTGGGGTGCAAATGCTCCTGGTCAACCTGGGGCCATGCACAGAGCGCCAGCCATCGTGCATTATTTGCCACCGCATGCGTACTCTGCCATCCTTTTTCCTTTGGATCCCCGCCGAGCCTCGTTCAAGCCATGAACTGTATCTTGTCCAGTTGGGCTTAAGTTTCAAATTTACCAGACACCTGGTGTCGACCGTTTTCGACCGGGTGCTGTGGACATGAACGATTGAAGTCGATCCTCCCCATACACACCATGCTTTGTGCAGGACGCTGGCAGCTGCTTTTGTGAAGGGGGTTCGTCATCGACAAACAACTGCAATAACACGCTTCGTCTGACTCTGTCAATCTCTTAGATGTCATTCAAGTCCCCACCCCCATAGATCGCCATGCCAGTCCTGTCAACGGTAGCACAACTGCTTCCACAGTAGATTAAAATCAGAAGCACAAATGTGCACATATCTATCCGAGATGCGGGAGAAATGAGGTCCAAGACGGGGTCCGGTATAGATCAGGAGGAGGTGAACGCAAAGAAGTGAGAACAAGATAATCCGGGCAGCGGCGTAAGTAATTTCCATGAGTGCCTCGAATATTAAAACTATGGCGGAGCGAGAATCAGCGGAGTGATCGCCAGACACTATGCCTACACCAAGAATCTCAGCCACAGCAAAACGATACCAATCTTCAACACGGCGGGAACTGGTTCTGCGTCTCGACATGGACAGAATAGGGGACGCTATCATATGTATCGCTGAAATTCGCCACAGAATCATCTCTGCACGTGTCGGAAAGGAAAATGACCATGCAAAGCAATGGATTCCACCAAAGATGATCCCAGTGGCCACACCAGCCCAAATAGGACCATATCCAACGATCTCCGCTAGAGTGGGATTCAGAACTGCCCCATTCTCCAGACTGGGCGCTGGCTGATCGGCATCGAGGTCCTTGGAATTCGGAGGATCAGAACGGTTGGAATCTTTCGTCACGCGGATCGGGAATCGGATGAGAGTAGGTTTATGCCACCACAGCATGTAATCGATGACACTTAGTGTCGCATACGCCAACGTCATTGTCTCGAGTTGCGATCTGTGTAAATGGCCCGCCCATCGTCCGATGTAATGAATGATAAACCATAGTAGTTGAAGGATAACGATGAATTTTGCAAACCAGTCCCCTTTGCTTCTGTCAAGAATTTCCTCCTTTGTTACTATAACCTTCCTAGCGCCATTCTCCTTCTCAATTATGCCGGGGTATTTCCCGAGGACATCCAAAGGATTTTCGCTCCTTTTGGGAACTACTGCTGCTCCTTTGGATGGGTCAAAGAAACCGTTCATGATGACAAAGAATGAATGCGTCATCGTCCATCCTTGTAAAAAGCAGAGGTTGTCATGTGTATTTCCCCTTGAATTCAGGGCACACCTTTGATCATCTCGCATTTTCCTGTTATTCTCCGAGCCTCCAAGAAATCCCCCAACGCTCCCCCTAGAAGGATTTCCGGTGTAACCAGTGCTAGGATCATCAAGTAACCGCGAGACGATCCAGACACCAGGGTACTACGATCATTGGGATTTCGTATGTTTGGGTGCACTGCCGTCCAAATGCACGCAACAATGGTAAGGAGACAGGTATAGATGATGCTCCACATAGTTTGGCAATTGCGTAGGTCATTACAAGCATCAGACACATCTAGCGAGAGACTGATGTTATGAGGGAGGATAGGCACTGCATGAACACCGTAGGCAAGAATGAATGTGATGAGAGTGGTTGTCATCGGAGTGGGGATTACGGGCCTATCAGACGTAAACCAAGTATATGCTTTATATATACTGTGGACCAGCGCGGATGCGCGCGTGGAAGTTGCGCCGGCATGGAAATAGAAACGGTTGATTCCCTCTATTAGTTCCCCAGAATTGCCGGAGGAGGACACGAGCAGCAGGGGATCTCATATCGAATACAACTTCTCGCCAGGCAGTTGCCGTCGAATAAACCTCCAAGCTTTCTGGACGAACCGAAATGAGAAGGTATGAGAATCACATCATGCAGGCCCGTAATCTCGGAAATCAAACGCCGTATCCTCATTCACTCAGAACAGATGCGCGTGTTGAACATGCGCTAGCAAGGAGGCAAAGTTAATGAATCCCCTCCTTATCGGTTCTCAGGAACTGTCAAAGAAAACTCGACCACCAGGGAGTACCAGTTGAATGAAACCAGGCGAATCTTCGCCCGAGAGCTGAGGCCACCTGGCAATCATCGAGGCCGACGAACCCTTGCTTAGTCCTGGACCTCGTACATCGCATTTCGTTTTCGAATCTTAGCCACAAAGTAATCCGGGGTCGCAGGAGCAAGGCTACCAGTTGGCCAGGTACATTGCATAGCGGACCGCTAGAATCACTTATTGAGCTCATTCATGCAATGGTATTGCCACTTTCGATTAGCCCTGAATCTGCAGCCACGTAAAGACCTTTCCGTTGTATGTGCCTTGACCGAATGAAGACTGCTGGATCCGATGGGACTACTAGCAGTCAAGAGGTTCTAACCTGTTTAAGGTCCCAAGAATGCGTCAAGTGATCCTCAAGCTTCTCTAAAGAAACAATGAGAAGCATACCGTGGGGAACCTTGTTCGTGGGTTCTCGGATATTAAACACCTTATCCTCATACTTCAAACTGATGCGCGCGTTGAACTTTGCGCCTGGATAAAGCAGAAACAATGGATCCACTCTTCAGTTTCTCCAGAACCGTCGGAGGAACTCAAGGACCAAGCGATCACTGTTGGGTGCAACTCGTAAGTCCTCACCAGATGGCAGATGCCACCTCGCAGTTTCCGATCATCAAATGCCCGCGAGCCTTGCTCAGTCCTGGGACTCGCGCATCGCATTTCCCCCGAATGCTAGCCGAAAAGTAACCCGAAATGGCAGAAGTGAAGTCACAAGTTAGCCAGTTGTACATTGCACATCGAACCCGCAAGGTACCATAGTTATTCGTTGAGTTCGTCCACACGATGACGTTGGCACTTTCGTTCAGGTCTGGATACATGGCTATGTATAGACCTGCCTGTACCTTGTGCGCGCTTTGAACGAATGGGGACCACCGGATCCGCAAAGCATCTCACAGCCCCGCAGCGAGTGTCCTGTGTGGATCCCGACTACACGGTTCCATATGTCAACATCAACAGACTCGTAGGTTCTGAGCCTTACGCTCACCACATCTGCCAGGCGCTGCTGGTTGTGAAGGGAGGAGAGCCCAAAGGGGTGAGGCACCAGGGGGGATAAGACCCAAAAAAGCAAGAGGACAGAAGTGGATAGCATGCAATGTAAAGGGACGAAAACCGGAGGACGAGCCTAAAAGAAGGCTGTGAGAACAGCACTTCCTGAGTTCCTGAGTAATAAGGCTACTGGCAGTCAAGAGATGCTGACTTGCACTTGCTTGGATCCCAAGCGAACACTGTAAGGGCAGTCGCGAAATTGATGCTATAGTACACTGTTGGATTGCAGAGGACCACCCATATAAGAGTTTGAGAATGGCAAAAGCGCCTGAAATAGGTATGCGTAATGCAGTCATGCATGTGCGACGGATGGAACGTTAGGCAGACGAGTGAATCAATGAGTTCCATTCAGTGTGGTGCAGCAGAAACGCGATGAAGCACCTACTCTTGGTAGGAAATGAGCATGTTAGGAACGTCTTTGTATAATCCCTGAATGACGACGGACATAGGGCGATCGAATGGAGGGCTTCTTCCATGTTGTTTTCGGCATACTCGTTGCGTTTCCTGGAGTAGGTCACGCGCAGCGAACTATGCTGCAGAGTGCGTGTTGTCTGGTATGGAGATATGGTGTCAAGCTTCGCTTGTTCTGCCGACTGCGTCATGGCTGAACCCACAATGGCCGAGTCGCTGATCGCATCCGCTCGCTATTCCTTCTTGTTCCATGTTATATGGACTCTTATCATTCGCTAGTGATTTAGAATGGTTTGGTGGTGGCCATCTTCAACGACGGTGCCGCCAAAGGATTTGAATTGAATCATCAGACTCATTCCAGTGATTTTATCTGCCAAGTAATATACACTTTATACACCATCAAATAACCACCTACCAGTGTTAGATTTTTCGACTGTGCCAGGGGCACACAATGAGTAAATTCAACAATCCGGTCTCTTGTGCAGTTTTCAATCATGCACCGTCCTTTGTTAGGATCTACATCTTCAACACGATTCTTTGTGTGTCTTGAAAGCCCTGAAGTGTGTGATTGTAATTGAGTGGGTGTTGTATCGATTGTGCCATGGAACACCGAGATCTCCCCATATTCGCTACCGGACTGGTCATCTTCTGTAAGTACGGTCTTTGTGGATGCCTCTTCAACGTCGCCCGTGTAAGTTACTCATTCCGACGGTAGGTCACGTTGTGTACGTATTACATAAGTCACCGTCCGTATGGGGTTACAGTAGGCAGGATTCCAGCCTCTACTAGGGTTACAGCTTAACCATTCCCCTATTCATCTTGACATCGCACCGATATCCCTGAACCGATACCTCTCATTATCTCTGCCGCCGCTATGGTGCCGGCAATAAGGATGTCGGACTGTCATTGCAACATCATGAGACTCACTTGACCTGTGATAAGGGTTTAACTAGGAGTCTTCCCTGGCCAGCATCCATTGTGGGGGCATGCCCTTTACCATCTCTGCCATAATTGGCGAGCCCGTGAAGACCATGGCGGATTATTCTAGTGGGATGGACCTCACCCGCCACTGAGAGGATCAAGTGCAAAGATCTATCAGGAAAAATACCGAGTTCGATTAATCCCAATAGTAACTCCGTCCTATGGACTTCACCTATGTTACGTACGTTCTCGCTATGTTTTGAGACTTTCATTCAAGTCGGGCCCCTTCCTTGGACAACACGATGCCCCTGTAATTGTGTCACGAGTGCCTTTGGCCCATCTGGCCTGTTCTTGGCCATCGAGTTTGGCTAGAGGCTTCCATTTAGGTCCTCCCTTCCTCGTCTTTCCATGTGGTTGCGTCTAGAAAGTCTAATGTTGGAGAGCGTGGAAGACTAAGATGACAAAGCGGATCGCCATTTGGTACCACCTCGTTCAAAACGACGGTTTTTTTTTTACCCACGCGTAGTTCGAACCGATAGAGCAGACAGGGTGAGATGAACAGCGTGTGGAGTTGAAAAACAGGAGGTTTTTATACTCTCCTTGTACTTGTTCGAAGCACTCTGACGCACGTTGCCATAAGCCGAGGGATTCACGACTCCTGTATACTGGTCAGACTAATCATAATAAAATACAATATGCGCAGTGACGAAACGACACTCGGGAAGAGGAAAGTGTATGGGGGAGGGGATCTTTGAATGCTCCGAATTTTACACATGTAGCAAGCAAATAAGGCCCAAATTTCACTGTATACGACTCATAGACTAAGTCATTTTCCAGCCGGACTCGAACAGTCAAGAACAGGTAAGCCTCCACAAGGGGAAATGGTGAAAATGTACGTACTCGCACAGAGACGCGGCAAAGGCATTCAGTTGTACAATTCCCATTTATTGCGGGCTCCTAGACGTTCTCAAGAATATATTCAGGTGTTCCAGGCGGCTTGAAGTAGTCGCAGGGGTCTGGATTGGCATCATCAGTCTTCTTCGTTGAACTGACCTGAATTGAAATAACGTACCTGCCACTTTGCTTGCTGTCCTCCAGCCACGATTTCCAGTTGAGACTGCGGCCAAGTGTCCAGGCTGGTGTGTACGATGTCTCCGATGCGTGACAGTACCAGGAGATCCTTATCCGGTGCCTCGAATTTGGCTCGTTGACCTTTCGAAACCCCACATTTCCTGACTGCGGCTGGACTCTGGCGCGATGATACTTATACGAGGTAATGACCACGACTCGCCGTGATGTTACATTTATATTTATTGCAAATCCTTCCCGTACAGGTGTAACTGAACGCAAAATTCATTGTTTAGCCTGAGCTCCTTGCCTGCGGAAGATATTATCAAGAGATTCGAGTGTTGCATTAATGAGTGCAGCAGCACCGAGAGATCTAGGCGTCAAATTGCAAGCTACGTTGTCGATTACACTAATGAGAAGGGAAATGAGCGATAACGCGCGGATAGCGGATGACAAGTAACGTAAAGGGCATACTTTGCGTGGCCTATACGGAGGTCAGGTTCGATGCAACCCTCTCCGACGCGCTGGGAGATACTGAAGGTTGATAAAATGGATGAAACCGTGATGAAGATGACAGCGTCTGCAAAGTGCGAACCGACGCATTTCCTAAAAGGAATGGCTCAATGCATGGATAAGTTGCAACAAAGCATAGAATAAATACCTTCTCCCAAACCCAAAGCTAATCTCCCTTGGATTCAGAGCTGGAGTTTTACCCAAGTGGCGTTCAGGTCTAAATTCTTCAGGATCAGGGTAATAATTTCCATCCCTGCTCATCCCCCTTCGAACATGCAATGTCGTCAGGAATGCCCTAAACGTTCATCAAGGCGCGGGCTGGTGAACAGACTGACCACTGATTTGCCATAATGAACGAGTCCTCTGGGATGAAATAACCTAGGTCGAGGCATCAATACCTTACGTTAGCGTCAAGAAGGGGAAATCATACCCTCAAAAACATCATCGTGAATTGGCGCGTGACCCGGGCCCATTGGGGTTGCTAACAAACGTTACAACATGTGAAGGATAACTAGCCTAGTGAAACAATACCTACCTGGGTGCCATCTATATACCTCCTTGATCAAGGCCTCGAGGTAGGGGAGCCGGCTTTGACTGCGGGGAGCGAAGAAAATAGCATCAGCGGAGGCGTTTCCCGAGCACGTGGCTCCCACCCACTCATCAAATGTTGGTAAACGTAGGACTTCATTCCTAGCCGAGGTCCCCAGTACTGAGTCCAATTCCTCCTGTGCTTTTCGCTGTACTGCAGGAAAGAGCATCATGGAGATAAGGAATGCGTTGATCACCGTGGCCGTCGATTCGATCCCAGCAGCATACAAAGTGCCGACGGCGTTTTTAACAGAATCCGGACTCTTCCCAGACGATAAGAGTCTATTCACAAGGCACGACGATTCGGTTCTCTAACAATAGGCATCAGAAATGCATCTAGCCGAAAAACATGCTTTTCTAACATACCTTCCTTTCCTGAGACGTTGCGTACTCAAAGGGTCGATTCATAAGCTCCGCGCGAGCGGCGCGCCAATACTACGCAGAAGTTGTACGATATCAGCATGTATCATAGACGATGCAATGGAAAATCACTTTGGCTTCCTTCTTGAACCCAGCGAATGGGAAAAAACTGGGAATATGAGCGAGGAAAGGGAAGAAGTCAACGAGATATCGGCCAAACAAGCCGGAAGTGATTGCTTGAACCAATTTTTCGGCGTCCTTCAAATACTGGAGAACGCATGAGTAAAGAAACTAGAAACTACTCACACTTACTTACCGGATCTTCGGGGGATATGACCGTTATTCCGTATGTCGTCTTGAGGATCATTGCGCCAATGCGACTTGAAACGGATTATTTGGCAAGGACCTAGTGAAGAACACTGGAAACTCACAAACGAAGACTTTCGGTCACTTCATGCGGATCATTGAGAGCATCGGCAAGTATGTGGAGTGCTGACTCCTGGAGTTCAGTATGAAATTCAGCCATCGCACCTTTGGCGATCACTTGGCGAAGTAGCCCCCGGTGCTCCCTCCAAAGGGCTCCATAAGGGGCAAGGGCAAAGCTTTCTGAGAAACCCATCCTACGGGCCCATTGGGAAAGATGAGACGGGCCCTGGGAGTCAACGCTGGCGCTCACAATTCCCCAAACATAGCCATCGTAGGACGATTCGAATAAATCGCCGCGTCCTTCTCAAGCATGTGCTTGGCTACGTCGTAGCTGTTAAGAACAACCATCTGACGGCCAAAGAGGTTGAAACGGATGATGTTCCCTGCAGGTTCATCCAGACCATTGATTGGTACACCTGAGGGTAACGGCTGTGTATCAATATTGCATACCGTAAATGTTCCGCATTTCGAATAATTTCTTCCAAGGAAGTGATTCTTTCGGGTGCGGGCGAAGGAGGGGGTAAGCAACAAGGCCACCGGCCACTGGGCCAGGGGGATATGGGAACCCCTTGGAGCGACGTCTCAGACGACGAGCATGAGCAAGCCTCCAAACCGCTAAAACCAATAAGAGAAGCCACATGATTGTCGAGAACATATTATGGACTGCCGATAGATAGCTTGGAAGGGGAGAAATTGAGGAGTGGGTCCATGAGGACGCCTCAAATTATATCGAGAGTGAGAGCGGGCTCGGAGAACACTGAGGTGCTGCTGGATTTACTGGCGACCCTATCTTTGGCCTCTGTTCAGGTTGAAGAGACAAGTTTCTTCCGCCTGTTTCACGTTTGTTAGTTCAAGGGTTGCCCGTTAACAAGCTGGTTCTTCAACTTGAACAGAGTCTTAAGCGACAATTATCGGAGATTCGGCGAAAGCAACTGGCTGATAGGGCTTGCGTACCCATCATGATGTTAACCATGGCCGTTCATAGCTGTGATAAAAGGTAATGTGCAACTTCCACCAGCAAACGAATAAAGTTGATTCAGTTAATTCAGTACAAACACTTTGTGCACTGTACTGCGTCGCAGATGGCAACACTAGCACCCGCTGAGACAATATGGACACCGTAAAGAAGCAGTTTCAAACACAAAATGAGTATTTCTCAAGAGACCTAGACCGCTAAGACAAAACTGTCGGCACAAACATGTGTAAATACATGTTTCGGGTTCAGTTCTCCTTGCGACGAATAGTTTTAGTGGAGAGGAATTCTGCTGCGTGGGTATGCATGTACACGTCATATGGGCTGTTCGCATATTCATACGTTGGTACTGTACATGTCAATTCGCCCCCGGATGGTTAATTCAAGTACATCCAAGTGACTGCCGTCTTTGGACACTGGGTACGTTCTCATCCTTCCTCCATCCTCAGCTAGCTAGATGGGGTATGACACAATATCCCAACTGGCTACTATTCACAAAAGATTAATAATCTGGTAATTTCACCCAAAATCCCGGTGTCTACACGCAAAATGCAAAAATGTCACCATTCAAGGATGAATCACCGATTCCAAGTCCTGACCGATCACCGATCGGCATGCGCAGAATGAATAACGCGGGACGAATAACGATGTGACCTCTTAGTTCTTGTGTTGTCATACTCGCAACTGGGACGCGCCAGCCGAGCCGAACCGCGGGTATCCATTTTGTCCTTGACCGCTAAACCTTATTATTTTATACGAGAATAGACGTACGCATCGCTTGGGTGCACTCCCTGAACATTTTGAAGCGCGAGTCGCAGGTCCATACCTCGCTCTCAACGTGTGGCCCAGTGTCTTGGATTCTGCGCGCTTTAAATAACGATCTGCCAGTGGCTGAAAAGGTTGTTGGAGAGACGTGATCTATGCGTACCAATTGCACTCCTAGGTCCGCTTGGACTCGATCATAATCGAAGTTGACCTCTCGCATATATATAAGTGGAAAGTCACAATGTCCAGGAGTAATAGGAAATGAGATATTTCGCATGGAATTAATTGGGTAGAAGAACAGTCCATGTTATGAAAATTGTTCCAAGTCAGTTTCTTCGTCCTTGAAACGGTGAATTACAAGTATTAAGCCTAGCCCCCCGGCGGAGTGTCGCTCATGGAACCATCCTCCCGGAGCAACTGTCCTGGAATAAGTAGGCTTGGAAACCTCGGGATCCATGTTTGACCGCTTGGCTTCGAGACTCCCTGGTGCTTAGATTACTCTCAATGGCGATCGCCTTCGCAGTCCTCTTCATTGTCGTTGAACCAAGGAACACATCCAACCCCTCTGGCTTCTACCGGGATTTCCAACATCTTTGTTGCACAATGCAATTTCGCCGTGATTTTCTCGTTATGGTTCCAGAGTGTCCAGTTGGCCTCACTCGGAAGCTGGCAGGCTGGTAATCAAAGCCTGGCAGCCGTCGCTACTGGTCACTTCGGTGGGAGTGCATGAATCGCTTCGCACTAAAGATAGGATTGAGAGTGATCGGAAGGCATGAAGCATAGAGTGAACGATTCGAAGGAACAGGAGGGTTGTCAAAGGAGAATCGAGAGCCCCAGACGTCCGTCGTATCGATGTAAAGCGAAACGTGCTCAAGACGAGGGCATGCCTCTGCGATCGATCGTATGATTTCCAGCGTTAGGCCCGGATTTATATGGGGATGAAGCCTAAAACTTCAAGGTTGGGCAACGGCGCAACCTCGAGCATGTATTTACAGGTGTTTGTGTCGACAATTATCTCTTACATAAGCGACTCGCAAGTCGTGCTTGCAGCGTATGGTGACATGTTATTCGAGGATGCTGACCGGGGACTTTTGTGGTTATTTTTTTTTTCCCCAACAGATGCGCAGAATGGTATTGGAAATCGGCAACTCTGATGCGCCGCGCGGGGGCCAGACAACTTGTTCATCCTCCTCAGTCTTGCTAATTTCTGCTAAACATGCTGCAGGGCGCTTGCAATGACTTAAAAGGACGGCGTCATCTGGCCCCACAGGCCCAGGGATAGTCTCACTGATGTTTGATCCAGCACAATCTGTAAAACACGAGTATTTCCATCTACATAATAATTCGGTTTCTTTACCTTATTCGTACACAGGCCTGGACGCCACAGCACCTCAGCGGGTTTCGCGTCTCACCAAGAGCCGTTTTGGAGCGCCTCGCTGTTTGGACTTTCCGTCTCTTGCGCAATCGTGACGTGCGGACTTTATGTCCCCGATGTTTTAAGAACATTCAATGTAATATTAATGCTAGTTCCTTATCATAGCTCACTCTACACGGAGGCCATTGGCTCTTCCTCGCATCTACGCAGGGAACGTTAGAGCTCCGGGATATCCACCATGATCAGCATCGTCAGCCACTTGATCTCCATTCTACTGGCGGAGGAGCTGGTTCATTCTCTTCAAACGGATGTCGATTACCCTATTCATGTTGTCTCGCACAGGTCGCTCGCGTTCCCCATCCATATGGTGTTACTTACATTTGATACCAACAATCACAGGCCCCAGCTGCCAGAATCCGCATTAGGTGGTCATTCGACGCTCACTCATCTGAGGGCATATGACGCTGCTTCTGAGCCACTTGCTGCACGTAATGACCCCATCTTATTTGCTACTTCAGTTCAACCGGAAGTGTTAACGATTGCGAGAATGGTGCAACACACACTCTCACTTCCAAAGTTGATGATGTTGCCACAAACATTGCAAGTTTGCCTGATGGCGTGAACTGAGAGCCACAACTTTCATCTTATACGTATGTATGGGGGGTGGGCAACGTAGGTTGGTTCCGTGTTCCGCTTATGTAATCACATGGAGCAGAAAAGTGTACCAAAAATGTCTCGTGTACTTTCTCACCACACACAACAAATAAAGAGAAACATCATTAGTAAACATTAATCAGATTGACCTAAAATAAAAATCGTTCAGAGGAATTTTTGAGAAAGTCAAAAATGGCTGTGTTGTGGTCGAGGAAATGTGTATAATTTGCCCATATCTTCAATTGTAGGAAGTTACACGCAAATTCCTCTGAACGTTTTGTAGAAATCTACTATCTGCACCATATCCCCGATTTATATGCTCTCAGGAGGATACTGGAGAGAGAAAGTACAAACAGGGATTTTTGTTATGGTTTATTTGTACTTGTGCGCTGCATTGGGGCAAACATGACCCAGCTGGTACCCTTGACACTTAATCTGGACTCATATTTCTGAAATCTAGCCTGTATTAGATGCTGACACAAGCACTGGCTTCACTGCATAGCTTATATTGGCCTGCTTTCTCATAAGACTTGATAAATTAAACGGAAGTACAAATAAACCATAACAAAAATCCCCGTTTGCACTTTCTCTCTCCAGTATCCTCCTGAGAGCATATAAATCGGGGATATGGTGCAGATAGTAGATTTCTACAAAACGTTCAGAGGAATTTGCGTGTAACTTCCTACAATTGAAGATATGGGCAAATTATACACATTTCCTCGACCACAACACAGCCATTTTTGACTTTCTCAAAAATTCCTCTGAACGATTTTTATTTTAGGTCAATCTGATTAATGTTTACTAATGATGTTTCTCTTTACTAGAGTGCTTGTGTTTCGTGCTTTGCTTGACTCTGCACAGCCCTTGTTTCCTTTCGCCTGTCCCAGCATGAATCTATTTCTAATTTTTTTCAGTTCGTTTCATGAATATACTTAGGCTGTAAAAATATGTGTTTACATAATTGGAATGCAGACATCCAACAAACACAATCCAACTTTTCCAGTCATTCAGAGTCTGGAATTATTTAAAGGCAAAGTGAAAAAGAAGGTGGTATGGTGATAAACCACAATGGAACCAGCATACACCTTCACGGACTACCATGTGCAAGGACAGACGATGGAATACCTGTGGTCAGACATAGGAACACATTGACACCTTTTAATGCATGCATGACATTGTCACATGCAAGAGGCATATGATTATGTAAACCGAGACTTTAAGGACAAGAACCGAGTGAGAGTGCAAGGGAGAGAAGGGACAGGTGAGATGACGTAAAGGAAAGCATGTAAAGAAAAGGAAACAACCCAAAAGGGAAGATGATGACAAATTTTCAGCGTTGCCAATTGCGTAATATCGGGAGTGGTTAGTGACTAGAGTGCGTGCTTCGCATCACGGAAACCTGCACAGCCATGGCAGCAGAAACATTGTGGTATTAAATCAAACACGCTTTTTGACAGTATGTACATAGAGCTTAGTCGGGCGAGGTGTTTCTTTGAGACAAGAAGGTAGGACGAGTAGGAGGGGGGCCTCAGACAGATCAGAAACTAAGAAGTGAGAAAGATTTTGGCCGCAATCGGCGTTTCTGTGAGAGGGGCCGCCTTTCAGCATTTTTTTGAGATGTGTCATGACTGTGACTTACAGAGAGCCCGTTTGGATGGGGATGCAGTGAGGGTTGCAATGTCATTCTTGGGAGTAGGGCCATTGCCAAGGTAAGTGACTCCGATGAGTTTAAAGGCAGCCCGGTTTAGGTTGGTGCAGGTTTCAGTGAACTTTTCCAAGAGGCATTGAGTGACCACTATGTCACCAGGTTTGAGATCGAGGGGGTAGGGCAAATTTTGTTGGAAAACAGCGCGCTAGCGCGGCCGTGCGAGTTTTCGTACAGCCACATTCCCACGGCTGAGCGAGGAACTCGCCCGGCCAGCCACATCTATTTATTCATTCTTTTGTATTCATTTCGGACTATCCCGCTCCCAAACTACATGGGAATTACCGCTCTTTGAATCACTTTTTCCCTCAGTTCTCTTTTGCATTATTTGCTTGAGACTGAGGTTAGCAACAATCATTCCTTTATTTCAACCTATACTTATATACTGTATATTACCTCTAGTTGCCCCGCTTCGCTAGGTAATATATTCTAGTTCTCTTTCGCATTATTTGCTTGAGACTGAGTTGCCCCGCTTCGCTAGCAATCTCATATTGTTGGAATTTGTACACGTGGTCTCAGGAACCTTAATGCATAAAATATGGACATTCTGGGAGTCGAACCGCAGAGCCCTGCATAGGTACCTTGAGTGTGTTGCCATTACACTAAATGCCCGCATTAGGCGGAGGTGGTTTCTAACACATATTACTTTAAATTTTTGTCCTGTTGGAAGTTGTAGGACCCAAGCGGTTTGGCATCATGGATGTTCTTGAATGGGTCATCCTGTGAGAGGTATGATACAGTGAAGAAACAAAAGCATCACGGGAATGAGATAGTCACCTCAGGTGCAAACACGGACATGGGCACAGACTCCGAAGAGATGCTGATATTCTTGACGTTCTCTGGAGAGGAAAGGAGGTGGGTGGGATCACATCCTCATGGAAGTAAGGGAACGTACTGCTGGTAAACATTTTGATGAAGGTTGCAGTGTTAATGAACCCCTGGCATGTTAGGGGGATTAGATCAAGAGCATAGTTGCTTTGGTATTGCTTGGCATGCTTCACAATTCCTAAAAGTAAAAATCGAAGTTTGGCTCCAATACCATTCTTTCCAATCATTGACTTGAAAGCGTAGATTTTGTGACATGCCAAGAACCCGAAACGATTGTCAGAGGGTTTAACGAGTTCCATGGCAATGATTCCTTCATCGTGTAGGTATTCGATTTCAGTGAAAGCATAAAGGTGCCTAAGTGTGACCATTAGCAACACAACTGATATGTAGAGTTGAATACATACTTGAGGAAATCATCAGGGAAGCGACGGCGGTTGTTGAAAATTGTATCCGGGGCATAGTCCGTTGCAAGGACAGAGTCAATGTCTGTAAGACCGTCATGGGGAGTGGTAGTGAATCTAGTCAAAACAAAAGCGGAGGGGTGTAGGATGATTTGGGACGCAGCCTTTTCTTCTTCTTCCTTTTCGTCCTCCTTTGTATCTAGGATGTTATTATCAGCAAAGAAGTGTTGACAAGCAGTACTACCTACCATCACCCACTGTGTCAGACCAGGCATCTGGGGAGATGAGGGGAGGGAGGTCTGCTGGAGTGCTTTCATTTGAATTAGTCGCTTCTTTGTCTGATGGTGTGTAAGAATCCAGTGAGTGTGAAACATAGTTTATGAGAGAGTAAGTGATGAACGAACCTTTTGATTCAGTAGTAATGGTCGTGTCCGTGGTGGTCTCAATAATCAATTCTGAGGTAAGATTATTAGGCAGTTATAGGGTTGCCGTTGAGGGAGGATGTATAGTGACCTGAGGCGGATGCAGCTGCTGGATTATCTGAGGGTGTAGTGGTCGCTGGAGTGTGTGTATGAGCAGTTAGTGGAGGGTCGATGAAGGATGGAGGAGATATACTTTGTGGAAGATCGGTCGAAGATGTGTTCTTGATTGGTGTGGACATAGAGGTATTGCATTTAGTTTTAGTCATAGTGTCTGTGCAGTGTGGTTTGAGGAGAGGGAGGGGATTTGAGAGTGAGGGAAATGTCAGCAGTGGATTAAGTGGGTGTATAAGTAGGAGGAAGCCGTAGCGTCAAGTGAGAGGAGCGTGTATTGGGAGAATGATAAAATCCGTTGGCAAAGCTAACATTGATTCAGAATGGAAGGGGTCATGGGAGGTCAGCATGTGCCCACAGTTTAAGACTCTGTGGAGAGGTGGACATTGCCCGCTTTGACCCAGTAAGTTGGATCTAAAGAGAATTAGGTTAATTGGAACACTGTTGGAAATTCATCACTTTACTGCTTGTTGTCGTTTCCATTGAGGTTCCAGGGAAGCGGAGTGAAAAGATAAGAAATGTATGTGGGCACTGTTATGGACATAGGGGAACAATCAGCAGGGAGGATCATGTGTCGATCTATGAGTGGATCTGATGCCAGAAGCGGAGTGTTGGAGGCAAGTGAGAGAAGATGTTATTCCACATCCCATAGCGCTGGGAGACTTGTTAACCCATGAGGAGAGTAGTGTATGTTGGCTGCGTGGTTCGTTGGTAGTGGGGACAGAAGTTAGGAGATTTTAATGAAGTATTGTTAAGACTGGATAACAGAGTTTTCGGAGTAGTGGACACATTTCAGCAAAGTAGTAAAGCCTTTTATCAAAGATGCAGAGAGCCTCACCTTTGTACTTTCAGAGTCTTTATTGCCATGGCCTGGCATAGACTGTCGAAACCAGACGTTGTTTCGGTGATCGAGCGGGAAGGGGTACACTTAACTTGTGCACAGAAACGCTCTCGTAATCGGCTGAATGAGGAAGTGGGTCGTAGTGGAGATGTAGTGATTCAGGCATTGAATGATTTGGCACGGGAGCGCGGTCTCAATCGAACATTTCTTGATTCTGCAAGTGGGGAAGAGAAAGTGGCTTGTGTGACAGACTACTTGAGTGCACTCTCGAATGCAGCTGTGAAAGGGGGAGTGTGTGGGTGTTGTGGCAGGGACATAGGGGCTGGGGCTTGGATGGAGGTAGCATTTGCCGATATTCCAAACGTTCATCACTTGGAGCCACATCCTGTCCATGAGGGCATGCAGTTGACCTCGGGGCTCTTAGTGATCAAAGCCACCATATGTGAAACGGAGGAGGGAGCATGGTATATGGGGGTGTGTTATGAGTGTCTAGCGTCATTGAAGAGAAACAAGAAGCCTCTTTTTTCTTTGATGAATGGGTTATGGGTGGGAGACATACCCGATGAGATAGCTGATTTAACAATTCCTGAGCAGATGCTACTCGCTCTGGTCTATCCTCATTGTTTCATGTTCAAGATGCATCCAGTTAATTCTCGAGGGATCGATCCAGACTCGATGCAACGTGGAATGGTTGGAAATGTTATGAGTTACGACATGGACACAGGAGAGATCATTGATATGCTGGAAGGAAGAAAGATGCCTCGACGCACCCAGATTCTCTCATCTGTCATCACCATGACATATCTGGGATGAGGGCATCTGCCGAAGCATTGGCTCAAGAGCACTTTCCGCATCCGTCGTAGGAAGGTACTTCTTGCATTACAGTGGCTGATTGTGAACAATCCTTGGTATGCGGGATTTGAAGTGGACATGGATATAGTATCATCCCTTCCAGAGGATGATGTGCCATTAGAGATTCTGGCGGCAGCGAGACAAGAAGTGGATGTTAGTTTGCTGAATAGGGAAAATGACAGTTACACTGCAAATGACGAGAGCGGAGGTGGGTTAACATGAATACTGATTATCACTATGACTGTTGCTGAGATGCGTGTTTTTAACAGTCCAAGCTGCGATGGATGGTGAAGAAGGAGCGGATTGTGAGAATCTACTGTGATTATAGTAAATGGTTATGCTTACATATTGACAGTAGCAGATGCAGAGAAAGAGCCTAGTGTGGTTCCTCTTATGCACTTGGGTGTAGCGGTGCAGGATATCAGTTTATTGTCAAGTGGGGACTTACTGAAGCATGCACTGGCGAATCTGTCCACTGAGGGTGGATACGTGGTTTGATCACAGACACAGTTTGCAAGGGATTTGGGTGAGGATCAGAATCCGTTCTTTCTGTCTGCGTTTCCATGCATATATCCTTATGGACGTGGGGGTCCTAGGGGAGAAAGGAGTCGAAAACTATCCTTTTTGGAGCACATTCGATGGAGTCTTCTCTATTATGATGGGCGTTTTCGAAGGCATCATTCATTCCCTTTCATCGCTTTTGCCATCTATCAGAAGCAGGAGTGTTTGTCGTCAGCAAGAATCCAAATGTCACGGAAGGATTTCGAAGCAGATTTGAGGTTTTTGGCCTCAGTGACAGTAACCCAGTTACAGGTGGCAGCAGAGGAGGAGCGACAGAAGAAGGTGATTTCAGATGAAGCAGTTCACAAGTTGTTGCAGCATTTGAAGATAACAGTGGGGCGAGTAGTGGGGACAAACCAGAGTTGTGCATCCATACGTAGCAAGATCTGGAGTCTGAGCATAAAGTTCAGCCCACCGAGCCTGTGGGTTACTATCAATCCAAGTGACTTGCATGATCCGATTGCGCAGGTTTTTTGTGGTGCAGAGGTGGATTTGGATCGGTTCGAACAAACCTCAGGTCCAAACGCCCGAGAACGGTCGGAAAACATCGCAGCAGATCCCATGGGAGCAGCACGTTTTTTCCATTTCTTCATAACCACAATGTTGGAGTGTTTGATAGGATTGAGTGTTCGCAAAAATCGAACGGTTGCGAGAGGAGGAGTTCTTGGATGAGTGGTAGCATACATTGGAGTAGTGGAGTCTCAGAACCAGGCGTCTCTTCATCTTCATTTGTTGCTTTGGTTGGAGGGAAGTCCAACATGCGAGGAGTTGAAGGACCTTTTCAAGACATCTGCCTTCTGTGCAAAAGTCTCTCAATACATCTCTGAGAACATCCAAGCTCATATTAGCGACATGGACAAGGACCTCATAAAGGACATACCACGCGAAGCAGATCTTGCATGGTCTAGACCACTCAATCCTGCGATGCCCTTCTATGCTGCTCATAGAGTGGATATGGAGTGAAGATTAATGAGATCGAATCAAATTCACACTTGCCGGATCAGAGGTTGTCTGTCATATCATGGGCAAGCAGCACTTTTGATGTGCAAAAGAAGGGCACCCTGGCGGCTTTGCAAGGACGTGACTGTGGATGAAAGAGGCAATTGGACCGTCAAGAGAATGTATGGATATGTGAATAACTATAATCGAGAGTTATTGCTTGCACTCCAGTGTAATCACGACATCAAGTTACTTACCAACGGGGAAGATACGAAGAACTTATCCTGGTATATCTCGAATTATGCAACAAAAGGCCAGAAGAGTGTGTATAACATGTCTTCGCTGATAGCGAAGCATGCTGCATACGAGTTCGAGGAAACAGACGTAGTTTGGGAGTCTAGAGAGAGATTGCGGTTAATGCTCTTTCGATGTTTGAGGGCAACCAATCGAGAACAGGAACAGTCAGGACCTCAGGTGGTTTCGTATTTGATGGGATGGGGAGATCGGTTTCTGTCGCAAAGTTTCGTCCCATTGTACTGGAATGGAGTGAAGGCATTATTACTGCGATGGTATCCATCATTGCAGCAAAGACTGTAAGCATATCTATAATTCTCCACCGTGAAAAGGTTCATAACAGGTACGGGTAGAGAGGATATGTTACGGGGATGGGGGAAATTCCCCATTCCTCGATCCGTTCTTATAGTGGGATGAGTGAGGTCATATCTGGTCTGTACCATAACAGGATATGTAATCGATGAGTGATCCCAGTCTTGCCTGGGGGTGGACGATCGTATTCCCGTAGATCGCGATTGGTGATGTAGTGAGCTATTAAAGGATTGATGGTAGGTAGTCGGAAATGCCAGGACGGACGGGTCAACCATGGGTACTTGGCACTCCTCAATGGAGCGTACCATGTGCGAGGTCACGACTTGTGAGATGGGTGAGAACTTCGTATAGTTGCCATCGGGTACTTGGCATTCGCAGTGCGAACGTACCAGTAGCGGGTTGATGTCATAAGCGCACAATGAGGACTGACTAGAAGGGCCTTTGGTGACTTGGCGTTCCCAAAGGGAACGTACCGTTGGCAGGGAAACATGATGACTGGCGAAGGAGGGAACAGACGGTGGATGGGCGGTGACTTGGCGTTCACGTAGCGAACGTGCCGGCATCACGGGAAGGTGGGCCTCATAGTATTCACGATCTCCATGATCGTGAGGTGACGTCGTATGTTGAGTGCTGGGGGGAGAGCAGAGTGACGAGGACCCATAGGGTACAGATTCGATAGGACGATACACATGTCGAGAGTCTTCGACTCTCGACCTCGAGTTCTTGCAGCGAGGGCCGTTAGAGGACTCGATATAACCAGACTTATAAGACATATTGAGAGTTGTACAGTCACATGGGTTCAGTCGAGTCACAAGGAGGGTTGTTACAGAAGACGGTACACGAGACAATTGTAGAGCAGTTGTTAGTTAGCGGGAACCGCCTTCGGCGGTTTCCGTACAAGACGCGTGACTATCTACAAATGGTAAGGTCGCGGGAAATCCCGCGAAACACAAATAACCTTGGCCAGCACCAAAACCCCAATGGGGAAAGCTTTGCATGAGGGGGGGAAACGGGTAGAACGGGTAAGGAGGATAGGGTATCGGGATAGAGGGCAGAAGAGAGAAAAAGGGGAGGAACGATAGAGAGGGGAAGTCTTTGACCATGCGACGGATATGGTCGTTGGAGACTCCATATCCGTAACAGGATACCACAGCTTCTACACTGAACCAAACAGAGCCAGATGGTGAACACTTAATTCACAACGCTGACACAAGCAGTGAGAATGATGGAGTGTGGCACATCAAGTCTGTAGAGGTGAGAGGGAGACATAGAAGCATGCAAAACAAGATCTGAAAGAGTCAAATAGCAGGAGGAAGAAGAACACGTCACTTTAGTGATGGCACAGAATGGCATGGTGCAAGCACGATCACAACTGAATGATTACATGTTGCATGGAGCGGAGCTGGAAGGATATAGTTTGTATAATTTCTTGCAAGACACATACGAAGAATGGACTGCAAGGGCTTTTTAGAGTGGAGAAGCCAACGATGCTAAAGAGCCTGGAGGGAGGGGGAGACCTCGGCACACCAGGTCTTCTTATGGACCAAAACATTGTTACCAGGAAACTAAGAGAAGAGTGGTTCGAGAGAATCAGCACAATACCGTGGTCGACATTGTGGGTACATGGATCCCTAGAGTATCCACAGATGGCAACAACGACTTGTATTATGCAAGTCTGTTGATGTTGTGGAAAAGTTGGCGAGGACCAAAGGATTTAAAGACAGAAGGGGAAAGTTGGAAAGAAGCTTACCAGGCTTTGGAGCAGCAAAGTCCAACAATAAAGCGTTTCGCTTCGAATGCACAGTACTGCTACGAATGCAAGGAAGCTGCAGACAAAGATGAACGAGAAGCTGCATGGGGTGGAGAGAGAGGGAAAGAAGGAAAGGAAAGGAACGCTGAGAGTGATGGTGAGGAGGAAGAAAGTGACGGTGGAGATAAAGGAGAGGAGACCAACGTGAATCAAGGTACAATAGAACAATTGTCCGTGTTCATTGCATCTCGAGAAATGACAGATGAGGTGAGAGATTCTTTAGAAGACTAGGGAACTACTAACACTTGAGAGAGACGCAGGTGATTCACACCCGACAAGCAATAGAGATAGCCAAGAGTGCATGGATACTATGAGAAGTGGCGAATAATTGGGCAGTCACCACAGAAAGAATCCAACCAGCAACATATGAAAACATCCAAACGTTTAGTGGATGGTCGAGCACACTGAAGACAAGAACATCCTTAGAAGGGATGGAGGAGAGATGTGGCATGGGAACGAGTGTTAGTACAGTGGAAGGGGAGGTTACGATGGAACAGGACGCCTACAATGAAACACAGCAAACCACTATCCAGCACGTCCCAGTCAGCAACCCTGTGATGGAAGTGGAGGTGTCAACCTTTCATGAAGAACAGTTACAAGCATATGAAAACGTGACAAACCATGTCAATGCAACAAAATGAGGAGTGGAGTGTGAGCAACTGCTTATGATTCTAACAGGAGAAGGAGGAACGGGCAAGTCTCGAGTAATTCATGGTTTGGCGCAGTACTTTGAGAGGCAAAATTCAAGCGATATGCTAGCAATGGGAGCATATACAGGAATTGCCACCAGTTTGATTGGAGGGAAGACACTACACGTTCTATTCAGCTTAACTCCAAGCCATGCAGGAATGCCATCAGCTGCGAAGATACATAAGCTGGCATGTTTCTGGGAAAAGAAAAAATACTTGATCATCGATGAATTCTCAATGGTGTCACGATCACTTCTTGCCCGCATGTCAACCATTCTCTCACTGATATGGCACCACAATCATCCAATGGAGACGAGCACAAAGAGTTGGGGAGGGATGAGTGTCATAATATGCAGAGACTTTCATCAATTCAAGCCGGTGGTTCAAAAAAGAACAGCACCTCTCTACTGGCCCTCCAATCCAGGCACTGATAGCACAGAAGAAGTAACAGGAACCAAACTGTATGAGGAGTTCACAACAGTTGTTTTCCTTACCCACCAAATGCGAGTGCAAGATGTGGA